TTAATTATCTATGTTTTCAAGAAAAAAATATTGGATTATCTTTATTAGTTTCTGAGTTATTGATAATTAAAAAATGTAAATTTTTATAAAAACTTAAAAATGCTTTTTTTACGTCAATTTTGAAACGTCCTGTAGGTCGTAATAATTACACTACAATAACAAAAAACACCTTAATCGATTCACAATTTAATACTCTATAAGATACGTTGCTTTGTATAAATCTTTTGATTGTATTTTAGCTGTTAATAATTAAAAACAAATGTATGCATAATGAAAATCAATCAATTATATTAAAATTTTGAAACGCTCTGTAGGTCATAAAAATTAACCTACAATAACAAAAAATACCTTAAACGATTCACAATTTAATACTCTATTAAACCCAATACTTTGTTTAAATATTTATGCAATATGTTCCTCGTAAATAATTAAAAACAAATTTATGCACAATAGAAAATCAATCAGTTTTATCGAAATAAATTCCTAATTTCTATGCATCATGAATATTAAACCGCCAAACTAATGCACGGCCATTACTCACATATTACGAGATAATTGATAGAGTGTAATGCGTACAGCCGCCCCCTCGCCAATCACCCCAATTACGTGCATGACGCGATAAATGTTTATACGTTTCCACATAACACCGAGCGAGTATTTTGCATTTTGCATATCAAACTTGAATTATCTTATCAGATTGCATTAGGAAAATATAAATTGCAGATAAATTACTATTACTTTGCCATCTTTTTCCGGGCACACATGTGTTGTAAACAAATCTGATGACAAATCGCGCGCTAATCTGAAAGATTGATACGCGTCCGCGTTCTGTCGACGCGTACAAAGTGTTTCGATAAATTATCACCGCGACAATGGCATTACATCCGTATTACGCCAACGCCAACTCAAACTCGGATTAGGAATATATAGATATGCTGGAACTAAGTTTCCCATCGCCGCCATTTTGTGCCAATGTAAACATGTGAATCTAAGACAGCAAATCCTAAACAATTACGTCGCATTTGTCTATAGCTGTTCCAATTTCACAACGCCGGTTGCGTAATGCTCATATTTATGACCCAGAGACAACTCGCGTCCCTTTTCCGGGTTGGAGCGGCGCTCATATGCTGCATGCAACGTAGAAAACTTGTCGCACCGGAAGAGGTTACCTACTCGTACCAAACCGACGCATTCATGAATAAATGACACCGACGCGTTTCGGCAACAGATGTGTGTGCAAGAGCGAAAGCGGAAGCCGGAAATTTTGCGCGCAGCAACTCTCGACTTGGATTGTCGGATTGCCGGATTAAAGTTCGCCCGGAGACGTTTCAGCGTCGGTTAATTCAATTATCAATCACTGACTCACTGACTGGATTTCATTAAGTAAATAACGCGGGCGGAAGCGGCGCATTTGCATATTCACATATTCAAAAGTCGGCACGGAGCTGTCATCCGAGTCATTCCAACTGGTTCTACACTAGAGATCTAGGGTTCAATTTGAGGAAAGTTGTGGTTATAGGGGATTTGTTCAAGGATTAAACTTGTCTAAGCAGTGAGAAAAAGAATTTTTTTGTGTTTTTTTAACTTTAGCGGTAAATAACTCAGGTGTTTACAAACATAGAAATGAAAACAAAGTGTTATTAGATAGAGAATTTAATGTAGATATATTCTGATGTCTTGTCGGTTAAATCTAAATAATAATTTATGAGTTATTGACAATTAAAGTTTGTCAATTTTAATAATAAACTGGAAATGATTTCATTTTTAAACTTTACCACTGAATATCTCTGGTGTTTACAAATATAGAATGGTAAACAAACTACTATCAGATAGAGAATTTGATGTAGATTAATTATAAATTTTTGTTTTTTAAGTAGTAAAAATAGTTTATGAGTTATTGACAATTAAAGTTTGTCCATTTTAGTAATAAATTGAAAAATATTTCATTTTTTAATTTCATCACTGAATATCTCAGGTGTTTACCAACATAGAATTGTAAACAAAGTATTATCAGATAGAGAATTTAACATAGATATATTCTTAAGTTTTGTTGGATAAATACTAAAAATAGTTTAAAAGTTATAAACAATTAAAGTTGTCAATTAAAAAACTGAAAATAATTTCATGTTTAATGTTTACCGTTAAATATCTCAGGTCTTTACAAACACAGAATTATAAACAAAATATTATCAGATAGAGAATTTAATGTAGATGTATTTTAGCGTTTATTTTGTTAATTTATTGCAATCCCAACGCCCACAGCATCAAAAAATCTAAAACATGCTGTTAGTACTTACCAAACTAGGGTAAGTAGAACACAAATTGCTTTTCTATCAAATTATTCTCCATCACAACGTCGTCCGCAATCCAATTTATACTTTACGAACATGCATACACTTACACCGCACAAGTATACAACTGGAACTCGTTGTTGTCCCCGACCGGACGCCGGTTGCTCCCCGCCAACTTATTGTTGTGTCGACGACGATGGCCGAGTGTTTATGCACCGCTTAAACCGAAAATGTAAAACAGCGGCGGCGGAGCACTAAAGTGCCTACATTACAACAAAATGGCGGCGATAGTGCGAAAGTGGAAAACAAGGATTACATCCGGTTTGCCGTTCGCCATTTATGCCAACAGTTTGCGAAAACACTAAAACTAAATAAAAAGATTCCACTTGCCGATTCGGGTGTGTGTTCTCGTTAAGCGGTAGAACAAACAAACAAATCGGAGAACGAACGCGCGCAAATGAAGAACATCCACCGAACATACACAAAACAAGGATGTTACCAAACAGCATCAAATGTTTCTAATATTAAACATAAACGCGGCAACGCGCAACTTTCTTGAGCTTTTCCCAGCGTGGATTTATGCCTTGGCAGTCATGGTTATACGCTGGAGTATAAAAGCTCTCCGACATGAACTGCCACTTATCATAAAACATAATAAACTCGCGAAGAGGAGCCGAAGACCCGAAGGCAAGTGGCCGTTTACCTTCTTTTTTCGTCCCGCCAACGCGCTTTCTTTTAATAAAACAATTTATATTTAAATGCGATTAAGGTTTGTGCTTCCCGGAACAAGTACAAGTACAACATCAAGGCAGGAACGGCTTAGAAACATCAAAAAAACATTTTATTATACTTTATACATACTTGCGTGTATGTTGGGTTGCATATAGTAATCCGGTCCTGAGTGTGTGACATGATGGGAAAAAATGAAACGATAATCCCCGCGGGAATAGAAGATGTAAATGTAAAATAATTTACACGCAGGTTTGATTCAAAAATTTTACGATCCTCGCGGGCGCCCTTAAATCGCACACCCCGACTGACTGCACCGTTATATTGCTGCGAGCCAATACAGAATAAACGAAGCGCATCACACACCAACACACAGCGAACCCTGCAGGTGGGATACGAAAGTAGAATAACCAACACACGATGGCGGAAAATAAAAAATAAAAATGTAGCTGGTGGCTATCGTAGCGTTGCTAGTTCTTCGCCAAATTGAAAATGAAAAATCCTAACAAGTTTTCTTCATGTTTCTCATCCTTTTCCGCCGCTTGCAACCAGCCAATTATAACCAAGAGCATTCCACAACTTATTTTTAATTGGATTATATTAGGTTAGGTTAGGTTGGGTATGCAACCAAACATAATTAATTTTATTGATTTATGAGTAATACTCGTTTTTAAAACATTACCAAAATGAAATGTGCTAAACCCACCCCGTGACATTGTGTTTTAGGTGAATGTGTACGTGTGGGGGCGGCAATCATGCGACTGTCAAGCGATGATGGATCGCACACGTCCGAGCACCACACATTCTCGCTGGGGTGAACGCCGTGCACGAATCTCGTGCGCCCGTCTGCGTAATGTCCGGAGAATAGAAGCTAGACGCTGTTTCAATGCCCACACCCACTCCCCATGAAAACTCCGCGCCTGCCACCCCAACTCGTTGCCTTCCATAGCGGGTTTTTATCTGCTATCAAGATTAAATTCAAGCTAGCTAGGTTTTTTGCTTGAGGGTTATTAGAAAAAAGTACAACATGCCCGAATAGGGATAGAGGGATGAAAAGAATTTTTTTTTGATCAAACTTCGATCTATTCTTGTTTCTTGTTGGTTTTTGCATAATTTTATTTGGGTGGACGTTTGATGTGTAAATATTTAAACGTTTTGTGTTATTTTTTTGTTGGTGGAGGAAGTTTGAGAGTCTAAAATCCGGTCGTCACGTTTCGCATCAAGTTGGAAAACTCCTGGAGCTAGGCAGCTATTAAATGGCGGGTGCAGCGTGCAGTGGAAAGTGGTAGGTAGCCGGCGCGCGTTAATTAAAGGCCCAAATTCCTTCCAATAACAAATAGTAGTCGAAATTAGCGAATTAATTATAATGAATTAGGGCAATTAGAGTGCCGCATGCTCAGACAAGCTTAGACTCATTTGTGAATTCCATCTAGTTTCAAAGATTCAAAGTTTTCACATTTTATATTTTTAATCTTTGTATTTTACCCCCACCACTTTTTGCGGATTATGCGGTATAAGAGAACAGCCCTCATCGCGTAGGTTCCTCTGTTCATTGTCTTTCCCCCACCACTTTTTGCGGGTCGTGCGGTGTTAGAGGACAGCGCGTAGTGCGCACCGTGCTCAGTCGTCCAGTCGCGGTTACTCCCTCCTTTTTCTCTACCCCCACCACTTTTTGCGGGTTGTGTGCAAACCCGCAGGTATAAAAACGCAGCGCGCAGTGCACACCACGCTTAGTCTTGCCTGAGTCGTCCAGCAGTAAACTGTGTCGCAGTTCTCAAGGTCACTCACTCCTTTCTCTCTACCCCCACCACTTTTTGCGGGTTGTATGCAGTATACACCACACTCAATCACTCCTGAGTTGTCCATTTCGTGCCCCTTTAATTCCCAATCCCTTTTTATGTTGTAAATTTTTATTTTTATAATATTTAGCAGTTTTTTATTGAAAACACTTCATAACGTCGGACGCAAACAATTAGAAAGTCGGAGTAAAACGATTACGGTTATTATTAAACAACAAACGCCGTCGTAATAATAAAATATAATAATGTAAAGTCATGCATGCACATAAAAGCGAATAGTACCCATATAGGTACATTGGGAAAATAAAAACCGACGTGCAATTAAACGTTTGTACTTTGAAATTGCACATCGAGGGCGCCCACCACTAGCACTACCCTCCTCTGCTAAATGCCATTTTCCATTTAAATAAATATGTACATTGTGTTTTAGCGCCGGGCGAACTGGGTACACTGATGCAGTATAAACAAATTCAACACAAAAAGAAGAGAAAAACTTAATAAACACTACAAATATCTAAATACTATCCGACTAAAATACGAATATTTTCATTTTAATGCCGATAAATGTTTGTTTTAGTATTTTTTTTTGGTGTCACACATAATACTGAGTTAATGCACATCATTTTTGTTACAACACATATCTCGCTCTGCGCGGCTGCCATCTTGTTGTGTATCTGTGGTATACTGTATTTACACACGAATGCCGCATGACTAGCAGATTAAATTCCTGATTCCGCACGTGTACGCCGCGGAATTCAATAATAGCTGCCGTCGCAATCGTCGCCGCTTGATTCCTGCGAAGATGGCGGCGTGTCCAATGGCGGCAGGCCCAAGTCAAGGTATTCCTCGTTCGCTGTGATTGTCAGAATGCGATCGAGGTCTTCGACTAATTCGGTAAAGTTCGGTCGTTCGTTCGGTTGATAACTCCAGCACTCACGCATGAGCATATAGATCTCGAGTGAACAACATGGCGGCTTCTCCATGCGATGACCACTACGCAACAGTTGGAAAAGACGCTCAACGCTAGGTACCGAAGGATACGGTGTGCCTAACATAAAAAAACACATTAATTTTGTTTTTTTATAAATAATTAAAATATTAACCTCCTAAAGTCATTATTTCCCATAATAAAATCCCATAGGACCATACATCTGATTGTGTAGTGTACACACGATGGAACAAAGCTTCCGGTGCCATCCACTTAACCGGAAGTCGGCCATCAGTCGTCTTACGGTAGTAATCATTGCAGTGGATATCACGAGCAAGTCCAAAATCAGCGATTTTTAGGATATAATCATCACTGACGAGGACATTACGTGCAGCAAGGTCACGATGAATACACTAAAGTAAAATAACATAAAATGTCACAACTAACATAACCTAAAAATCCCTACTAATATTATAAATGCGAAAATCCTGATGTTTGTTACACTTTCACGCAAAAACTACTTAACCGATCATCATGAAAATTTGTGCACATATTCTTAGTGGTCCCCGAATGGTTATAGGCTACTTTTTATTTAATAAAAAAATATATTTTTTAAAATAAAATAAAGAAATTGTTTAGCCAATAATACCGCTGCATCTGGTTATTTGACTACTTTAACGCCATCTAGCATTCCAGCAATGAAGCTCAAACCTAAGTACTATAGTACCATCACACTGTATTATCACACTGTATTACTGACAGCTACGTCAACATCAAATCCAATTGACTACACTATGGAGACTGTACACTATACTTCCATAGACAATACTTTCAGCCATTTTAAACTTCCCGCCATTCTACTTCATTGTTACTTATTCTGTATTAATATAATACTTACACGACGTGATGCTAAATATTCCATGCCCTTAGCAACTTGATACGCAAACGAGACAAGATCCTTCTGTGTGAGGTGATTCTTTTTGTCCTTGTCAACAATACCAAACGCAGGTTCATAACCGGAAGAGGGCCGTTGTTGGCGCAGGAAATCCCGCAGGTTCCCATGTGGCGCGTACTCAACCACCACGTACAGTGGGCCATTCTGTGTGCAGCAGCCGAGTAGATTGATGATGTTAATATGCTTTCCAATCATTTTCATCATCTCCATTTCCGATACCAGATCCATCATTTCGTTGTCCGTATGGCCCTCTAATGATAATTAAAACACATGTGATTGTAGTTGTAAATAATACAGGGTGTTGTCATTATTTACCTTTTAACATTTTGACGGCTACAACACCGATTTGTCCGGATTTGATTAATCCAACGCCTTCGGCACGTACGACTTTCCCAAATGCTCCTTCGCCTAGACTTTTACCCAGGACCATTAGTTCCCGATTGATCTCCCAGTCGGAATCCATCGGGAGCTCATATTCTGTTACTTCGCCATTCGCCGAGTTGTTGTTCTGTGACTTTTGCTTCTCAATTTTCACAATGGGCATTAGCTGCAATCATGAAGCGCGCTTTTTTATATAACGTAGATTCAAGATAATTGACGTAAACGAGACAAGGGCCATTTCCGCAATTGAATTGCTCGTGCAGATGTGTCCTGTGTCTCTCCCGGCTATTCCGGGAGAAGTTTTCGTTTAGTGGAACTACTCACCAGCGGCTCGGAAGCATTATCGGCATCGTACTTCTTCTCGACGGTGACCCGCTTTGTCCACTGGGTCACCAATGTTGCGCGTGCTGTTTCCAACGCAATCAGCTTCTTGATCTTCTCACTGCATTACACAATTCAACTTAACATCAAAAGATTCAAAAGAAAGTGAAAGTTGTTATACCTTTTGTACTTCTTGAACCAGTAAGTGGTGATTAACAGCGCTGCGAGGAAGATGATGGTACCCACAGTCAAACTGACATAGAAAATCTTTTCATTGCGATATGGCGTGTCTAGAACTATAATACTCATCAATATATTGCGCAAGACAATCAATTGAATTTCAGTTTACCATCAACAACTTGAAGGTACCCATGCGCTAGACTGGCACCAAGTGAATTGGCTGCGTAACAAGTGTACCAACCTTCATCTTCATAGGTTACATTGGGTATGACATAGACTTCGTCATGCCAATTGAGCTACAAAACAAATGGTACCATGAATATTTTGTTTTATTTGGTAAAGATTGAGGTTAGGTTGTTAGTCACCAATAGAGACATATACCTGCGTCTCATTCTTAATGATTCGACTCTTGAACCAGTGTTTAGCTGTGCTCATATCCGTGAGAAGGGTGCAGTTGAGTTTGGCGGTACCACCAACCACCACCGTTGTGTTGTGACTAATATCCCCCACGATTACCGGTTTGCTCAACATACGCTCTAGAAGAATTGAGGTTAGGAAATAGTTGACATGCGTGGGTTATACACATTATAAACACATAGAGATATAAACCTTCCACCTTATAGACCAAGACCAAAACCAACACCAGTGCTATCAGATTCATGGTATGTGCGCCCTTTGAGTTTAAAAATTTGTCTATGAAAATAATACCTGCTTATAGGAATACGAGACATTATGTAACACGGTAATGTTTTTGAACAATATATCATTGAGCTGGTTTAGAATGGATACCCTTGAGTACATCCACTCAACGTATGGTTGCAGGTCAACAAAGACCTGCGAGCAGGATATGTTGACTTCGGTCCCTACCAGCACGGTCTGATTACCAGGAAAGCCCTCTTTTATCAATGGTCGTGATTTGATGCGTTCTAATGTGGTACCATCAGTATTCAACTCATTATCTCCTCTTAAATTATATTTACTTACCGACTACTTCCAACCGGGTGGTGAAATTTATACAACCAACTATATTACAGACATCACAGGTGTAGTTTCCTTGATCAGAGGATACCAGGTCTTCCAAAGCGATGGAAAAGCTGCCGTAGCGGACCTTTCCAAGTTCCCGATCCTTCAGGAGTTCATTATCTTTAGACCAGGTTATGTTTGGAGCTGGATTTCCGGTTGCTTTACATTTTAGTGTCGCGGTACTTCCAGCTGGTTTGGCATTGAATAACGGCATGCTTTTCCGGACGAATTTTGGTAGTGTGTTTTGGTTAGGCTTGGCTGTTGGGGTTTCTTCATGCTCTACTTCCAGTTCGGTTTCTTCTTCATTGGGAATCATCGTGGAGGGTTCATAGTCAAGGGTACCATCAATTACTTCAATCGGATGTGTATGATCTATGCAACCCATTATGTTACAGACATGACACGTGTAGTTCCCTTGATCAGAAGGGGTCAAATCTTCTAAGGTGATGGAAAAGTTACCATAACGTAACAAAGGATCTTTGAGTAACTCATTGTTTTTAAACCAGGTTATGTTTGGTGTAGGGATACCAGTTGCTTTGCATCGTATAATCGCTGTATTCCCTGAATACTTAACATTTAATCTTGTAAACTTTGGATATGTGTTTTTATCAACTGATTCGTAATCATTCGTATCGATTAAATTCGTTGGTTTGGCCAGGGCTGGTCCAGGTGAGATGTCGTCTTCATCCGGGTCGATTGCAAATGTCCCCGTGAGTAAAACGAATAAAATTATAATAAAATTCTTCATCGTGACTGAATTTTTGCGGTTTACAGTACGTGAATATCTGAAAGTGAAATAAAAAGAATTGTAAAGCAATTTTCATACAATGGCGATTGTCTTGACCTGCAATTTTAATGTTTTAATTTTAGTTGCACTCAAATCAGTTGAAACGGTAAAACTTGTTGGTTTTTGTGTGTGTGGGTTGTGGGATCGGAAATACGCCGCTTGCCGGGCTGGAAACGACCAAAGTTGGACGCATATGGCACGCACGTGTTTGCGCTTCACTTCCATTCGACGACCATTTTCAAAACGCCATTTGACACACCACATTTTTTTCCTTTTCTTTTCTCAGAATTTTAGTTTCGACAAAAAATCAAGGCAAACTCAAGTTCATTGCTAGTTATTTTCATATTTCTTCAACAATAAGCACAAGTATTTCGTAATAGAGGATAGCTTTACTAATTCATCAATATTTAACCTCAAAACTCTTAAATATCTTCAGTTTAGTGAATCAAAACGTATTTTTCTTGCGTAGGAAACAAAAAAACGCTTGAAATTCATGTTTATTGATAGTTATTTTAATATTTCTGCAATAATTTGAGGTTATTGTTGCATAGCGGTGGATAGCAGTACTAATTCATCGCTATTTAACCTCAAAACTATCAAATATCATTTGTACGGTGCCCAAATATGTTTAATTTGAATCTAGGAATCAAAAACTCTTGAAATTCAAGTTTATTGTTAGTTATTTTCATATTTCTGCTACAATTTGAGTTTATTGTTGCCTAGCGGCAGGTAGCAGTACTAATTCATCGCTACTTAACCTCAAAACCATCAAATATCATCCATGCGGTGGCCGAAAATGAAATAACGCGACCGCATGTGCAATAAACACAACCGTGTGTTCGCGGTCGTGTCTGTGGGCTGGTATAATGCCGTTTAATTTCCACCGCAGACGAAGGGCTGCGCCCCGAAGTGCACACACAGCGCCGAATGCAAATTGCGGGAGAATCCCGAGCAACCCGTGTGATGAATGTGCACGCGCACCCCCGCCGTGTTCGCAATTGATAAAAACCGAATGCAAGCAATGCCCAGCGTTGAGCATCAGATGGGTGGGACCGTCGGGAACCACCCTCGGACAAGATGCATGGTCATGATCTGTCTCCGCAACAATATACTGATGAATCAGCGCATAATTACACAAAGTGTTGCTCAATGCAAAAAAACGGAAAAATCATTCATTCATCGCGATAATAAAAAATATTTACTCATTTCACACGCACATATGCGCGGCGTAAAAACGCGCCAGTCGGATGTGTATCGGATGTTATTGGTTAATGCACGGGTAATACCGAATCCGGTTGACGTCTGTGCGGCATATGACTAAATTTAGATTTACAGCGCTTGGGTTTAACCCAGCCACCCTCTGCCTGACGGATTTATCACTACTTTGACAAAAGGGACCAGACTAATCTACACCATAAAGGAAAAAACATTCGACGAGCGAATATACAGTCCGCATGCGCAATTAGAATCAATTGACTGCTATGGACACAATAAATAACAAGTCGTGATTGAAACAACGCGTATTATTTCAATTGAAAGATTACGGCAAGAAGTGAGGATGAATTGACGAGCAAAACATCATCTTTGTACTTTCAGAAACAGGACTGGACTAAGAAATTGAATAAATTTTAAAATATTTTAACATAACCTCAAATATTTGCTATTATTTGATTAAAAGTGAGGTTATTGTTGTATTTATGAATATTTTAAGGTGTTTTACATTGCATAGTAGATGTTTAATTAAATTTGCTGCGTTATTTTGTAATTTCCTCGTTTTCACGCGTTGGTAGCACGTTAATAGCGATTTTATAACATTATTATAACCATAAATAGAATATGTGTAGGTAAACTACATAAATACAACAAATTATGCTTATTTTTCGGTGAATTATCGTCTGTAATCTTAATTTCAAGTAACGAAGTTACTTTGGAGGATGTTTGGCGCCATGTGGGCAACAATAACCGGTGATAAATTTCAAGATGCTTGAATGCAGATGAGAAATGATCAGGTTTCCATCAAAGTCGGAGCTTCTACACCTCTTGAAGATGCTCATTAATTATTACAAGCGTTATAAGTGGGTTTTGGTTAAGTACTTAAACATAACCTTAAAAAATTGAAGATATTTTTGGTTTATTGAAGCTTTTGTCTGCGTTTTTATCCAATATAAAAGTTTTTATTTTGGAACACAGTTGTCTTAATGTTGTTTGGGTTGCCTATATGCAGAATTAAAATAACAGTTAGCAGCGTCGCATTTATTTCCAGTTTTTATGCATAAAACAACAGAAAATTAGTTGTAAGTTACATAAATCTATAGATAATTAAATTATCTTTCATATGATATATAATTTAATATACTTTTTCGGTTTATCGGTACTTTTATCAACGTTTTAGTCCAATATGAATTTAATTTGTTTGTGAATCGATGAAAGAATGCGTCGAATGCGAGTAATTCGTTGTTTGTTCATTAATTGCAATCCGATAGGGGCATTCTTTCACATCCGAGGGCCGTATTGTGGTGTGTCCGCCATGTTGCATTCGTAATAAAAGCGTGTTTTGCTTATTTATCATTGAAGCTGGCGCGCGCTCACTCGCGGTAAAAAGAAAACAATTAGTAACACTGCCAAACCAGCTGTCGAACTGCGCTCACAACTCACACAGCAAGTCCATAAAATCATGATTTATTTTTCAGCGTCCTCTGGCTCGGATTACAAGCGCGCGTTTTATTTTCAAACAACGATATTGACAAGACTGTAAGTTTTAAACTTAAAGGCCACTGGAAACCGAAACAATGCGCGTTTTCTTCCAAGCTTCATTAGCATGCGAGTGCATACGAATTGTCGTGCACCGGATATCATATTTAACAGTCAATTCGAATATGTGAGCGCCTAAATTTATCGCATTGACGACGCGCGACACGTTCTTTCGCACCATTGCGTTGCACATCCATACGCAGCTCGCTGGTATTAATATTCCTTGTGAGGTACAACAACGACGCGCTGCATATTTAATTTGTACGTCAATCACACCAAACTGTATGCGTCTGTGAGCTGTGAGTGTTTAAAGTATTAGGTTTTATATTTAGCACCCGATTTGTGGCGAAAAATCCAGTTCCACGCTGCAATTCTAATTGTGTTTACAAAACAAATCTTATTAATAGATTCGGAATGAAATTTCCCAGAATAATAACGCCGGCGTTTGCGCGTGCGTCTTAAAATACATAAACTTTTTCCTTGAACAGCGCGCCTTACATTTATTACTTACCAGGTTGAAATAATCGCCAAAAATGTGTTAGATCCGTTCACAAAATCAAAGTCTCGCCACTAAATCATCACTAAAAGACATTTTGTCGGTGATGCGGGTCACAATTGTACACACGCGTGAGAGGTGAAGCTGTTTGGAATTGTCTTCGGCGTGAGTGAGTAGGACCGGCGCGTTTGGTGTGCGCGTGAGGACTGAAACGTCGCGGCGTCTGCGTCGCTGAAACGACGACGCTGAAAAGTCCGAGATGCGGGAATCTTTGCCGCGGAAAGTTAACGCAGACGAGTGGCGAGTGGGCGGGCGCACGTTGTGCGATGCGACTGTGCGCCGACGACTTAAGTAACTAAACTCGACTTGGCGCAAAGTTTATGGACTTGTTGCGCGGTAGCCGGTAGCGCTTTTACATACATACGTGCATACATAAGTTGACTTATGTTGTGTGGTGGGTATTTTCACACTATAATTTAATAATGTGGCGGATAAAAATAGAAAAATATTTGTTTTTGCTAATTTGAGAAAAAGTATTAACAAAAGTAAATATTTGACTTAAATTTGTTTATATTTATTTGATTTTTTATAGCTCAGAAAAAGATTTGTAGGTGTCTTTCTATAAATATTGTTTAAAAGGTGTTTTCTTGGCTTAAGTCACTTAAAAATCAAGTTTTTTGCTAATTTTTGAGAAATAATCACAAAAAAATGTATGTTTTGTAATAATTTCCTAATATTTAATTATAATTTACATAACATTAAAGAAAAATCATAAATTTACATTAAATTTGATGTAAAAACAGTGTTTTCTTGACTTAAGTCAAATAAAGAGAAGTTTTTAGAGAAATTATTACAAAAACAACAAATTTCCCAAATATTTATTAGTATTTCACTATTGTTTACATAATATACAAGAAATATGATAGATTTAGATCAAATTTGATATAAGAATAGTGTTTTCTTGACTTAAGTCAAGTAAAAATACGTTTTTTTAGTAAATTTTAAAAGAAATGCTTGCAAAAATTAAAATTTACTAATATTAGTGATTATTTCATTGTTCCTTAAATAATTTACAAGAAAAATCACAAATTTACATCAAATTTGATATAAAAACAGTGTTTTCTTGATTTAAGTCAAGTAAAAATACGTTTTTTCTAATTTTTAAAAGAATTTATTGCAAAAAAACAAAAGATTTACTAATATTAGTGTTTATTTCATCGTTGTTTAAACCAAATACAAGAATATTCTCAAATTTACATCAAATTTTATAGAAAAACAGAGATTTCTTGACTTAAGTCACATAAAAATCAAGTTTTTTGCTTATTTTTGAGAAACTTTAAATTAGAATTAAATATTTTGCTACAATTTCTTAATATTTAATCATTGCCTTACAAAATATTAATGAAAAATCAATAATTTACATCAAATTTTACTTAAAAACATTGTTTCCTTGACTAAAGTCAAACAAAATTCAGTTTTTTCTCCTAAAAATTGAATTTCTCTTATTTTAACACAATACACCTTGAATTTCAATGTTTTGACTGTGTAAGTTACACCATGTTCCATGTTAGCATTTCCTTGTCGACCTGCACCCTCCACACCCAACACCCTACCCACCTTGCCGGCGATAAGACGACATTTACATATCCTTGATCTATCTTCGCCTCGCATCTGTGTCACCCAACACACCACCACACATGCTCAATTTAAATAATCGCTGACTTGCCTAGGGACGAGATAAAGACATTAACGACACACCACACCGCACCAGCTCCTCCGTGCAGCAGGTAGCAGCGGTAGGTCATGTCCACGTGTTAATGGAATTAAATACGTGTCCTAGTTGGTATGTACGGCCGGTTGTGATGGTCGGGATGCTTAGTTTGATGTGGCGCGCATTTAGCATGCGGCGGGCGATAAATTCCGTGACTGCGCGTTAGATTTGTTGATAAATTGCATTCTGCGGTCGCTGGCTTGCGGTCGACAATTGCGAATCGGACAAATTGCGCAATTGCCGTGTGTTATGTCATCGCACTTGTAAAATACGATAAACTTGCGGTTTTTAAAATTATTTTAATAATTAAACATAGAGGTTATGGAAATTTAGGTTATATTGGTGTATGACATCAAAATGGCTGCCTAATTCTTACATTTCAGTTGGTTTTGGAAGGAATAATGACATTTGACGTAGGTTATGTCATCGCATTTGTAAAATACGCTTAACTTGCGGTTTTTGGTGCATAAATAATTTTAACAATTAATGATAATTTAGGTAATGTAGGTGTATAAAATCAAAATGGCTGCCTAATTCTTACATTTTAGTTAATTCCTGAAGGAATATCAGCAATTGCTGTGTGTTATCTCTTGTAAAATATGCAAAATTTGTGATTTTTAATTTTAAATATTAATCATAATTTTAACAATTAATCCAAAATGGCACATTCCACTTGCTTTCTGAAGGAACATCTTGCAAATATGTAGTCGAGTCTTTTATTTCACGTTTCGTTCATTGCGTATTTCTGTCCGGAGATATTTTCGTCGCGTGTGTCGCGATGAATCTGTGCAACTTGTCAACGCCGAGCCGAGCAGACGCCGAGCGCAAATGCAGCGAAACTTATTATTATTAATATTAGTTGATTTGAATGAGTATTGATCATTTCGGGCCTTTGGGGGCGGATGTGACACGGGCACACGGCTCCTAGAGAGTAACGCGCCTCCCAAACGGCGGCTATAATTATCTGCCGACGCTTTCATCGGCGACGCTTTTTATTTCATTTTTTCGTCGCGTTTCGGTCGCGTCGTTAGTTATATCACCTTTTTTTGCTTGTTATTTAAGTTTCCCTAACGATACTAGGAATTTACAGCAAATTTTTGTATAAAAACAGTGGTTTCATGACTTAAGTCAAGTAAAAATACGTTTTTTGGTTAATTTTAAAAGAAATTATTGGAAATAACAAAAGATTTATTAATATTAATGCTTATTTTATTGTTTTTTAGATAATATGCAAGAGAAACCATAAATTTACATAAAATTTGATGTAAAAAGCGTGTTTTCTTGACTTAAGTCAAGTAAAAATACGTTTTTTCGTAAAATTTAAAAGAAATAATTGCAAAAAACAAAAGATTTACTAATATTAGTGTTTATTTTAATGTTCTTTAGATAATCTACGCAAAAAATCACAAATTTACATCAAATTTGATATAAAAACAGTGTTTTCTTGACTTAAGTCAAGTAAAAATACGTTTTTTCGTATAATTTAAAAGAAATAATTGCAAAAAACAAAAGATTTATTAATATTAGTGTTTATTTCATTGACCTTTAGATAAAATACAAGAAAAATCACAAATTTACATCAAATTTGATATAAAACCATCGTTTTCTTGACTTAAGTCAAATAAAAATCAAGTTTTTTGTTCAAAAATTTAATTTTACCTATTATTACACGTAAAACACCAGTAAAACAGCGTAAAATCATGTTTTTTTCTTAAAATTATGAAATTTGATGTTTATTAGTTCTCTCTGTATATAAACTGAGTAAATATAAATATGGAAAGATGGAAAGTGAGAGTAAACTGCATCTTGGAGTTGTCTGCGCGCTGTGGCACGGTATTTTTAAAAAATGCACGCCGCCAAATTTAGATGACGAACCTTATGTGAGAAATGAACCCCGCCGGAAACGGAAAGCGTGCGACACACACGCACAACACACATGCGCAATTGAGGCGGCGTGCGTTTGACACACGTGTGCAGGTGCTTCCCGTTTGGGGAGTTCATCTAAGGGCCAACTAACTAAGAACACTAGACTCACTTACGTATTTTTACATTTCCTTTGCGCTCTGTTTCTATTCTGTTGACTTATGTGCAGTGATGAACGATTGTTACATTTATATCTTGTAAAACAAACGGAAATGTATTCAGAGCAGTGATTGAATTAAATTTGATTGAAATGCAATTGATATTAGTGTATGTTGAGTTGCGGTGTTGTTGGAGTTTGGTTATGTCAGCGTTGAGATGGTTTTTGAAAGAAAAAGCACTCACGCTTGCATCTTTTATGTTCATGCGCTTCCAGTGAAAGTGTATCCTCGAATCCACGCATGTAAAATGCATGTATCCATTGAATAAACAAATATGCATTGTGTACACACGTGACGCTGAAGATATTCTTGCATCTCGCGCATACGAAATATGCTCAAATGGAAAACGTGAAGAGAATGTTCTTCGTTTTTGCGTGGTGGTTATTGCCTCCGCTTTTGTCGACATGTTACTGAGAATTACGGCATTTGACGCGCTTTTCAACGCGAAATACACAACATTAATGTTCAATCTAATTTGCATAGTTAACTTGCGTACAATGCTTCGAATATTTATATGTTTGTTGTCAAGCAGGTCGACATGATTCGATTTACTAATACATCGTGGAGAATAATACCAGTTACAAACAAACAAGTCATATCTGGCTGATTATTTGATTATCGGATGATAGTGTGTCGAATCAAGTTCAATTTTATTGAAATAAGTGCATTCTAGCGACATCTAGCGGTGAAATATTTAGTTAGGTTTAGATAAGATTCATATTGTGCACGAGGCCAAACAATACAATGTTTATCACGTTTATCTTCATATAAACTCACTGATACACATGCACAACTCACCTCCATAAACAAAATAAGATTTAATGTGAATAACTGCATCGCAGCGACATCTAGCGACAATTTAAAGAAGTATATTATGTTTATTTGTGGATTTTATACAATTTACACCAAATAAAAGTTATTTACTGCTTCAAATTGAAAAATAATGATAAAATCAACTTAGAATCTCAATTTTATGCTTCTATCCTTGCGCACGTTGAAATATCCCATGAAATTACTCGATAATTTACAATTCAACTCCGACACAAATTGAAATGATAGAAATAACGATCCAGTTAATGCGTGCCACCGCCACTGCCGCCACTCAACCAATGAATTAATAAAGCATTCGACATCAATTACCGCAATGATTAAATTATCGGCTAGTGCATTGACCAAACGGATCTGCTGAAATCAATCAATTTGCATGCATTTATAATTCGCCGGAGATGCTCCGAATCGTGTTTGTTTATGTAGCGGATATTTACACACGCGCTGTAAATGTAAGTCATAACAAGGAGTTAATTCGGAAGGTCAAACATCCGACAAATCGAAAATATCAATAAATTATTTGCTAAGTTTATAGTATTTAAAATAAACACAGGTTTAAATTAGATTCTGTTTTGGAAACACGTCATATATGCAGCTTAGTTGTTTTAGTGTTGTTTGGGTTGCCTATATGCAGAGTTAAAAGAACGGTTAGCAGTGTCGGTTGGAGTCCGCATTAATTTCAAGTTTTTGTGCAGAAAACAGCAGAGAACTAGTTGTAAGTTACATCAATCTTGAGATTATAAAATTGTCTTTCATGTGGTATATAATTTTATATGCGCGCTTAACTGATTAAAACGCAATCTTAAGATTAGTTTCGCATAGGTTGAATTCAACATAACCTCACATTTTTCAAACTCGAGCGCGGAAAATTCGCTGGTAATATTGGTGTATATTTGTTGCCTATCTGCAGGCTGAAAAAAATGGTTAGTCATTGAGTTACAACAAAGAAAATGCATAAATTTTAATCCATTTATTATTCTTTAAGTAACTATAACATTGATATATGCAACATTTCATGTTTAAAATTGTAATGCATAACTATAATAGATTTTGTTCGTTTGTATTCTTGTTTCAAATGGAATGTATAATATGCAGCATTTGACTTTACAACACTTACATACAGGAGAAAATGACAAACCGATATTGCTGTCTCGAATCCACCTAACACGCAAAACGCACATAAACCCGCTGGCCGGCAAGAAATAATTACAAGTACGTTGACTACGAATAAATTAAACGTGCGGCTAGCGCAATCAAGTTATTAAATTCGTTAAGAGTTAATACTGGCCCTAAAAATATTGCTCCGACTAGTGTACAGCCAACCGAAAAATCAAAGCAATCAATTTGCCTAATCTAATAGTACTAAACACACGCACATGCTGTGTTTAACGTGGCCGAGCAGGTAGCGGGGGCGGGCCCGCCGAACGTGCCGGCACGGGCGGCGGCGCCGCCGTCCGCTGTGGCAACGGCGGTAGGTTGGCTGGTTCGGGACGCGGTGGCGGCGGTGGAGGGCCCTGTGGCTCCGGCCGACTGATAATATCATCATTAATCTCTTCATAAATCCCACTATCATCAACCTGAGGTGGTGAGATTGGTGGTGGGGCCACTGGATGAGATGGCGATGGTGGTATGGGTGGTGCCTGTGTTGGTTGCATGGGTGGAGGCATCTCAGGTGGTACCTGCTTAAGCGGGATACTAATAACACCCGCTTTGGGTGTGATTTTCTTCTGAGGTGCTGGTGATCTCACACTGGGTGGTGGCGGGCGGCATGGTGGTGCCTTGGGTTTATTTACATCAGGTATCCCCAAACAATTATATTCCTGCAGGGATAAATTATACAGCGGGATAGTGTTACTCGAACACAATCCAATCTCCTCTTTTGCTTGTTCTACCCAATTGGGGGTTTTCAATGACAGAATCAACTCTGTATCCAATACTCTAAGAGATTTTCGAGCGGCGGCTTGTAGAGCTGACTGTCCATCCCGGAATGTCACCCACATTGTCTCCGCAACAAAACGCACCAGGATAGCATCACCGAATTGAGACAATTCCATTAGTAAAGCATTCATTAAGTTATCATCGAACACACTTTCCTCCCCTTCGGGGGCGGGTGTCTCACAATGGACTATTATAGTACCATCAGGGGGACCCAGATCCCGAATGACCTGGTAGAATACATTATCACGCGCTTCTTCATCCACTCTTCTAGCCTCGATGTCGATAACGGCCACTACGGGTCGATGATCGCTTTGTTTCAAATCCGCCCGGCCGTAGTGGATCAATTGACCTGGATTGAAGTTCTCCTCGCCGTTTTCAGGGAGTAGGGGTCTACGTCTCCATAGGACACGATCAGTCCATGCGGGAGCTCTGCATTTTTCACTGGTATCGTAATCATCACTGAACAAATCATACTTGTAAGTTGGTGGGAATGTTATATCGCCTTCGATGAAATTCTTAAACACCAGACCTTGCTCTTGTTGTTTCTAAAAACATCCACAAATTAATTTTATTCAATAACTCTAGTAATAATACTCACTTTAAGTTGATCATTCTCTAAGGGAAGTTCAAGTGCGCCTAGTTTTAAAGTCTCCCGCAGTTCTTCTTTATCCATATCAATGCGATAGTTAAAATCGCCACACCAGAAAAGATATTCATGTGAATTCAGGGTCCTGCCCATTGGAAAATTAACTTTCCTTGTGATTTCCGCATAATCCGCGTTTCTTTCTGTAACCTGCGACTGCCCAGCAGCAAAATGTGCACAGACAAAGCACAGGGATGTCGCATTGATGACTAATCTTATTGCAGCAGCGCCCTTGTTACCCGTGTGTCCTCCTAGACCAGTTTTTACTGAATCCACAGCAACGTCTCTTATATACGGTACATGTTCAGGTCGTACGTAAACATAGAGACAAACACCGACCAACTGTTGATATGATACAAGCACATATGATCTATCTCGTGATAGCACTTTCTGTAACTCTTCCGCCCATGCCTTGGCGTTTTCCGTGCTTGCCGCCATTATATTCGATGCGTTTAGATCAACAATCTCCTCGAATCCCACCGCGAAAATATCTGGGATCTTCCCATCTTCACTTGGACTTGCAGCATCCATTAAACTTCCATTTCCGCTTGTTACTTGCGGATCTAATAACCAATCCGACAGGGAAGCATCTTTGTACACAACGCTTCGGAAGTGTTTCCCACCGTTGACGTTATACGTCCCTACAACAACACGCAACTCCATTGGTGTTGTATACTCTGTGTAACGACGACACATTTCTCGCAGGACATGTGGTGGAGCATGAAGAGTATTGTAAGGTAGAAGAGTTCTTGCTCTGTCTGCAAGTTCAGTGCTCAATGTGGATCCCACGAGGAGGATATCAATGGCTTCCTGTTTTGAGTTGTCTAAGAGATTATTCTGAATTGTCCTTGCTGCTGATCTTGCCCCGTCAATCAACTTGGAACTTCCTTGGATTGCACCGGTCCCCGCGTAGATTTTACTGATTTCATTCCCGTTGTTAACCCACATTTGTTTGAACACTTCTTCAAACCGTGTGACTGTTTGTTTCTTATCGATCATATTCATCACCTGCAGTTGTTTGTTCAACGTTTCCAAACCGAAGAAGGTCTGAACGCAGTTGGTACGATCTAAACAATCCAAACAATTTGTTCGGATTGTACCTGTTTGTTGACAGTACACATTAGTGCCATCAGCGTGATAAAACTGATGCTCTTGTAATTGTTGATCAACTTTCGATTTTAATTTCGATAGATTTGTTTGGTTACCACCGCGACACTCCTGGTGATAATCAAAGACAATATGTGGAATGTCTGTGTGTGGGGATTCATTGTGGTGCTTCTGGAATTCATTACTAAGTGTACTTTCACCCTCCTTGCTACCAATTAGATTGGTACCCAGGAGATTGACAATAACTTGTCTTCCATATCGTTCTTTAATCATACTCATATGTCTATCAAATGCGGATCGTGATGCTTCGTATCCTCTGGATAATTTCACTTTGTGTGAACCTACTTGCACCCCTGGTTGCTCCCAGAAAAGTGGGACTGATCCACGTGTTTGTACATATGAGGATATTTCATTCTCGATGAAGATTACTTGTTCAGTTTCGACGAAGTTTGCCACATGGCCTTCATCATTGGTGCCTCGTACATTAAATCGTGTTCCAGCTCGTTCACAGCTGAGTCGTGAAATAACAGCGGCGATTGCCTTGCGATGGCTGACATAAACAGTGCGTAATTCCACTGATCCACACATTACTTTCACCAGCCATGAGGAGGTTTCAATGCCGAAACGCACCAGGTGGATGTGCAGCATACGATTCCAAAAGAATCTGTGGTCTGTTAGTGAAGTGCGAGCTTTTCTTTGGGCACAGAGGGTTAAATCAAGTGGAGATTTTATGGGGATTGTGGAAGTGCCTGTGCCTGCCCATGAGAAGTAGAATGTACCAGAGTTGAGTAATTTCCTCACCTAAATCATCAAATTTTAGTATGATTCATTTAAAAATCGGTTTAAATCTTACTTCTGCTATTCTTTCCTCTGAATGTTGATAGTGTAATGGAATGAATTGTGTTTGAGTGATTCTGAATATCTCTGAGTCTCCAATTTTTCCCATTGAGAAACATCCTGTGACCATCACAAGATAAAGCACACTTGACTCTCCAGCATTCAGTTGGAGGACTCCAAGACAACTGTATGCATCTAATATCTTGGTGTATTGTTTCTTGACAGCATCTGTTTCTTGTGCAGCTATAACACAAATTAAATTTAGTATCGTTAGGTCTTCACTTGTGATGTTTAACTGGTATTAATACTTACATAAAACAGCAACAGCTTGACTTTCAAAGAGTAGTGTCTCTTCTTTACCACGGTGTTCCAGCAGAATGCTGAGCGGATTCGGCGGCTGGTTCTTTTCCAAGACGCGAAAACCCTTGTACATTGCCATTTTTACGCTTTCGTTGCCAACACCCAAGATATTAGAAGCGATGAAACATTTTTCCGCTTAATTCGGTGCCTTATCTCCACTTATCACAATCACGGTCGCCTCCTGCTGTCCTGCTGACCCAAAGGGAATCTCTGGAAGGTCGGGAATATTCGTACGTCATTGGTGAATGACAATTCCGAAGGACTGGGTTTCTGAAATTCAAATTTACGCATGCGCAGCATACTCACAAACACAAAATTCTTCAAGTTTTAATATATTTTTTTATTTAGATAGTTTTTAAATATTTAAATGTAGTACATTAATTTATTATCTAGACAACCCAATAGTGTATCTTTTAATATTTAATTATTTAAATATTTTATTCAAGTTTTTTCTTTGGGTTAGTTCCGTTTCTCGACACCGTACACCACCGAAAAATCAATGAATAAATGCAGGCGAATGAACGCACACAAAATTATTGGTACCTTTCCACAATAAACACTTTATTGACGCCAAGATTTATCATAAGAAGTTATTTATTATGTCTAAAGACAGTTAATTATAACACTATCTATTTATAACCGATAAGACCTGAATAAGAAGAGAATTAATCGGGATGAATGCAATCACACTGACCTTTGAACTTTATGAGACACTTCAGATGTTTCAGCCGGTTATAATCAGGCGTAAAAAGGTTTAAACGAAAAAGTTATATTTCTAGAGACAACAGATGAATCACATTGAAATCCTGTTGCATTTATCTTCATATTATTTTATAAAAATTCATAAATATAAAAAGCGCCGAGATAAAAAGTAACTGCCTGGTAAACAGGATAAATTCAAGATAAACACAACGGGTATTTACTAGTTTTCCAAGTTTACAGGATGAAAACTAGGTTAAACAACTGGTTTTCACATGGTTTTGCATTCGCCTGCTGTGAAACATTGCGAAAATGTTCGAGTGTCACAATTTAAGGTTATTTATTGATTATTTTAATTTTAAACATGTTTTTTTATTCATAATAAATGCAATTATTTAGGTTTTTAAGTATAATTTGTGTTAAAAAAGGTAAAACATTCAAATCGGTGACTTAGTGGCGAAAAAACGAACTAAACTTAAGTAAGTTTAGTACATGCGGTGCATTTCATAGGCTGACAAGTGACAATCGCAAAAACAGCGCACTTTCCACACGTTCTCTGTTATCAAAACAAAACACGCACGGACGTACACGGTGAGTACAGTGCGATAAGCTGCGTGCATTGTCGCGGTACCTTTCACTCGCGCTCTCGTCTCGGTAATTTTTGAGTGGTTTCATTTGTTATCAAAACGCGAGGCGCTGAATAGAGTTGTGTGCATTCAACGATCACTCGCTAGCAGGACGCGCGCTAACCCACAGACCTGCAGTATTCGCGATAACGCGCATTGTTGATCAGGTGCAATCAGGTGCATTTGAGTGCAATTTTTTAATTTCGGTGCGAACGCAGCGTGTCATGAGCTGGCTACTGTGTGATTAAACGCGGGCGCAATGCTTAACGGCGGACCTGGAGAATTCCGCAAGTATCTTAAGAACAGTGACAGCCTTCGCAGGATACTCGAGGATACGCAAAATGCTCTCAACGACATCAGGTTTAATCAAGTTAAATGCCGTAAGTATTCATATTATTTTTAATTGTGTATTTTTGGTATAAAATCAAATTTAAAATGTGATTGTTACTTAGGTGAAATTAAAGATCAACTATGCAGTCAATCAAGGATAAATTCCCTCTGTGGTATCCTGGACGCACCTCCGTCTATCCTGGTCTTCGGCCAGAACTGCCATGATAAAGCGCTGCTTGTGAATGCAATCCTAGATGAACCAATCCTGCCGCACCATGGCGCTCACTGGCGTTGGGTAAAAATTGTTTTCGGTGCGGTAAAATCTGTGCGATTAACACTCGGCCAAGAGTATGAAATTGTCGAGAAGCTGGTCGCACACGATTGCAATTGGCAGTCCGTACCTGAACATGATCTTAAACGCCATTTAACCGAATCTCCATTGGATCATTGTCCCACTGTTGAAGTGGAACTCTATCATCCGTTATTGCGCGAGAGTGTTGCTATTGTAGTGCCGCCCGATTGCGATGGATGTGAATTCGTCGAAATCCTTGATCGCAATTTGGACCGCTTGATGCCGGTGATTCTCTATGCCATCAGCGGGGACCAGCTCAGTCATGAGCACATTAATGAAATACGCGCGATCAAGGATAAATTCCCCGATACTCCGTTGTTGTTTGTTTTTGTCAGCAAGGAGGAGACTTCAGTGAGTACAGAATCTCTGACTGAATCCGAGCAGCATCTTTTTGATAAGGATGAGATGCGCACGCAGAAGTTGAATAATATTAGAAATCAATTAGTGAGATTAGGTAAGATATTTAAATAATGGATTTGTGGATAATAAATTTGTATAGGATTTTTGTCCGAGGTGAATACACAGACCGATGAGATGAGGAAGCCGTTTTGCTCCGAGTGTTCCCTTGAAAACACACTTATCAGCGACTCGAATCTGAACGAAGCATTCATATCATTCGTACGTGACGTCCTTAAGTCCTATTTGTTGAAATTATCTGCGATAATTAGTGAGGTATGTGTGTGTTTCTATACTTGCGCAATCAGATATTGCGTGACGTATTTTTTCAGTGCATGCATTTTTCAGGTGAATGCACTTTTATCTTATCTATTATCTATTGCATATTTTTATTTATATTCGCAGATTCATAATAATTGCCTAAGAATATTCATCCTTTCGGCGTTTGACATGGCGCGCGAAATCCAAATCACTCCACGGCGTATTCTCTATGCGCAAACAATAGAACTACAGCTTTATGATAATTTAATGCGTATCGCCAGTGAGAAACAAGAGGAGATTACGAAAATAATTCAATTAACACTACAAACGATGCGGAATAACATTGGAGATGTTTTGGCAGGATACAAGTATAATAATGAAGATGATCCGCACTCAGTCAAAATGGCGACGATGGAAATCCATCAAATTGTTTTGCGTCGATTGAGTAATTCTGTAGCGACACAACTTGTTCTTTCTGTTGGTTGTTTACAGGAGAGTTTCACGGGGACTTTACAGCGATGTCTTGAAGCTTTGGAACAAAGCTGTCATGAAATCGATGGTAATCTATTGGCGTCCGATGCTGTCAAGCAAATACTCTCTGCAGCTTATAATGTTGATTTGACTTCGTCAACGAAATTCACGGTTGTGCATTCTTTCATCGACAAGTTGAGGAAACTCGTGTCGAATTTCCAATTACCATGGCGGAGTTGTGTCACGCCTGATTTTGATTTTCAGTGGCAAGCACACGTGGTCACTGAGCTTCTAGACACACTGAGTGCTTCGAAACTGGCGAAAACAATAAGCGCACAGTTTCAGGAACACATTCGGTCGTCACATGAAGCATTCAAGACGGCGATTCACTTTTTGGAAAACAGACTGTCTGGAAAACTCGAACAAACTGAAGAACAACGAATTTTGATTAGGAAAAAACACGCGCCGCGTCTGGCGCGACTTGCTTTGGAGAGTACTTCGTTGTGTGATATGATTCGTTATGGTATGCCTAAGCAGACCAAAGAAATTGGGCGTGGGCAGTATGGGGTTGTTTTTTCTAGTGAGGCATGGGGAAATGTTAATCCATGCGCTGTTAAATCGGTCGTACCTCCAGACGATCGTCATTGGAATGATTTAGCTATGGAGTTTTATTATACAAGGTAACAAAATGTAATATTTTGCCAAATTGTCATTTTATTCTTTTGTTTGTTATCCACAGAACAATACCTGAACACTGTAGGATAGTTAAACTGCGTGGTTCTGTGGTGGATTATAGTTATGGCGGTGGTAGCTCACCAGCAGTCCTCTTGGTAATGGAACGCATGACACGAGATTTATACTGTGGGCTTAAAGTGGGCCTCAGCTGGGCGAAACGCATACAAATCGCTGTGGATGTTGTCGAAGGCATACGATATTTACATTCCCAGGGTTTAGTCCACAGGGATATTAAACTAAAAAATGTTTTAGTATGTTATTAACAATTTTATGAATGACTGTATATTAATTTGTATAATTTTTAGTTGGATGATTGCGATAGAGCTAAACTCACAGACTTTGGCTTTTGCATGCCGGAAGCAATGATTTCTGGAAGTATAGTAGGCACACCCGTGCACATGGCACCGGAACTCCTTTCTGGACGGTATGATTCCAGTGTGGATGTCTATGCCTTTGGTATTTTATTCTGGTACATCTGCGCGGGGCAAGTCAAGCTCCCGCATCAATTCGAACAGTTTCATAACAAAGAACAACTTTGGACAAGTGTGCGCAGAGGTAACAAATCATAAACGCATTCATTTATACAGATAAATCTAAAATTTTCAATAGGAACAAGACCGGAATGTCTGTCGAACTTTACGCAGGCTTGCTGGAATCTGATGGAGCAATGCTGGGCGGCTGAGCCGTACGATCGACCGCTGCTAGGCTACGTCCAGCCACAATTGGTGGGTATTCAACTGGCGTCAGCGGAACAACCACAAGGCAAGTGCCATAATTCACATAACTCGAATTTATTTGACGACGCGACGACTAGTGGCTCACAGAGCTTCGCGAATCCGTTTCTAAATTTTGACTCAAGCGATACGTTCACCAACTATCGTTACGAAATGATGCAATATAGAGAGTTTTGACCTGAATAAATATATTGACGTTTTCAAAAAAGACGCTTCACGTTTTTGCAGACTTGGAAAACTTATGGACTTGTATGTTTTCAGATACCTAACACACTCAACAGCCACGTTAACTCTGGTTCTTTTATAATATTTATTATTTATACACATTTTTCCATTTTACATATATATATTCTATATATATATATATACTTTAAAACAATAAACTTAATGCTTAATTATTGCTTAATTAAGTGTTTAGATACCACCTTTGAAACAATATGTGTATCATCTTCGTTGAAGAGAGTTTTCTACCGTCGCATAATACTTCTTCAATGACATACAAACAGTAATCAGTCTAAAAACATTATTCATTTCATAGTATAATATATTTATAAATATTTGAGCTTTATATTTTTCGTCCTCTTATTATATGTGTACTTTCATCGATGTAGGCGCGAAAATAACTGTGTCTAGGATTGCACAAGCATTTCTAGATAAAAAATCTTTTTCCGCCTCCGTCTAAAATCGCTACAATATTTTTTTAATCATTACTCGGCTAATCCATTCAATTTGTCATCGTTTTCATTTGGCAGTACATATATTGTTTCTCGAAATTGTTATCACAAACAACAAGCAACGTGAAATGGCGAGAGGAGATAAAATCTAAAATATAACGTGCAGCAATACTTATATCGACATTTGGTATAAATGCATAATAATTAATAATAATACATAAATATAATACAAGTCTCCCTACGGCCCTACTTATTGATTTGAGACTTTTCTCTAGCAACAACAATGCTTAATAAGTAATATTAAATTTATACTTTTTCTATGAAGATCAGTTTTGTTTAGTGAAATTTTAAAATTAATTAAAATTTTATTCGATGTCAACCCTTTTACCACAAACAGATTAAAATCGTTTTTTGATTAAGCTCGCACTATGTATTGTAATTATTGTATTGTAGTAGCTTACTCAGTGGTCGGAGGACGGCGCAATTGTCAGCGTCACCGACAAACCAGAGTCTTTGATAAGATTTACAATTTCGCCATGGCTGAACTGCATGATGTTGATGTGGTTCACAGCGACGATGTAATCCCCCACACGTAGGTGACCGCAACGTTCGGCCGGACTGTCCTCAATTAATCGACCTACGTACACACAAAATAATTAATCTTATGTATTATACTTGAGCGATGGTATGCTTACCAATTGTCGAGCCGACTTTATTCGCTGAGGAAATGATAACGAAACCAAAACCTTCGTTTTCGGTTCGGTTTACGATAACATCATAAGTCTGACCATTTGGGCTACCGATTGGACTGTGGACAACTTGTGGAGGCGGTAAACCATACTCTCCAGCAGGAAAATTCCTTCTTCGCAGGACCAGATTAACTTGACCTCTCGTCGCGGCCTGATTCATCAATTGTACAACTTGGCGATGTGACGCTTTGAGCACTGAGTAATTGTCAACGCTGACAATTTCGTCCCCGGAGCGAATGCGTCCATCTACATCAGCCGCACCACCAGCAACAATATGCCCAACGGCAACTTGCGATCTATCCTCGATGCCACCAACGATCCGGAACCCAAAGCCGGACTCTTGCCGCTGCAGCGTGATATTCATCTCGACGCATTCGTTGTTCTGTTGCGACTGCCACCAGTCTTGTAAGTTGTTTGCTTTTCTACTACTGTTGCTTTCGTATGTACTGCTGCCACCATCGGTTGTTCCAGGTCGGTGGTTCTGACATTGGAAGCAGAGACAATCGTACGCATGTGGCACCGGCATGTATTGATGCTGTGGATGACCCGCTCGAGTTTTCTGGACGATGTTATTGATTTCCTCTTCTTCAATGTCTCCGTTCTCGATGAATGACAATCGTAAATTCCCCTCGGCGTATGTGGGACGCATCATATCATGGCCGTTGGAGTTGAGGTCCTTCGTGGGAGTCTTCGTGATGCTGCGCGTGTCCACAATAGGTGTTTTTGGTCGACTTGGAAGGACTTCGCGGGTTTGCGTACTGTAGATGTCCGCAGTGGGAGTTTTGCTCCTGAAGGCATTCACCATATCTTTGGCACCAAAGCGATTGTCCAGCTTGCGTGGTTTGCGGTTTGTGTTCGTCTTGGAACAACCTCGTTGTACACAGATGGTCGCTTCGAGATTATACGGACAGTTCTTTAGAACCTGTACCACATCATCATGCGTTAGACTTCTTAGGGATATATCGTTGATATCCAAGAGAATATCTCCTTCAAGGAGGTTTTTACATCGTTGGCGATCGAGGATCTTTTTAACTCGTTGCCCACATGCACTATCAGCAATAGTAAATCCAAAACCTAGATTTCCCTTGACGATTTTAACGCTCACCTCGACTTTCGTAATGCTGACATTGTTCATCCCCTTGAGCAAATCATCAATATCATCGTTGTTATCAAGCGCGCTGACATCATCCCGTGAAATATCATCGCCTTCAAGGAAATTATAGTTGGTATCTAAATTTCCAAGGCGTTTCTCAGTTGGTACTGCCTGCAGAGTGGAATCAACTGCAATGGTAGTTACAACCTCAGTATTTGGGTCATTTGGATCAAATGGAAGCGGATATCCCCTGCAAACTTCAAGTGCAACTGTGGAGCCCACACTGATTGACTGGAAAAGCCTCACAATCTGGTTGTGGGTGTAGCCTAGTACACAGGTGTCATTTACGAAGACAATCACATCCCCCATTTGCAACTTCCCATCTAACCATGCCGGCCCTTTTGGGACCACCGATTTAATTTGTAGAAATTCATCCACTCCGTCGTCCCCACCAACGATTGTAAAGCCCAGACCTCTCGAGGACTTGACCAGAGAGGTGCGGAAGCGCTGCCCGCATAATTCAGCCGGATCTTTAGTAAAGGAAGCTCTACTTGCCCGCGCAGAAGCTTGGGATGCTGCGCGTTTCGCCTGAATCACGGGATTTTCATACTGCGTCCGTCGATTGACGTGATCTATAAAGTAGGTGCCATAATGTGGGTCACTGATCTTCTCCCAGCCATAAGGCAATTCATCATCCATGCAGTCCTCAAGTGACTTTTTTTGGAATTTTGAGAGTCGCGGGTCTAACCAGTGGGACGTTCCAGTGGTGTGACTAAAATAGGTCATAGGAGTCAGTACAATAGATACCTTATAGACTAAAAACATGCACAACTTACTCGATGAAGTAGACTTCACCACTCTCAGTGTAGGCCTTCTCCCATTTGGGCGGAAGCGCGCCCAGGGACTCATCGTTATCGTTGGTATGATTACCCTCCTCGGGGAAGTATCCGGTGCAGTGTGGTGGCTCGATAGTCGTCTCCTCGGTTTCAACACGTAGTGGTTGGGAGAGTGAAGATTTGTCACTCTTGTGACTCATTTTTTGCTGAGGCTGCTTCTACCTGCTAGTCAATAACCGCCCATTTCAATCGTCGCGGGGCGCACACAGGGGCAGCTGCACCCACCCGCACAACGCGCACTCACGCAATATATACAGCCACGTTAAGAATTGATACTAGATGAAACACCGAGGTCGAGGAACAGCATTTCGTGAAGATGTTTCCCAAATTGTCATTGCACTAGGCTAGCGGGCAGGGGAAATGGAACGAACGGAAAGCTGTGCACTCGCGTTTGTTTACGATTTGGCAGAAAGAGAGGAAGCGAAAGCTTGCCAGGTGTAGTTCAAGATTCTGACTTAGGATGCGCTGCTAAGAAATAAGAAATTACAGGGATTGTCTCCGGGTTGTTGACAAAAGGTTCTTTTAATAAAAATGATGTTTAAAATGTATGGTAAGTATTCAGAATAATTGAATTATTATCTATTTGCATATATTTTATTAATGAATTTTGATTTTAAATTAGAGAATGCATTTTATGCGACATCTATATTTCAATTTGTATTTTATAACTGTCAGCCATTGCTTCTATGGAAATGTAATGATGGGTCGATGCACGGTCGATGGGAAAACACCTCGTATCTCAGGTACAAATTGAGTTATTTGGATTATCTAATTGTTAAATTATAGCTAAAGAATTTCTCTATATGATGCGTACCTTTCCGTTTCTGTAAATTCTTTGAAAGTATCCTGAAATTCTCGGCAAAAATTACTAATTTTTAAAAAGTTTTAAAGTCGGTATGAAAAACACCCCGTATCTCTGTTTCCAATGGAGTAGTGTTTCTAATTTTATTGTCAAAAGTTAGATAAAGAGTCCCTCTAGAAAATAATATTTTTTTTGATCTTTTAAACTTTTTGGAAGTGCCCTAAAATTATCGTCAAAAATGTTGTTTTTCTCAAATTTTGAAAAGTAAGCGTGGAAAACACCCTGTAATTTCTGAATCAATGGAGTAATTTAAGTTATCTTATTGTCAAATAATAACTAAGAAGTCGTTTTAAAATACGCTTACTATTTTAATCCTTTTATCCCTCTGGAAGGGCCCTAAAATTACCGCCAAAAATGCAATTTCTTCTCAATTTCAAAAAGTGGACGTGGAAAACACCCTGTAATTCCTGAACCAATGGAGCAATTTGGGTTATCTCATTGTCATATAATAGTTAAGAAATTCTTCTAAAATATGCTTATTGTTTTAACCCTTTTACCCTTTTGGATGTGCCCTAAAATGACCGCCAAACATCTTGTTTCTTCTATAATTTTGTGAAGTGAGCGTAAAAAACACCCTGTAATTCCAGAACCAATGAAGCAATTTTATATATCTTATCGTCAAGTGTTAGTTTAAGAGTCCCTTTACAACGTAAATACCTTCCCCTCCCTTTAAATTAATTGAAAGTGCCCTAAAACAGCGTCCAAAAATTGGCATTATTTTCACTATTTTTCGTTTTTGGGTTGAAAGGCTGGGTCTAATTTCTATCCATTTTATTTTTAGTCGACCAAGAACAGAGCCGATTTTTTTTTTAAATTATTTTCGCCCGAAGAACCGGGTCGAATTTTTTACTTAAAATATTTTCGCTTGAAAGACAGGGCCGAACTTTTCTCTTAAAATATTTTTGGCAGAAAGACAGAGCCGAACTTTTCCCTAAAAATATTTTCGGTCGAAAGACAGAGCCGAACTTTTTCCTTAAAATATTTTCAGTCGATAGACAGGGCCGAACTTTTTCCTTAAAATATTTTCGTTCGAAAGACAGGGCCAAACTCTTTCTTTACAATACTTTCGTTCGAAATTAAAATTTAAACCCTAATATCTCTTGAACTAAAAGGGCTAGGAGAAAAAGGACTTCAAATTTTTGTTCCTTTTAAAATGCTATACAGGATGGCACCCTTATTGAAGAACGACCAAAAAGGCACAAAAAATTTTTAAAGAAAAGATTTTGTTATAAAAAATGCAAAAGATTTCTCTTTTTTATGTCGAATGTAGTTTGCATTAAAATTGTAAATAAGGCCTGAACGGTTAATGTTAGCAAAAAAGTTACTAAAATAATCTATTATCTATTAAATTATCTATCAGGTTTCCGATTTAAAATTTAATCGAAATTAATAGTTCCATGCATAGTACAAGTACAATTCTATTCATGTTCTTCACTTCCACACTGAAAGTGTCAGTGTTTACAAACAAACATGTTTTCTTATCTCGTGCAATTTTTGTGCGATCGCCACGCGGTTGGCTTGTGTACCACGTCAGTCTCATTTTTATCGTCAGGTGATCTGCACGCACAGTTTCTTCATTATTCTCGAGTCGCTAAATTCGAAAAGTAGTTCGTACCACGCGGATTGTACAATACGCATAGTTATTAATCGCGTTTCTTGAGATGTTAATATGATAGTGACATGGATGACAATGAATTTCAGCCAGTGGGGCTTACAGTTATTGAATTGTCGCTCATGGAATCGGATATTGAGTGACTTTGCTAACATTCGTGGCTGTCGTCGGATACCGTCCGCTTGCTAATATGTCGAATTGGTATTATTATTTATTTATTCAACGGTTAATTTATTAAAATAAGTATCAATTCTTACTAATGTTAAATGTCTGTTGTTAACCGAAGAACAATTAAGTGAGTGACGTCAATGCAAATTAAAACTATGGTACTCGTATCCATTAATTTTAATATGTATTTGTTTTTACTTGTAAATGGATTTTTAAGTGGGATAGTTTTAGTCTATTTGCACTGTCAGGACGATGTCCTGACGATGCCCTTACCGGCGAAACAATTGTCGATTCATCAATAAACCATTGCAAATAGACTAAAACTCTTTCAGTTAAAAATCCATTTATAAGTTAAAAATGTTGCACAAAATTTCCATCATAACTCTAATATTTTTCTTTGTTTTTATTTATTGTGTAGTGAAACCATTTGCTGTGAATAAAAGTGGCTAAGCCCATAAGCCATTTTTCGTAACTTGGTAATGGTACCGAACTTACCCTTCTACGGTGCCCTGAATGGGAGTCACTTCTACCGCTACCCTCGTACGGTGCCCTGAATGGGAGTCACTTCTAACGCTACCCGCTATATTCGTACGATGCGGTAACTTTTGTGATTATCTCACAAATTGATCTCCAAAATTGCATTTTTCTGTTCAAATGACTAATTTTTTATGGTTTTAGGGATTTTGCACCTGAGCCTGAGAAGGTAGAAGGACCATTCTTGCATCAGATTGTAAGTAATTAATTCCTTTATCATATTCCTAAATAACTTTTTCGATTATCTCACAAATTGACCTCCAAAATTGCATTTTTATGTTCAAATGACTAATTTTTTATGGTTTTAGGGATTTTGCACCTGAGTCTGACATCGTAGAAGGACCATTCTTGCATCAGATTGTAAGTAATTAATTCCTTTATCATATTCCTAAATAACTTTTTCGATTATCTCACAAATTGACCTCCAAAATTGCATTTTTATGTTCAAATGACTAATTTTTTATGGTTTTAGGGATTTTGCACCTGAGCCTGAGAAGGTAGAAGGACCATTCTTGCATCAGATTGTAAGTAATTAATTCCTTTATCATATTCCTAAATAACTTTTCGATTATCTCACAAATTGACCTCCAAAATTGCATTTTTATGTTCAAATGACTAATTTTTTATGGTTTTAGGGATTTTGCACCTGAGCCTGAGAAGGTAGAAGGACCATTCTTGCATCAGATTGTAAGTAATTAATTCCTTTATCATATTCCTAAATAACTTTTTCGATTATGTCACAAATTGACCTCCAAAATTGCATTTTTATGTTCAAATGACTAATTTTTTATGGTTTTAGGGATTTTGCACCTGAGCCTGAGAAGGTAGAAGGACCATTCTTGCATCAGATTGTAAGTAATTAATTCCTTTATCATATTCCTAAATAACTTTTTCGATTATCTCACAAATTGACCTCCAAAATTGCATTTTTATGTTCAAATGACTAATTTTTGATTGTTTTAGGGATTTTGCACCTGAGTCTGACATCGTAGAAGGACCATTCTTTCATCAGATTGTCAGTATTAAATTTCCTTATCATTATTTTAAATAACTTTTGTGATTATTACACAAATTGACTCCCAAAATGTATGCTTGTGTGTTTTCTTCAATAAAAAATATTTTTAAGTTTTTCTAATTAAAATTATTTCTGTTATTTCTACCCGACCACATTTTATCGATCCCTTAAAACATTTATTTTGAAAAGTGCATGCTCGTGCCATCTATCAATTAGAAACTACAACAACCGAAAGTTTTGAGCTTCGGTCCGTCGCCACCAGAGGCAGCACATTACTAGTTACCGCGAAAACTTTCTCAGCCTCCTCAACTTTCTGCGATCCTAATATTCAATCTTTATTTTGTCGACTCTGAGAGGCAAAAATGACACAAAATTTGGACTCGAAACAGTCGAAACTCAGGTTTTGGTATTCGGATCGCAGAAAGCGAGAGGAAGTAAATGAAGGAGGCGGTAACTAGTAATGGCGGGTAAAATGAATGTTTAAAAATCTTTATTCAGCAAATTCGGTTTTCGAATTCTGAAGGATCTCGACAACTAAGAGGGCTAGAAAATTAAGAACTACATAATCTTGATCCTTGAAAAATTCTCTACAAGGTGGCATCATTATTGAAAAATCATCAAAATGGCACAAAAAATTTTTAAAGAAAAGATTTTATTAAAAAAATGGCAAAAGATTTCTGTTTTTTATGTTGAAAATTAAAAGTTGGAATTTTGAAACAAATTGAAATAATATATATAATAATATGGCGGGAAGTATCTATGTCCACTTTCTGCGTCCCTAATACTACAGACTGATGAGCAGCAACATTTCAGCAATTTTCTCGACAAATTTTGTCGAGAAATCCATTGAAAATGGTAACAAAATTCTTTTGAATATTAGGATCGCAGAAAGTGCAGTAGGCTAAATCTCTTGAATAGCGGCGTAGTTTTGTTACTCGTGGATAGATGACACTAGTGATACCGTTTTTAAATTAATATTGATACAATATAAAATTGATTTTGCACTATTTCTCATATCTAGCAGTGGCATTTCCATTAAAGTTTAAGGGTTTTATGGATTAATTAAAGGAGTAACCATGTTGCAAGCTATGTTCTTCGTTTGGAACAAATAAAATAATAAAAATTTATAGTTAAAAGTATAAAACAACAATTTTATTCAAACATGTAGAATATACACCCATCAGTAACTCAATTTCTCAGTATATACATGTAATTATACAATGCTCTTTTTATAATTTTTAACATAATAAACAAAAATGATATCAATAACAGCTTAAAAATGTTGTAAATTTATTAAATCGTGTTTGGAATCATCATTAACACCGGCAATCCAATCTTCAATTTCTTGGACTCTATAAATCAGAATGAATAACAGAATAATAAAATATAAAATATTATAAATTGCAAAAATATAACATACGTTCTGGGTATTTTAGTCCAGTTGAAACATCCACCTTCAGTAAACAAAACATCCTCAATACGCATTCCACCAGTACTGCTAAACCTCTCCTGTTCAAGTTCCCAGTTCCCATTCAAGGCACCGTACGAAGGTAGCGGTAGAAGTTACATTTAGGGCACCGGACTACTCATCGGACTACATCGGACTACGGCGAATACTGTAAAAAAACATAAATTAAAACAACTTGCATAAGTATGCATACAAAACACGAAAAGCATCACCACTTTTGATCAATAATGTACATTAAACGCGGCAATAGTAAATAACAATACTATAGTTGCAAATTACAATTGAATAATCAACTGTTGATCGAATATAAAGCAAATTTAGCAATTTTTTTACATTTGGCATGGTACATATATGCGATCTAAACTATATTAGAATGTGCTGCATGCGGCAAATGGCAACAGCGTGAGAGGATGACAACGACAAACAAGGAAAATTAAATTCTGCATCTAGGAAAATTAATTCAAACTAATTGAGATACCGCGTTCGCGTGTTATAACAAAAAAACTACAATTCCTAGCGCAACGAGTACTAGTGCGTATACACACAACTTTCAAAATAACTCGCGTTACGGAATTTTCCCGTAATAAATTTCTGTACAGGGAAATGTAGAATTAAATTCTGCACCTGGAAAAATTATTTTAAACTAATTTTGACACCGCATTCGCGTGTTATAACAATAAAACAACAATTCCTAGCGCAACGAGTACTAGTGCGTTTACACACAACTTTCAATATAACTCGCGTTACGGAATTTTTCCGTAATAAATTTCTATACAGGAGATGCAGAATTAAATTCTGCATCTAGGAAAATTATTTCAAACTAATTGTGACACCGCGTTCGCGTGTTATAACAATAAAACAACAATTCCTAGCGCAACAAGTATTAGTGCGTATACACACAACTTTCAATATAACTCGCGTTACGGAATTTTCCCGTAATAAATTTCTGTGCAGGGAGATGCAGAATTTAATTCTGCACCTGGAAAAATTATTTTAAACTAATTTTGACACCGCATTCGCGTGTTATAACAATAAAACAACAATTCCTAGCGCAACGAGTACTAGTGCGTTTACACACAACTTTCAATATAACTCGCGTTACGGAATTTTTCCGTAATAAATTTCTATACAGGGAGATGCAGAATTTAATTCTGCATCTAGGAAAATTATTTCAAACTAATTGTGACACCGCGTTCGCGTGTTATAACAATAAAACAACAATTCCTAGCGCAACAAGTATTAGTGCGTATACACACAACTTTCAATATAACTCGCGTTACGGAATTTTCCCGTAATAAATTTCTGTGCAGGGAGATGCAGAATTTAATTCTGCACCTGGAAAAATTATTTTAAACTAATTTTGACACCGCATTCGCGTGTTATAACAATAAAACAACAATTCCTAGCGCAACGAGTACTAGTGCGTTTACACACAACTTTCAATATAACTCGCGTTACGGAATTTTTCCGTAATAAATTTCTATACAGGGAGATGCAGAATTAAATTCTGCATCTAGGAAAATTATTTCAAACTAATTGTGACACCGCGTTCGCGTGTTATAACAATAAAACAACAATTCCTAGCGCAACAAGTATTAGTGCGTATACACACAACTTTCAATATAACTCGCGTTACGGAATTTTCCCGTAATAAATTTCTGTGCAGGGAGATGCAGAATTTAATTCTGCACCTGGAAAAATTATTTTAAACTAATTTTGACACCGCGTTCGCGTGTTATAACAATGAAAGAACAATTCCTAGCGCAACGAGTATTAGTGCGTATACACACAACTTTCAATATAACTCGCGTTACGGAATTTTCTGGCAAAACATTTTTATACTGGGAGATGCAAAATTAAATTTTGCATTGGGGAAAATAAAGCAGAACTAATTATGACACCGGGTTCACCTGTTATAACAAAGAAACTATAATTCCTAGCGCAACGAGTACTACGGCGCAAACACAACTTTTATTATAACTCGCGTTACGGAATTTTCTGGCAAAATATTTTTATACTGGGAGATGCAAAATAAAATTCTGCATCTGGAAAAATTAATTCGAACTAATTGTGATACCGCGTTCGCGTGCTATAACAAAAAACTACAATTCCTAGCACAAGGAGTGACAAAAATCACCCCTTCATTCAAATTTTCGCAGGTTCCTACGGTGCCCTGAACACGAGTCAAATTTACCGCTAGCCTCGTAAAGTGCCCTGAATCGAGTCACTTCTACCGCTAACAAATACCACCCGGCGGAGATTTTAATTCGGCTTTTTTTGACGCCCCGCTGAAGTTACTAGGTCGCCGAGTTCGCATAGAATATCGGAAATATACAAAAATATACCTAACACTGACAATCAGAAGTATCAAACATACATACATACTGTACATATACTAAGTACATAAAAATATGATGAGACTTACCAGGAGTGCAAATCCTGAGATTGAGAATCGTAGAACAAGTATTGAAGCCAGGTAGGGAACATATCAGAGAATGTATTTGCATTAAAACCAGAATTGTTCGCATGAATCGACACTACAAAACTCGAAATTTGGAAAATGGTTGAACAGTACTGAAGGGAAATTCCCGATCAAGTAAAACTGCGGTAAGAACAAATCAAAATAATTCAATGAAATATTTAATCAAAAGAAAAGAAATACTAACACCGATAAATAAGTAGAAGTCAAACAATTCTCGTGTGCAAGTTGTAGGGTACGGAATAAATATAGTTTTATCAGTTTTATTTTCATGCACCGAAAAGAAATGTCAATAAATTCGCATATCAGGGGCATTCCAGTGTAAACATTAAACATCAGTAAAAATAAGCATTTCCCAGGCGGGCAATGTATTAAATTTATAGTAATTCAAACCGGAATGACAATTACAATGACGCGAAACTGAACTATGCCCATGAAATGAAGAATTTAATTATAATCTCAGCCATGAACTCTCGCCCTGTGCATTGTAACTCATGGAACGTCACTGGCCCTCACTGGCATTTCTTCAATTACTAAAACAAATGAATAATAAAAGTTAAAACATGTTATACAAATGCAAAATAAAATAATGTTATCAATTCGTGCATCAAAACACGATGTTTGTTGTCGAAATGTGTGTGCACGGTGCACTCCACGCGGCGAACGAGATAAGAACACACTAGTTGTAAACAAACAGCGATAAGCGTCAATAGTCAGAAGATTGAACACAATGCTAGCTGGCAGTGTCGGCACAAGTTAGAAACGCTTCGATTTTAATTTGAATTTAATAAAAGATGCAAACGTTCATATGAATTTACTGTATTAATTAGGTTTTAAGACCGTATTGTTGGCAACAGAGCTGCAATACCGGCAGCGGCCATGATGCGCCTGAAAGGCGAACACATGCACGGCGAACGCGACGTTATATCGGATACCGACAGACGCTTAGAACGGAAAACTAAATCAATTACATTTATCATTCTAACTTTAAATGAAGTCCAATGTTATTTACGTGCAGAATAAAATAAATAGCAATTCTTACCAATTGAAAGATGGCCGACGCCACTTCACAACAGGTAAACAACATAGCCGCGATACTCTTACGCGCAAATAATAAATAACAATACTAAAGTTGTACGAAAGTTAAGTTATAATTAAATAGTCAATTGATGATCGAATATAATACGAATTGGAAAGTAGAAGTCCGGATAAACAATACGAGTGGCGCAAAATACGTCTGGACCAACCAGCGGCCGGCACAAAACTGGCCGCAAGCTGCATAGGCAATGACGAGACAGTTTATGATAAGAAAACAAGAGGTGCGCAAAGCCGGCGCGTCGATCACACGCGATCTTGTGCGTGAATTGCAATAGATGCGCAAACTCGGCGGCGCGTCGATGGAATGCGACCTTATGCGCGAATTGCATTAGGCAGTTTACCTGAGATCAAAACTAAACTAAGATGCAGCAACATGCGGCGTGAGGTGCTGGCAACGACGACACACGGCAATGCGATAAGAAAGTGTATATTGTGTTTCAACAAACACAATGCTTTATTTTACAATTTTTAGTCCATATTATTGCCATCTATAAATGATACAGTAGTTTCGAAATTTAGATTAGTGAAGATAATGAAAAATTAAAATACGATTTGCGTAATTCTGATTTCGTCTGATTTTGATCGATTTTATTCAATCGCGAATATCTCGTAAACTAAAAGAGATAATTAAGATCTGATCGCAGCGTCTTAATCTACGAACTATTCTCTATCAGATAGGATAGTTAGAAGGGAAATTTAAAAGAAAAAATTTTAAATCTTAAGAAAAAAATCGCCAAGGGGGGGTGCTTGATACTTTTTTTCGACGATTTTCAAAAATTAATATCTTTTAAACTAAAAGAGATAGCTACCAACGAATCGTTGATTATGAAAGATTGGAAAATTGTCTATCAGACAAAAATATAAAATAATTATATTTCCTACAGTAAAAGGTGGAAAAACGCGACTAAAAGTGCTAAAAAGTGACATTTTGCAATTTTTGTCGATTTTATTCAATCGCGAATATCTCGTAAACTAAAAGAGATAAATAGGATCTGATCGCAGCGTCTTAATCTACGGAACTATTCTCTATCAGATAGGATAGTTAGAAAGGAAATTTAAAATAAAAAATTTTAAATCTTAAGAAAAAAATCGCCAAGGGGGGGTGCTTGATATTTTTTTCGACAATTTTCAAAAATTAATATCTTTTAAACTAAAAGAGATAGCTACCAACGAATTGTTGATTATGAAAGATTGGAAAATTCTCTATCAGATGAAGCTATAAAATAATTATATTTCCTACAGTAAAAGGTCAAAAAACGCGACTAAAAGTGCTAAAAAGTGACATTTTGCAATTTTTGTCGATTTTATTCAATCGCGAATATCTCGTAAACTAAAAGAGATAATTAAGATCTGATCGCAGCGTCTTAATCTACGGACTATTCTCTATCAGATAGGATAGTTAGAAGGGAAATTTAAAAGAAAAAATTTTAAATCTTATGAAAAAAATCGCCAAGGGGGGGTGCTTGATTCTTTTTTTTGACGATTTTCAAAAATTAATATCTTTTAAACTAAAAGAGATAGCTACCAACGAATTGTTGATTATTAAAGATTGGAAAATTCTCTATCAGATAAAACTATAAAATAATTATATTTCCTATAGTAAAAGGTCGAAAAACGCGACTAAAAGTGCTAAAAAGTGACATTTTGCAATTTTTGCCGATTTTATTCAATCGCGAATATCTCGTAAACTAAAAGAGATAAATAGGATCTGATCGCAGCGTCTTAATCTACGGACCAATCTCTATCAGATAGGATAGTTAAAACAGAAATCTCTGAGATTAAATTTTAAATCTTAAGAAAAAAATCGCCAAGGGGGGGTGCTTGATACTTTTTTTCGACGATTTTCAAAAATTAATATCTTTTAAACTAAAAGAGATAGCTACCAACGAATTGTTGATTATGAAAGATTGGAAAATTGTCTATCAGACAAAAATATAAAATAATTATATTTCCTACAGTAAAAGGTCGAAAAACGCGACTAAAAGTGCTAAAAAGTGACATTTTGCAATTTTTGTCGATTTTATTCAATCGCGAATATCTCGTAAACTAAAAGAGATAATTAAGATCTGATCGCAGCGTCTTAATCTACGAACTATTCTCTATCAGATAGGATAGTTAGAAGGGAAATTTAAAACAAAAAATTTTAAATCTTAAGAAAAAAATCGCCAAGGGGGGGTGCTTGATACTTTTTTTCGACGATTTTCAAAAATTAATATCTTTTAAATTAAAAGAGATAGCTACCAGCGAATTGTTGATTATGAAAGATTGGAAAATTCTCTATCAGATAAAGTTATAAAATAATTATATTTCCCACAGTAAAAGGTCAAAAAACGCGACTAAAAGTGCTAAAAAGTGACATTTTGCAATTTTTGTCGATTTTATTCAATCGCGAATATCTCGTAAACTAAAAGAGATAATTAAGATCTGATCGCAGCGTCTTAATCTACGGACTATTCTCTATCAGATAGGATAGTTAGAAGGGAAATTTAAAAGAAAAAATTTTAAATCTTAAGAAAAAAATCGCCAAGGGGGGGTGCTTGATTCTTTTTTTCGACGATTTTCAAAAATTAATATCTTTTAAACTAAAAGTGATAGCTACCAACGAATTGTTGATTATGAAAGATTGGAAAATGCTCTATCAGATAAAGCTATAAAATAATTATATTTCCTAAAGTAAATGGTCGAAAAACGCGACTAAAAGTGCTAAAAAGTGACATTTTGCAATTTTTGTCGATTTTATTCAATCGCGAATATCTCGTAAACTAAAAGAGATAAATAGGATCTGATGGCAGCGTCTTAATCTACGGACTATTCTCTATCAGATAGGATAGTTAGAAAGGAAATTTAAAAGAAAAAATTTTAAATCTTAAGAAAAAAATTGCCAAGGGGGGGTGCTTGATACTTTTTTTCGACGATTTTCAAAAATTAATATCTTTTAAACTAAAAGAGATAGCTACCAGCGAATTGTTGATTATGAAAGATTGGAAAATTCTCTATCAGATAAAGCTATAAAATAATTATATTTCCTACAGTAAAAGGTCAAAAAACGCGACTAAAAGTGCTAAAAAGTGACATGTTTCAATTTTTGCCTATTTTATTAAATCGCGAATATCTCGTAAACTAAAAGAGATAAATAGGATCTGATCGCAGCGTTATAATCTACGGACTATTCCCTATTGGATAGGCTTGTATGGAAAGCTGAGAGATGAAATTTTAATTCTTAGTGCAATTTTTCTTTTTTGCCCTTTTTTTTGAATTGCGAATATCTCCTAATTATGTCCGACCGTTCCAGTCGTCTAATTTGAGTCACAGGTAGGTAGTACATGATAAATAGAAAATTTGTTCATAAGCAGTAAATGCAAATTTGAGCGAAAAATATAATTGAATTATAAACTTACCAGTGTACAGCTTATCGGACTGCCAGGCACAACAAGTGCTGTAACTAAACGAAAACATAAATTAAAACATAAATATTTCATACAATTGAATTATGTTATAATTAACAATCAACACAAAATAAACAAATAAACAGCACAGAGTTTAGTAAAATAATACTTACGGGAGCCTGATGGATCTATCTTAATGATGAGAATCAACATGGGGGCGATATATATTCGATTAATTTAGTAACCGACACCAAACACAACGCCGAGTGAAGAATGTTATCACATCCACTATCACGTGACTTGTAATATACATAACAAACGCGATCAAAAAACCGGCATTACCGAATATTAAACAAATTACTATAGTCGCAATGTACAAATAAATAGTCGATTGATCTTCAAGTATAACACAAATTTAGAATATTGAAGTCCGAATAAACGATATAAGCCTCTCAAAACACGACTGGATTAACCAGCAATCGGCACGAAACTGGCTGCAATCCACCGATAGTGCATGCCGAAACTGCGTAAACAACAACGGGACAGTACATGATAAGAAAGCAAGAGGTGCGCAGAAACGGCGCGTCGACGGCACGCGACTTTGTGGCGAATTTGCAATAGGCACATTACCTGTGATCTAAACTAAACTAGACTTCGCTGCATGCAGCAAGTTGAAGCGGCGCTAGGAGACAGCGCGCGGAACACATGCGATAAAAACGCTGTTTACACCGAAACGCAGATAACAGCATTGTATACAAAACTATTCTAGTGCCCACGTTTGTCGATAAATATAAATATAAGCCGTATAACTTGATTTTATGATTTTTAGTGTATCCTAGTGCCATCTATGAATGCGACAGATACAATAAAAATAGTTAAAAGTTAAAAGTTAAAAAGTTAATTTTAACTTAGTTTTAATAAGAAATACAAGTATACAAACCTCTAACATGTAATTAACTTTAATAACATTTAGACTCTCAATGGTTAATGGTATCAAAACAAGTTTCCAAAATAATTGATGTAGTCTATCAGAAACTGAAAACAGAATTTGAAAATTCCCACTTTTAATTTTCAACATAAAAAAGAGAAATCTTTTGCCTTTTTTGGCTTTTTCAGTGTATTATTTTTAATATTTAAGAAATAAATGAACATTTTCAACCCTATTCATATTTCCTAAGTTTTCCTTTATTGTTCAATCAATTTATACAACAATTTCTATAACGGCACGCATGCAGTTACAAGAAATATATTTTGACCTATATATGTGTCCCGATATTTCTTGATAAGAACTGAATATTGAACTGGAAGTATTTTGTTCATGTTTATTCGGGTCCAGTTGCTTCCATTGTACAGTCCTCCTGAAGATTCAACATGTCGACCACTGACCACGTGCCTGCGTTGCGCGAGAAAATCTCCGGATGGTTGAATAAATTTGACGATAAAACTAAAAATGTAAGTTTAATTATCAATAAATAATAAATACATTGTTCATTAATTAATTTCTCATCGCTAAGGTAGGTACAAATGGAAGACCTGAAAGTTTTAGTAGAGTTACTTGGGTTTTCTGTGAAAGTTGATACAAAAACTTTGGTGATATCAACTACTGGACAAGATAACGCTACAGAATTAAATGATGTAAAAGTATTGCATGAAACATCCGATATGAACAAATTAAAGGAAATTAAGGAACCAATGTCTCCGAAGCCCTCAGAAATCAACGTCAGCATGATGAACGTCTCAACTTCAAACCATAACAAACCCAAGAAATTTTCTGATACTCTTTTGAAAATAATTAACTTAGCTAAAGACGCCCTGGACAACGAGGTTAATTCAACATTTACAAAGGCTGCTTATCGCCACAGTCAATTTTCTGGTATTAAAATTAGCCCAGTGTTACGAAACACCAGTCGAACTCATCCAGGAAATGATCTTAATGTGACCAAAACAAAAGAAAATCCTAGTGTACTAAAACCCACGCCGAGGAAGAGAAGAGGAGCTGTGATTGTCAAACCTGATGAAAAGGAGAACAAGAAAACAAGCAGTTCAAATGTCTCCGTTACGTTTAGGAAGAATGTTCTTCAACCTGTGCAGTCAAATTTGAAATCATTGACATCTAAACTAAGAACTGTGAGTTTAATTTGCTTTAATTAATGTGGAATTCATTAGGAAACTTTTTTTCAGCCCACACAGATTAAACCATCCCCTAGTTCCCTTGCAACACGTTCTGCTGGTGCACCCCCGTCTAGAATAGCTGTTCTATCAGAAAGAAGAATGTCCACAACTCCACTTCGGGGAGATTCATTTGGTTTCTCAAGACTGAAATATGCATCAAGCATAAGGAAGTAGGGGCCATCACTGTAAATAAGGCATTTTAATGTATAATTTTATTCTAGACCTGAAAACAAACAATTTTATTCGTTTCTGAATGTAATTAATAATCAAATATACATTTAAACATAATTTACTATGAGATGCTAATGTATTTGACATTCTCTCTTTTATTCTCGATGGGTCCCAGATGATGTTCACTCTCCACTGTTAAGAAATTATTTAGTTAATTTCTTCAAGTGCTTCAGGGCACATTTTGCGGCAGTGCATTTAGCAATACGATAGTTCCTTCCAATCCCTTTGAAAGTTCCCTTGCCGAAAACTTCAACAGAGACCCGCACTCTCCTACCATCAGCTAGTTTCTCGGCTCTTCCGAATTTAGCAGTTTCTGGTTCCAATTCGAGTAGTTCTCGGATTGGTGACTTTGGCACTTTATTGCTGAATTGTTCAATCTCATTACGCATCATTCTATGATAAACCCTCCACACCGCATCCAAAGACCTTCCTGAATCCAAAAAGATAGCACCCGCTACCGATTCGAAAACATCTCCCAAAACTTTCGGTACTTCTACGTCCTCAACCTCTTCGGAATCCTCCACGTCAAGCAAATACAAATCATCGGATACTTTATGACCGGCCTCTTCTTGCATTCGGATAAATTTCTCGATAACCTGATGTAAACCAGGTGATAAATAACGAAAATACTTATGAAAATCGAATTTTACAGCCAACGATGCAAAAATTGTATTGTTTACCAACGCAGAACGAAGATCAGTAAGTGCTCCAGGAGAATGCATTCTCGGATCTTCATAGAGATGCCTGGTAATGAGATAATCTAAAACTGCATCACCTAGAAACTCTAGCCGCTGATAACAATCTGTTATTGTGTTGGGCGAGTACGATGCATGCGTCAATGATTGCAACAGATAGGCCCGATCATAAAACTGATACCCTAAAATATTCTCAAACTTATCATAACCATCTAAAAGAATATTTAGGGTTCCTTCCGGGTCTGGTACGTGCCTCAACAGCGGAGAATCGGGAATACACAATTCTCCATAGTCGCCATTTTCTAATTTAGGTAAAACTCTTATCCCCAGCCATGCCATAAATAATAACGCGCCGCGTGGTCCACATTCAATCAAATAAGCACCAATTAAAGCTTCAACACAATCTGCAATACTTTTATCGGGTATACTGTGTTGCGTAACTAAATTATAAGGTATTGCACCACATACAATTGGATCTTCGGTGTCATCGGCCTGATTCCGAAACTTTGTGCACAACTCCTCTAGAGTCATATGTCTCGTTTCAACATAGTCAGCCAGCGTTAAATAACTGCCTGGTATGCGTGATTGAATCAAGACCTCTTCCAATTCTTTGGAAACGCAATAACATGGCGGTAGCCAATTGTCATGCGGATCAAATTTCGACGCTATCATCATCATACCGAGTTGTTTTCGCTTCCCAAGTCGATAGAGATTGAGATTACTTACTTGTTTCGATCGTAAATGACTCAGTTTACCTTCGTGGGTGTTTTCGTACCTTGTGTAAAGATAATCAGTTATTGCGTACTTCAGGAATGAATCACCGATTGTTTCCAGCCGTTCCAAGTTGATTCCGTCGTTGGCATTGGACATTGTTAACGCTTGTAGAATAAAACTTGGACTTGGGCCGGGATGATTCTCTAAATTCGGTTGTGAATCAAAACTAAACTTGAACTCATCGTTTTGTAATTCGTTGCCATTATTTTGATTGTTTCTGGTTGAATTTACAGCAGGAAATCGAATTTTCATCGGTTTATATGGGTATTCTTCGGTTAAAAACGGTGCCGAGACGGGTTTACAAAGTGCATCAATTTGTACACCACCCTTTTTGAATTCTACATCGCTTTTGATGTAATTATAGTGCAACAGACGTTCGTATCGTTTTTCTACGGCGTTTTCAAAACGTAACTTGTAGGTTTGCGGTAATTCATACGTCAAGTTTGTCCAGGCTTGAACGGTTTCAATTTGGGGTTCCTCTTCTTTAACAACATCTTCAACCGCTTCTGCTTGGTAATCGTCCTGGAATTTGATGTGTAGTCCGCCATATTGCGAATCACCGGTCTCATCATCGGTTGATGAGAAACTGTCGATGTCTGAATAATCGTTGTATTCGTAATTGTCGTTCCACGTCGGAGATCCGTACCTTACTAAATCAGAATTGGTTGCAGCGGGGTCAACCATATCGTTAGACCATGTACCAATTTCCATCCAGTCTGGATCGTTTTCTTTGTTTTCGTCCTCGGTGTCTAGCGGAGAGTTGTCTGAAGTTGTGGTTGCGCATTTCGTAACAGCTTTTTCAATTATATCATCAATTATTTCGGTAACTTCATCGCGGGCTTTATTTGATGTGGATTTAGTGTTGGATTTGTTTTTACCCAAGACGTCGGAGAGACTCCAACCAAAATTAAGAGCATCCCAAGTGAAATCTGCAACAGTTCAGTAATTTTAGATAAATGTTAGTTAATCATTTAAAAAACGTACTTCTATCCAGAGTTTCTTGTCCCAGTTTAATTTCCCTTGCAACAATGCAACGAATTTGATCAGAAATCAGCAGTGCGTTTATCCTATACAAGATACAAGGCAAACAAACTGCTTTTCTCCATAATGAAGCGGAAAATGGGTGAATAGCGCACAATTCCGGTACCAGAATCTGTTTTTGTTCCAAATTTTCACGTTTCGCACGCTTTGTCTCCTCGCTGCTTGTCGGTAACGCAACTCCTTTACGATTTACATATCTTGGCGTTAGAAAATTTAATCTGGCGGACGTATGATCAACATCTAAACACAAAAACATTTAAAAATCAGTAACTAAATTATTAATAAACAATCACTTACCCAAAAGTTGTTGTTCGCTGTTCTGAATGTTAATCTCGTATTTTTTAAAGTAGTAATCTTGAAATGTGTTGTATTCCAGTCCTGGGAACTCTGACGCCGGACTAAGATGTTTGCAAATCTCGGCGACATAGAAATATTGCGGCTGATCTTGATTCCTGTACCAGGGCATTACAACTGCATCTTTGTATTGCTGCGCATCGAAAACGTAACCAGTGCGGTCACTATCCGGAATATGCGTTGGTAAATCATATCGTTTGTCGTAAATCACATTGAGAAAGTCCCAATCAATCTTGGTAACTTCAGAATCTACAATTTAAAAAAATCAGTTTAATGTATGAAGCTAAAACCAGTAAAAAACTCACCTGTGATGGTAGGCACTACGAAATAGTTACTCAACGAGCGCTCTGGATCAAAATGCATTTGATATTTCTGCAATCGAAGTACACTTGTAAAAGTATAATTCTGAAACTCTCTGATACGCCCAATCTGCTCATCGGTAAGTGTAAGACCTTCATCGCACAACTTCAACCCCACATTTACTTCCCCTGATCGTGTAAAAATAGGAAACGGGCAAAGCGGGGGAATTTCCTTGGATGTCAACAAACCAAACCCCTGCGGAGATTCCTCCGGTGGATATATCCGTCTTCCCCGCGTGTTTTGCTCTTCCGGTATAGGACAAGTCAAAGTCATAACAATGTGATAGAAAAATGTCGGATGTTCTGTAGTTGGCAGACAAACGCGCAGAGCTGACGCTACATTTTTAAAATAATATTGCCTACGTTTTGTTGTCCCTGGTCTCTGCTCGATATTCTCCATACTTAATTCTTCGTCCTCTTTCTCCAGTGCAAAATCATTCCAGTCTTCTTCGGACGCGCGAAAACTTTCTTTAGTAATAGGATTCAAATGATCATCTAATTCATTTGACTTGTGTAACAATTGGCACATATGAAACGCAGTTAACTTCTTCGCGACGATTTCCGACGGCGCTAAAGGTCCCTCCACTGTTAATTTAACCGGGGAATTAATCGGCAGACGTAAATAACACCGATAATTGCCATTAATGCACTTTAAGTGATACGCAGGAACTAGTTTTGTAAACGCGTCGCTTGGCAGTTTTGCACAATAGCGATTGAGCAGTTGTATGGCGGCGTTCACTCCAAGAACTTCGTCCTTAGGAGTAACATACGGTTTGTACCTATTACAATGCAGGTCTGAATAGATTACATTAGTTGTGTTCGATTCGACTTGTCCGCAACGCGAGAGTAAAAGTTTTTGTACTTCTTTAAATTCGGCGAATTGACGCAGCGCATGCGCCGCTTCCTCAGCGTGTACTAAAGTCACATAATGTGAAGTGGAAGTCCGAGCGCGAGCTTTAGTGAAGACGTAGGAATGAAAAGATGTTGGCGTGTTTAGTTTCACGACAAGATTACACTTTGGAAGGTCGTAGCCCTGTTCTAAGATTGGTGTGGCGATGAGGATATTGCACTCGTGTGCGCGGAACTTCCGCAGGACATCTTCTTGTTTTCGATGTTCCAGCTCAGCTTCGCGGATCTCCGTCGCGGGATTCGCTGTTTTATCGACTATAAATTGCACTCCAAACCACCACATCTTCTCATCACCATTTGAAACAGTCTAAAAATAAAATATAAATTAATTTATATTATATACAATAATTATATATAATTTATACATACAGCTAGTAGAGAATGAACAACTTTGGCGGTAAGACTATCCTTGACAAAAATTAAGGCACAAATACTGTCATCCTGCTGTGGTCGATTAAAATACCTCCGGTTGCCTTTCGGAAATCGCCGTCCTTTAATCACAATATTTTTCACTACCTCTGGCCTTTTATCCACTTCTTCTACCTTTGGTTTAGGCTGATCAGGCCCCAAAACTTTTAAAATTTCAATCAATCGCTTCACTTTTCCGGTGGAAAACATGCGCAAAGCTTCTATTTCTTCTATATCCTCAATTTCATACTCAATATGAGCGCGTACTTTAATCATTAATGTTTGAACACTTAATAATAGTAAATAGTGCCGTTCATAGGCAACATTTACGCGTAATTTTTCAATTTGATACAAAAGATGCAACGCTGCATAATGCGCACACATAATACCATATTCCTCCAAAACGTTTTTAAATTGTTTCATCATTTGTAGAGGTAATATCTTCGGATCCGGAATGTTTTTCAATTCCTCAGCCAATTCTCCACACTCCTCGCCATACAGCATGCAGAGATCATAGTTATGATCACATAAAAAATCTTCCAAAAGTTTTACTTCTTCATTGATCAATTTTAGTAATTCTTCTGCTTGAGGGTTAGTTGTATTTGTAAACTCAACAACACATTCTCTTGGCTCACAGCTCAACTTTACAAGTGTGCATAATTCACTTGAAGTGTCTACTTTTGCTAGCAGCAGTTTTTCTAATCGATGAATTTCTGCTTCCAAATGCGACGGTTTTAACTCTTCACTTAGAAAACCAGACACAAGACCAATAATTCTAGGTTTTGGTGATTGAGGTGTCTCAAACATGCTCATAATATTGTTCAAATGTTTCTGCCTCTCACCATAGAAACAGTCATCAATGACTATCACATTTAGGAATGCAACATTAAAGTTGAGCAGGATTAATAAAGCCTCTAGGGTTTCAGCTGTCATCAAAAATATCACAAATTGTTCCTTTAAAACCCTCCATTCTTCAAGTGTGATAGTTGGTGTAATTATCTTCACTGGTAAATCTAAAATAAGTTTTATTTATAGAAAAAAATATATTGTTTATATAAGGTTATTTTTAAGTACTTACCAGTTAGTAAATTAATTTGACTAGAAAGGACATTTGTATACTGAGCATCTAAGATATAAAATGCTCGCTTGCCATCTGGTTGTCGCATTTGCCAGGCAAGTTCTTGAATGAGTTTGATTGCGATGAAAGACTTGGATACTGTAGTACTGGAGCAGATGATGGTGTTGGTATCTTTGATTCTTGTGATCAACTCAACTTGATACTCAGGAGGAGTAAAAGTATGGGTGTAGAAATGATCATTTGTGTAGTTGAGACCCATGATTGAAGGTACAAATTTCTTTTTAAGTTGTACTTATTAATTGATGCAGTGAAAACGTTTGTCAAGTTTTAAGATGGATGAAAGATGCTTAGAAGCGTGCATTTTGTTGCACTTGTAGTTGCACTTATGCCGACTGTAAATTTAATAAGCGCAGCAGTCGGTGTGTTGTGTTTACATTCCTTACATGTATGCCTTATATGTATATACATGAATTTTAAGTATAAATGTACATATACCTGCGTAGTGTATTGTTGGTTGCCTACGTTAAATGTACGTTTATTACAATACTTTGCTATACAAACTTTGACAGCGATTTTTTTCAAAAACTAAAAGTAATACAATATAAAATACTTTACGTTCATCAGTGTACAGATTTTTTTTATGTTTTCAATGCAAATTAAGCTTTTGTTGTTGATTATCAGTGTAATTGTTGGTAATGTAAAATATTTTGTATTTTATTAAATCAATTATTACAATATTATTATATTCGCGCATGCTATTTTACAATTTGTGTATTTATAAATATTCTAACAATAAAAGACCTATGAAATAAATTATGTTCGGTAAATCGGTAACAACAGGATTTCATCAAAATGAATAAATTCAATGCGCGATAAAATTAGCTGACACGCTCGGTGTCGCACAGTCAAAACATATAATCATAACTTATTAAAATAGCTAAAAAAAATACGTGATTGCGGTGTGCCTCGCATACGTATAACTAATGTGAGTTCTGAGGATCAAGACAGGGGCGCGCGCGTCGTGTTTGGCAAAAACAGGCATAGCAAACCGCCCCCGATGAGGAGCGCCGCCACAATGAACGTCGGCGCTGGGCAGTACATGTCCAACAGCATTGCTATCACAATATTGCCGATAATACCACCAAGACGTGCTGCCACCATTGATATTGCTACACCAGTAGCTCTAAACAGAACAAAAAAAACAATTAATATCATCATATTTTTCAAATAATTTCTTTGTTTATTACCTTAAATTTGTTGGAAAGATTTCCGTGATGAGACAATCCAACGCTGCATTACCGCAAGATATCACACTGCTGAAAACAGCCGAGACGATCAGATTGTGCACTTTGTTACGCACAAGATACATGGACGCCGCACAAATACCGGAAGTGAACGTACTGAAGACCAAAAAGAACTTCCTCCCAAGTCTATCCATTCCTAACACAGCTACAATATTGCTTGGAATTGCAGCAGCCACCGTGATTAACGATTCCATGAAAACAGCGCTTTCTATTTTATCATTACACACGCCGCCTTGTTGTTGGGTACCCATGGCCACCACATATTCAGTAACTTCACAAACAGACGCGCTTTCCCCTGGATGCATGCGGGAATACTCATCGAAACGATTGAATAACTCAGGGAACCACATCATTAATCCATAGTAACCAATGTGGAAAGTGAAGTTGATGGTTATAGAAATGAAGGTAAACCGTAGTAAAGGTGATTTGAATAACATCCGGCTGTTGTCATAAATGTCCACCATCATGTTGACGTATTTACCCTTCAAAGGTTTCTTAGGTTCTTTAGGACACATTGTCTCGTCTAAGATAAGATGTTTGACTGGGTAGTCACTCTTATCATTTCCGGTGTTGATCTGGTAGATTTTACGGAAGATCTCCATTGCTTCTTCACTCCTACCACAGGTTAATAAAAACTTGGGGCTTTCAGGAAGGAAAAAGAGGAAGACTGCTACCAAAAATGATGGTACCGCGCATATCAACAGGAAAATACGCCAGGAATTGTACAGGAATGTATCGCTGTGGTACCCTAGACCGGAAGGAATGATCAGCCATGCTAATGCGGCGACAAAAAGGTTGCCTAACGTCCAGAACGCCGCCATGAATGACAACATTGATCCACGTTTTGCTTTCGGTTGGAATTCAGCGAAATATGACCAGATAACTGGTCCACTTCCTCCTAAACTGTAACGGGGACATTTTATTAATGTTAAAAAACAATTTCGGTAACTTACGCTGCGCCATTAAGGAAGCGAAACAACATAAACAGTTCGTAGGTCTGTGAGAAACTCGACGCGACAATACAGATGCCATTCATGAACGAAATCGCGATGAGGACCTTCTTCCGGCCGATGGAATCAGCCACAGAGCCCCACACGTAAGCACCAACCATCATTCCAATGAAAATGATCGAATTGAGCCATCCCTTGGTGTGCGTGTTAAGATTTAAGTCGCATTGCGCCGACGGCAAGATGAACGACATCGAAATGACGTCCATCTCCTCCGACGTGCTCACGAAGCCGCAGACGGCCAACAGCAAGTAATGAAACTTGCCGTATCCGGTCGCTTCAATGGCACCCTCAAAGTCGGCTTTATCACTGCCGACTCCAGGGGGCGCTGGTGGTGGTACAACACCACGTTCCGCATCATGCCCTCCGCCACCGCCACCGCCACCGCCGCCATTATGCGCCTTATCCGGAAGCGCACTGGTCTTCAGGGGCGGTACAACCGCCGGTAAACAAGTGGTGGTTGGTTGCTGCGTGCGGCGCAGCTTCGACAGCTCCAGGTCCTTGGATCCGCAGCCGTTCGGCACGCGCGAGTCACTTACATCTGTATCGCTTGAAGACTTCTCTCTGCGGTCACCTTCGACCATTCTACGATTGAGCGGCGGCGGGGCGGGGGCCGTACGGACGCTGGACGGCGAAAGTGGCAGCTCACAGGCAGCAAATCGTTATTCTTTTGCTGTAAACAACACAAAAAAACACATCAACGTCAGCGGATGATCTTGACCACACGCTAATTAAAAACGCAAACATTTCGTCAACTGCGTAAATAAATTTCAAAGTGTCACAACATTGAAATTAAAATGTATCTAGATATGTTAGTTACAGGTAGTTTAAGCCACCTGGTAAATTTAAATTAAGCTTAATTCGCATTACTTAACTATCAGGCGAATTCTTGAAATAGTCAAACTTTAAACTTACTTAAACTGAACGTAAACGCACACAAACACACTGCTTGAAAATATCCGAAATCCAAGAAACTGGTTAGAAATTACAAGAACAGACACTCACACTTAATAATTTACTAGTGACACACACAGTGTCCGTCAGCTAAAAGTTTTTATTAATTCTTTCTCGTGGATGAACTTGACAACTAGCATTTTGTTAGAATTTTTAAGAAATTTATGAGAAAAAAAACGTGTTTTTGTTGAGAATTCGCACAGAATTTAATCACAGCGCACTTTATTTGATTCAGGCACGTTTTACGCTTTGAAAAGTTGAACTTTCGCGTTGGTTTCGGCTCGGCGGGGACAACGTTTTCGCCGTCCGCGTGTCGTGTAACTGCGTTAAGTAATTGACGCCTGCGTTCGGGGCGCGCGTTTAAAGTGCGCGCAACTTTTATCGGTGGTGGCGGCTCGCGATGGTCCCCTTCCCCAAAATTCGACGTCATCATGAATGAACCATAAAATCAGCGACTTTTTATTTTTTTGCTAATTATATTTGCAAAAATCGAATCATTCGTTTAAGTAAATTGGAAATTACCTAAATAATTGCTAGTTAAATGTTAAAACTTAATTATTTAAATAATTTCTGCCTAAAATGTCTGTATAATTACAGGTTGCAGTTAAATTTCAAATATTTAAACTAAAAATCTTGTTTTTTTCGTTAAATACTTGAAATTTAAGCTTATTTTTAACTATTTCGATGTAAAATTTAACTTTGGGTAACAAATGTTAACGTCCGCTGTGGTAATTTACATTATCACGATTGAAGGTATTATTGCCGCGTATAGTTTTGCTAATTAGAACGTTTTTTACAGTTTGGTGCGGCGAATAAGCCCCAAACGACCTGATAACTGCCGAAAACAATTGCTTTTGGACGCCATGACCGCCATGTTGGTTATACTTGGCCCACAAAAATGATAAACAATTTGTTTCTCGCGCCGCGGCGGAAATTAAAACCGAATGACTTCGAAATGAGCGCGAGTTGTTACGTCAGACGAGTCGGAATTAATTCGCCATTAATGGCTATTATTGGTATTAATTCTTGGTTGAGTCTTGGAGCACATTTGCATGCATAATGCGTTGCCGGGACAAGACAAACATCTTTGCGGGCACGCTAACGAGTTTGAACCGCTTCAAACACGCATCGATTCGATTCGTATTATTGAGCTTTATATTGTCGCGCAATAAGTTTTTTTCTTCATTTATGGAATTAATAAATAAAAAATGTAGGCAACTTCATACACGTCAACAAGAAAACATATATTTTAAGGATTGGTTATGTTAAATTAATGAAAAATAAACATTTTTGGCGTGTTTTTTGTTTAAATCGATGGTTTTCTTCGTTTTTCGATGACATTTCGAGTTTTGACCGCTTTGTTGTCTCGAATCTGAAGTGAATTAACATGTTTCGCATTAACATTAATGTCGAAACGTCACGAAACTATTTGACTTTCTATAGAACGTTTCTATTTGTTTTTATTTCGATGCTGTGCTTGGAATTCGCCGAAAATACAAGTCCAAAACAAACTTTCATCTGACCAGTCGGGCGGCGGCCATTACGCGATGATATCTGTTGTATTTGATTCGTAAACAAACAATATATTATAATACTGGATCACCCGTCGATAAGTATAGTCAATAAACGCTGATTCTTAACGAGCGTGCAATTATTGCATATTATAATCGAGTTTTAATGCGCTCGTTAACCGGTTCGCGTGTGTGTATGCACAAGATGTCGTCGAAAGATGGCCGCCGGGTGTGTGTTGTTCGACCTCGCTTTGAAATCTGATATTTATGCAACGCAACTGTGTAAAATTTGATAAAACGCTTCAATTAACCACGCGTTAATGTGGCATTCAACGTTTAAGTATTTCACAAAGCATCTGGATAATAATAATAATAATAACAATAATGAAAAAGAAAAACGGCCCCACGACAATAACAAGCGGCGCATTCACACACATCAAACACAAACAAAACAAACACTTACAGAGGTAGAGGATTGAGTTACGCCGTGACAATCGGTAACAACATAAAAAGCTTTTAAATGTTTACGCCGAGACTTTTTGGGCATGCGCAGAGGGAAAAAAATTCGAGGCCACGTTGAAATTGAAATTATTATAATCGTTCTTCGAATTGAAGCGAATTATTGCATATTTTGCATAATTTTTCGCGGCGCGTGAAAAAAACTTTCTATCACACAAACATTTCTTTTGAATTATCACCCAGGTTGCTAATTTATGTCAATGTTAATATATTACTCATGTTTGTTCGTAAATTAGCTGGATAGGTGTGAGGTAATCAATTTTTTACTTGTAAAAAATAAAAAAACTTCTTTTAACCCTAAAATTCGATGATTTTGATGAACAAAAATGATTCTAGACTAATTATTGTGAATTGACTGCGCAAAATTGGCTGTATCAATCAATTTCAAGTGTTTACGATCTTAAAAATCCACTTAGCATAAAACAATGCGTAGATTTTTCAAGATTTTGAGTGTGGAAAATTACAGACGAAAGATAAACGCACACAACGCATGATTATAACTTTAATAATTTTAAACTCACCAAAAAATTGAAATTTGTGCGGAAATTGATGTTTTTTACGCCAAGGCGCGGGGCTGCGAGCAACCTCGCGATTGTGCGATCATTCCGTAATGAAACCAGAGCATTTATAGAGAATCCCAGAGGAAAATCTCCGAAATCTCCGACGTAGTGCAAACAATCTCATAAAACCACACAGCCACTTCATCTAATCTAAATCAAATCACGTTTCGCGTTGTAAAAATGTACAAAACACAAAATGTGCTCCAATTTCAACCTAAAACGAACAAATACACGACTTGACGATGTGCTGCACTATTCTACATTGTCATTATTGTTTGTTTATCTTTCTGCATGCATGTTCTCCGGTATGCAAAGTTTACAAACACTTTTTTTTATGGATATTGCAGTTTTATCGGGTTACAAACACGACTAAAAACGTGTCTGTTTTGATTTTCTGCACTGCATAATGCCTGTGGTAATGAGATTTAATTAATTAAAGGCCAGCAACAATTGCTCTCGTTGCATAAGTGCATTTCTTTCACATTGGAATAATAAATAATTCATCAGTAAATAGAAACAAGAATTTTTCATTCGTTTTCTGGTCGTGTGACGCGTTTTATCACTCGTCAAACATATTTAAACACTAAAATGACGCTCGTGACTAGACGCGGATTATTCTAATCCCATTGTTGTTGATTATAGTTGCTGCTTGTAGTGTGGGCACAAAGAAAGAACAAAAAATGTGTTATCATCGCGGCTTGCGTGACATTGTAAGTGTTTTTCTGGTTTGGTTTTTTTTTTCGCGTTTTGTTTGTTTTCTGCTCGATTGCGAGTTGAAGATGCGGTGTGAATCATTTAATCGTTAGAATTACGCCATTACGCGCATCCTGAGTGCGAGTGTGGTCGACATAAACAATATGGCGGGCGGTGTTCTGGGCTATCTGTCTTGTCACTTGGTAACACGATAATTGGCGCGTTTAGCTCGCGTAATTGCATTTCGCGAAGCGTAACCACGTTATTATATTAGCCAGAGAGCATAGACTAGAAGCACGTGTCTTTTAATGATAGAAATTAATCAGAAAACGTGAATTTCTTCATTGGTGTATGACTGGTTGCATCAAACAGGCGTTTATGCAAAATTTTTAGTTTAAACAGCAATTAAAGTCGTTTTTACGGTTATTCAACCTTAACAAAAGACATTATCGGATTCTATAGGTCGTTATCTATGTGATAACATGTAATATATAAAACTTTGACCTTTCTTCTTGCATAAATTACATTTTTATCGCAAAATTTGTAATTTCTCGCATAATACAAGTAATACTATAAAATTTCGCAGTTATTGACTAAACCTATGACGTTGTGAACATTAACAATTGTTTATTAGTATGTTTATTGTTTGTTTGTTTGTTTTCATGCCCTTAACACAAATTCTCGCCGAGTTTCCTGCCAAACAGGTTGTGATGCTGTGCGCGCGATGATTATTCAATTGAATTAATTATTTCAAGACGAAAAATTCCTTCGAACCTTGATTTTATTGATCTGTGAATGTGTCTAGCGTGTTTCCTAAATCAATGCCAAGATTACGCGACATTGAATGTGCGCATGATCAGCGCACGCACTTTAATTGCTTTACAATTGATCGGAAAACCCTTGAAATGCATTTCATCGCGTCTCAAGTACTTCCCTGTACTAGTATCATCCTGATCTAGTTATTCTAGTGTCAACTATCAATAATGACATTACATTACATTAATAACATGAATGTACGCATGCGCAACACACTAAAACACCAAAAATAATGTTTTTTGATGTTTTTTTGATATTTCTGATAAACTAATTGTGTTATCACGCTTATCAAGAGTCTAGATTAAAGTGTATTAGTCATATTATAAATTGTGATGGTTTTTTACAGTTTAAAATGTTGTTAAGTGGGGTAAAATGGCGTCTAAAGTTGTTCCATCTAAAGATAATTCTGTATTTCCGTAAATTTAGCTTTTTAAGTACTATTTAACTATATACTTGTCATTTCCTACTTTGTTATTGTATTATTTAAGTAATAAATTGTATGTATTTATTTCAGACGCGTAATTCTTGTGAAATTGTGACATTTCCAAGAGATTTTCATAATTTACCTTGGATTATCGAATATTTTGCGGTCACACACGCTTCACTGGCTTATATTGCGACATTTTGAATGTGACTTACCTAATGGCGCGTCGGTAAAGTTCCATTGATATATTTCCGGTTGATTAACGCACCGAATTTATGATTTTTATGAATATTCACTAGTATTGCTTATCAGAAGACGTAAAATTATAATGTTAACGAGCGTGTGATACGTGATTCACGATAGCATGGATATTTTACGGTTTTTTTTAAGGTTTTTGACGATTGGTGGTGTTGCACCGTGCAGAAATTGTTATATTGCAGTTTGTACGATGCGCGTCGGACGAGACTAATTCTCAGCAATCATAAAAGTGTCGCGCACGCACGTCGGAAGCGCTTTCGAAATTATAGTTTTATAGCTGTCACTTAAGCGCAGAGTGCGCGCGCATGCGGACTCGCCTTTATCAATGCGCTTTATTCGGCCATTATTAAGACGGCAAGGTCTTTGTTGTCCCTTTTCTCGCCTTGATCGTCGATTATCGCGACAATGCGCAATGTTAGACGACATTCGTCACGGCATAAGGACAAGTAGCCATCAACTATACTTTCTGCGCTTACAAAATGGCCGCGGCGCAAGATGGCGTCGAGTTACGCTTGAATTTCCAAGAGAAAGGCACAAAAATCACTTAAAATGATAACAAAAGTTACAAAAATCATCGCACAGAAGTATTTTCGTTGTTTTCTTAAATGTTTCAACAAACAGGCGACTTGTAATCGAATGAATCATAAAGAAAACATCGTGTAAAACGAACAATGTACACAAGTGACTAATTGACTCGTCAATGAACTTTATCGAAGCAAATAAAAAGCGCATCGGTTTCGAGGATAGTTTTTTTTTAAGTGTAGACTGTAGTGTTTTTGACGTAGGTATGCATCAGTTGATCAATGGACCTTGATGATGTGAAGATGTGAAACGTAAAATCAATAAACAAGTATTTTAGCGCGAGCAAACACACAACACACGGCTAATGCTAGTGAAGCGAATTAAAACAAAACTGTTTATTGCCTAATTGTTAGCCGGTTTCATTATCGAAATACGTTGCGGCTCTTCGCACATTGTCTGCGTTGTAAAACGACTTTTAATAATAATTAACGATGGGTTTTTACGCTTTTTACGCGTCTGTCGCACAAAACAACAAATCTGAGTGTTGGATTTTTGATTCCTGGAAGTTTTTACATAAAAAAAATACGTGTTTTGGCAAGAAATTAACTATAAATCAATAAAAATCAAAAAAAGTGATAAAATTACTTCGATTTTTTATGTTTTTGATTTGTTTCTTGATGTTTTTAAAGTAAAAATGACATAAATGTGAAAATTTCACTTAGAATCACCTAGAAATTAATTACAAGTGTATAAAACTCAAGGAACTCCTTAAACTTCCTTCCGATTTGATCGCAAACCAGTTTTTCCTAAGATTCATTGCTTACACCTTGATCGATGATTGTTTTATTATGAGTACATGCCGTGCCGAATTCGTAAACAAGGTTGACGGGTCATATTTCACATTTTACGCTTTCATTGAATGCGTCGAATGCGCCGGTTATGGTCAATCATCGATGCTAAACTGCATTAAATCCACATTTGATATCTCACGCAAAAAATGCACCTTAAATATACAATCTAAGTCAAGGTCGCATCAACAAATATACATAATAAATAAATTTATGATATTTTTCATAACTATAGACAACTAAACGCACCGTATTCAAATCGGCGCATGCGCAGCACACAAGTAAACAAGTGATTTATGTTTTACAAATCGTTTTTAATTAATTAATTGAATCAATTCGTTTCACATCCTTTATTCTGTCACTTCGATCACGTGTTTTACTTCCTCAAGAATTAGTTTTTGTTTATTTCACTATAAAATACTTTTTTAATTTAAATAGAAGTGAGGGCGCGCTAATTTAAAATGATTTCCTCTCGCAAATAGAACATCTCTACCAATAAAGAAACATGATTTCATCATCATTAATAAACCAAATTCAACATATTTACAATCATCATCTGCATCACTTTCTACAATTATTCATCGTCGATATTAAAAATAGATATAATCTCTATTTGTTTTCTGTGTTTTTTCTTTGTTTCATTATCAATTTTTTACAAGCATTGGTTTTTTTTCCCTTCGAAACTAAAATGAACGCATGCGGCAGGCTGGCCATCGAATAATAACAAGTAAACGAATTATTTGTTTGGCCATGTCGTATTCGGGGCTAGGTTTCCTTCCTGTCTCATCATCATGGGAGAGCAAATATACAGCGTATCACCGGAGTTTGACAACTGATATGATATCGAAACGTCGCGAGCGGAATCAAATCAATGAATTATGTTACATTAGAAACCAAAGAGACATCTACCACAAACATTTGCTATCTTATAGAAAGAACCCTGTGTGTATGAGAGTGTGTAAATGTGTGTGTGTGTGTGTGTTGTGCCAATAAAAACTATGTATACATCATTTTTCTGGTAGTATATCACATTTTGACAGAACTTAAATCGATCCAAGTGTAAAAATTCAGCGAATATGTTATCGTAATATAGGTTATGTATGTATGTGTGTGTGTGTATAGTTAATAATAATAAAAATTAACAGATATTTAAATTAATGAGAGAACAAACTGTTGTTTTATGTTATGCCGATAGTGTTTGTAAAGTCATAAAGTCATAAGTACAGTTACGGCGTTTTTTTCTTCTTCTTTTTTTCGCAGCGTTTGTTTTTGTTTTTTGTTTGTTTATCGATGAGGTAACTACGGCTAGTTTACTTAGGGACTAGATCTTCTCGTTGACGTTGTACACCCACCATTCTTTCTCGTAGCCTTCGTGGACGTGTTCGAGGAGGACTTTACGACGTCCATCGCAGTATCTGCAGAAAAAAATCACATTTTGAGGTTAAAATATCATTTTTCTGCATAAAACACTCGTAAAATACATTTTCTTAGATTTCTTTGTAAAAGAATCACATTTTTGAGGTTAAAATATGATATTTCAACATAAAACACTCGTAAAATACATTTTCTTAAATTTCTTTGTGAAAAAATCATATTTTTGAGGTTAAAATGTCATTTTTCTGCATAAAACACTCGTAAAATACATTTTCTTAATTTTTTTTAAAAGAATCACATTTTTGAGGTTAAAATATCAAATTTTTATGTTTAAAACACTCGTAAATTAAATTTTCTTCAATTTTTTTGTAAAAGAATCACATTTTTGAGGTTAAAATATTAAATTTTTATGCTTTAATGAATTTTTTTTTACCTGTATTTATCCTGGACTTTCTGCTTGATGTCGGCGAGATTTTCAGACGTAATATCCCTCTCCAGGTACTCGGAGAGCTTCTCAGTGGCACTCTCGAGGTCCTTTTGGTTCTCCTCAAAGATCACAGACTGGTTGTTCTTCTGTAGGTAGTAGGCGAAGACATACGTGTACATGAGCGTCTGCCGACACTGGCAGAGAATATCGACGGCGCGTTTGAGGAACTGCACCTCGATCCAGCTCATATTGTGCTGCTGCATCTCCTCCATCTTCTCCTTCACGGACGCGTACAGCTTGTGCTCGAATTTGAGGCTAGCCATGTGGTTCATATACCGATTGCAATAGAACAAGTAGCGCTGCAGTGCGGAACGACTCTTTTCCTGCGCGTCGCGCGCCGCTTTCGCCTCGTCCTCATCGTACCGATTACAATTATACCAACTACTACCGTGCGGCTCCCAAGGCCCCAGGCATACCCAACAGAAATCCGCTTTGCAGTTCTGATTCTTGCATACCATGTGATTACAGCCGCCATCTTTCTCAATCGTCACGTTACATCGTGGGCATTCCTTCGTGTTCGCCGCGATCCAATTGGACGTCTCCGAATCGTCATCGCACTTTTTGATCCACAGTTTTAACAGGGAGCATTTAACTGGGTCGTGCCAATTCTCACCGCAAGCGAAACAGAATGTATGCGTGCATTTGCAGGTGACGCGGTGTGGTTCAACGTATTGGACTTTGATCGCGTTACTGCAGTCAGGCGATGGACACCATCGCAACAATCTGTTACACTAAACCAAAAAATTTTAATTTTTTTTTTAACAAAAGCTTAAATCTATTTATTTACCTCAACAAAACTGTTAGTAATAAGATGTTGATATTTAAGCCTAACTTTGGAGTCCTTAACTAGCCGCATCACCGTTGCATCGTCCACGAGAATATCGCATCCATGGGCAGCGCATGCAATTGTCTGCCCTACACCTTCTTCCATGATCTTTGTTGTTAGATATTCGCACCAGCAGTGCGTACAAAACCTGTGTCCGCATTCAAGCCCAGTCATATGCTAAAAATTCATCGTTTTTTACTGTTTTTTTATCATTTTTAGGTTAGAAATATTAACTTACTGGACATGGAAAGACTATAAAGCATATTTCACACTCTTCTGTGCCCACCGATAATTTCCTAGGCTAAAAATGCAAGTTTTTTGGGTTAAAATTGCATAGTTTTGCGTTTTTTTGCCACTTACAATAACTTGAGAGCATATATTCTTAAAAGGATTCACGACTTTGGCGTCCTTGAACAATTGTTCTTGGTCCCCATCGAAAAACCTCTCCATCAACTTCTCCTTATCCCACCTGAAGTGATTCAGAAGTATTCTTGTGGTTGTTGCTGGAATCTAAAAGATAGCAGAGTGTGTCAAAACAAAGGTATGTAATCACTTGTTTTGTTTATCTGACTTTTTAACAAGCTAAAATTAATTTATGTCTATTTTTGTGTGTGCATGTGTCTGTGTGTGTGTTTTTTTTGTTGTAATTAATATGTGTATTTTTAGCGCTAACCTCGACGACCGTATTTACATCCTTGATGCAGTCGACCATATGCTGGACGATCTCCTCGGTGGACAACACCTCGTAGGGGTAATCGTCGGAGTCGTTCGCCTTCTCGCGCCGCTCGGACAGCTCGACCTCCATGACGAAATCCATCGCATCGTCGCCGCTAGACTCGTTGCCCGAGTCGACGTCGTCGTACGTCTCCTCCTCCGAGTCCATTTCGCTGCGGGTGGTTTCCACGCGCGCGATTTACGCCACCATGAAGTAGTTGTGCACGATGTGGACGATCAGACGGTGAGACTTGCGAGACTTGTATTTCTCATACCTAATAAAGGCGAAAACAGAGCGCGCACCGTCCTCAGTACCACTGCTACTGCTGACACTGGTGTGCTAGAGTTGTGCGTTGTGAATGTGTGTGTGCCAACATCGATGCGGCGCTATCCAGTCCATCGTATTCGGGCGCCGTACGTGTGAAATGTTTCTTTTCGTGTGGTAGACACGTACGGAGTGTTGCGGATGTTTGCAACTTTGACGTCTACGAAGATAAACGAGTTTGGCGCAATCGGATGAACTCGTTTAATACACATGCGCACAACATGCACGTAAATATACACACTGCTCGAAAATTATTTAGTTTACAGTTTTACATTGTTTAAACCGCACGAAAAGAAGTTATATTTATATAAATTATAATAAATATCCAATTTAATTACTAAAGACTATTATATTTACATATTTCATCTTAAAATTAATTAATTTTACTATATTATAATGTTGATTCACTCGGTGTTTTAGTAGTGTATGATTGAGAAGATAGGCAACCAAATATACACCATATAAATTTATGTTGAATGTAAATCCGCCATTTTGTTTCCAACATAAACATAAGAATTAGACAAAAGCACCTCGTAGTAATTCATTATTTTTATTGAAAATTACAAATTACAACATGAAAGACTAAAAAAAAACTTATTTATGTCAAAAGATTTATTAGAAAACTAAATTAGACAGCCGCTCACATCGCTGTCATATCTGATAACAACCACCTTCAAGTTCATAGATTTAGGATTTTGACAGAATGAGAAAAACAGGACCCATAATGAAATAATTTAGCTTATAATCATGTACAACGAAACTTAAAACTTACTTAACTAGAAACTAGAAAGGTCGCTGCGTGCGCGACGAGATGTTATAGGTCCATTTGGCTCATGGCACGCGCCTGAGCGCGCACTCTCTTCTCGTATTCCAGTTTATTCTGGCAGTAGATGGTGTACGCCTCAGCCTGTGCAGGATCCTTAACGTTGGGCTCGTTGAGCAGGTCGTGAATACCAAGAAGGATCTGCTTGATGGTGATTGCAGGCCGCCAGTCTTTTTCCTCGTCGAGCAGTGAGAGACAAACAGTGCCGGATGGGTAGACATTGGGATGGAAAAGCGGTGGTTCAAACTTGCATTTAGGCGGGCTGCTGGGGTAGTCGTCTTTGAAGATCATCCGCAGCTTGTAGTGGCCACCCTCCCATGGTGTGCCGCGCTTGCCGGGAATGGAGCACTCCCAGTTCATGAGATTCAACCCGCCGTCGGTGCCCTTGCTCGGGCGTGCGACATACCCGTACGGGTGATCTTTGCGCCATGCTTTGCGTTCCTCCGCGAGACGTGCGGCGGCAATGCCCGACATAGTTCTGCGCTTGCTGTGGGAGAGTGTGTGGTTATGTTCGGCGCGGAAACTTCCTCTCCGCGATCCACTCACTTACTGCGAACGCAGCTCTGGAAGCAATGAGTAAACAACGTGTTTGCCGCTGCCGCTGCTATGTTAATACCTGCGTATGCCGCTAGGTGGCCGCGGCACACAGGCTGTCGCAATCGAACAAACCAGAATCGCTCGTGCTGCCTGTATTGCCATTGTTGCTCCCAAATGCACTTACACATAAATCATGTGTGCTCTGGTGTGTTGGTGGCGCATGCGCACGTGTCGGTGAGTCACCGTCGCCAGTGAAGTGAATTTTCCGCGCGGCGTTATCAACGGCCGCCATTGCTCTCGTCCGTACAATACTCGCCTAGAGGGGTAGAGAACATTGCTTGTCATGCGGCGTTTGCGCATGACCGGTGGGTGGGGCATAGAGGCGGTCGTGTCGTGTAAAAATTATATTTTTTAGATTTCCTTTTTCACTGTCGCTATAAAAACAAAACGGCTACTTTGCGCACGTCATCACGTTGAAGAAATCCGCTCAAATACGCTCCTGCCGTTGATGCTAATGCGCTGTACGATTATAATATTCATTAAGTTGTGTGTTAGGTGACGTCATCGTTTCGCAACTTTTTCGGACAATTTGCAATAGTTTTCCGTGACCGGCTTATGGCGCGCACGGATTTAGCGAATCCGAGGTCAACGCTTGCCATTAAAACCATTAAATCGCACCGACACACCGAGAAGAAACCTGATTTTGCGCCTGTGTGTGCGTGGTGGATTTTTTTATGCCGGTGGCGGAATGCGGGGCGGGGGGGCCTCCGAGAGCTGCGCATGCGCAACACACACACACACAAACCCAGTTAATAAACAAATAGAAAAAACGCTAGGTGCTTGAAACCTGTTTGGTATTCCCTGCAGCAATAATTTGAAGCAAATGCAAAGGAAAATAAAAACGGTTCGGAAGGGTTTCGTGTGGGTCGCATCTGTTGCCGAAAAACACGCGGGAAACCCAAGTTGGCCGTCGCCAGATGTCCTTGAGTGTGCATGTGTGTGAGAGCGCGGTAAGCGTGCTAGCTATCCGCCGCGTGCGACGTCATCATCGCGTCGGAGCGTCGATTGGTCGGAAAACTGGCACGGCGGCCATGATGCGAACTAAAATTACATGCGCGCGAATGTGTGCGTAGACGGTGTGTGAGTACGCGAGTATCTCGGACATAACCTACAGTGTGTTCGCGGGGTTGCACGATCGCCGGAAAAGTCGGCGAGCGCGCGCGACTTGTAAACGGCGTAGCGGTCGCATCCGGCATCAGCGCGCAGCCCGCCAGTAGTCGACAGTTTGCAGCCCGCTAGACTCTCGCAATGCGCGCAGCGAGGCTCGAATTCGTATCGCTCGCATCTCCGCGTACTGTATAAACTTGTTGGCGGACGCAGTTGCCTTCGCTCGCGTTGTGTTTTGACGTGCAGACGCGCAGGCCGCTGCAGCTGGCGACGACGCGCTCCAAGTGCCGGACGAGTTGGAATTGCCATGGCCGCGGCCACAGCGAAATAATATAACCAAACAACACAACCTAGTGAATCTGTTATTATGTAGGTACTGGTGAATTAGATAGAGGTAAGTCAATCACACACCAGCGAAATCAACAGCGGTGAATCAACGCATTGGTCACTTTGTTTTTAGAATACATTCAACAATGAGTACCGTTAAACAAGAGCGGCACGACGACGCCGAGATCAACGAGCTTGCAGCGAAGATCGTCGAAGCGCACAAGTCGAAGCAACAGCAGCAGCCGGCAGCGACCGCAGCAACCAACAACATCAACCGAGCTGGCTTGAATACCATTCTTGGTTTTATCAAGAGCAACGGTAAGAATAAAACCTCCACGCCGACGGAGGCGACAACTCCCAGTGGTGATAAACCCGTGTTGGATGAACGCTCACAAAAGGGCCAGTTTGGTTGGACGACGCTGGGGAAGGTGCACATTCCGTACATCTTCCGCGGCACCGATGATAAGTATTGCGCGGTGCGCATGGTAGAGAGTAAACTGCTGGACAAATACCTCACCTACCTACACCAGGATATCTACAACTGCACGTGCATCCGCAGTTATTACATCACGGATGCCGAAGCGCGTCTCCTCAACGACGTGAATTTCGTGCATTGCGATTCGTTTTTCGGACGCGATCGCTTCACCGGTGAGGATCTCATCGTGCGTCTCAGCGACGCCGTCGAGTTTTATAATTTTCTCGACGCGTGTTACTCGAAACTCCTCAACGGGAGCTCGAATCCACTTGATCGATGCGGTTTTATACGCATTAATAAAGAATCAGTGGTTCCTTACACTATTTACAAGGGTGTTAAGTTTGTGCCCTTGTTTTACTTCGAAGGAGAGACGGATAATCTCAAGCTACGCGCGAATAAACTCGAAGGATGGGATTTGTCGTACCTGAAGTTCTGTTGCAAGGTGCAAGGCATACGCAATGAGTTATTCGCGCATGATTCCTGTTCGGTGATCAGCGTCGAAGATATACGGAATTATTTCCCCCCGGGTACAGTATTCGAGGATTACTGGCCGCAGAAGATGCTGGAGACGCAGTATTTGATTACGAATAAGAATTCGAGTCAGACGCAGGTCGGGCAATGGACGCGGCAGCCTGTTGGACCTCCGATTGCCACGGCGCCGCTGTCGCATCCGAAAGCAACGCCGGTGGTGAAAACTGTTGCGCCTGCGCCGACGCCAGCGGTGGCTGCTGCACAGCACATGTCGCAGATGTACAATAATTATCCGACCACGATTGGCGCACATCCGACTTATCAACCGACGGCGGCGGCGAGGACGGTCGCGTCGGCTGCGAATCGAGCTACTTATGGATCTGTCACGGGTAGTGCCCGAGCTGGGAGGTCGTATGTGTGTCATACACAAGCACCGCCGCCATTGGTGCGATCCACCGTTGGGTAGGTAGCCATTTTGTGTGTTTACTAGTAACACAAAAACAGCTTTTTAACATTGATTGTAATAATTGTGTTCTGGTATTTAGTTATCCAGGATATGTCAAAGACGATTGGTGAGGGTTGATTTGTTCTATTGTATTTTTCTTGCATGCGCTGCGGTTAAAGTTGTTTTTGTGTGCACGTCTTCTTGGTGTCAGACTAACAGAATCGGGTTGTGGTGGTGTTGCTGCGTGTTGGGGGGGGGTTAGCTTCTGAGAATGAGAGAGACTAAAAGCGAATTTACTTGTAGGCCGGCCGCCGCGTACACGAACGCGCAGACCACAGCGGCGACAAACTACCTGCTGATGAACGAAAACTACGGGCGTCAGCAGCAGGCGTCGATACGCAAGTACCCGCCGCCGCCGCTCATCCCCGTCCGGCAGATGAACGGCGGCCTGCAAGCGCTCTATCAGCCGACACCGGCCGCGGATCTTGCCGACCTTAGGTAGACGATTAGGGGTTGATTAGAATTAGTTTTCTTTTTTGGAGTGCTGTATGAATGTCCAGTATAAATCCGCTGAAATATTATTTAAATGTATTTCATTGTTTTTTAAATGTTTTCAGTGCCAATAATCACCAAATAATCAACCAGCAGCCAGCGCACCAGCAGCCGCGGTCGACGGCAACGCCACAGGATGACCGCACGAATGGGCGCATCATTGGCGTGCAGCGTAAGGTCGTCTCGATGTCCAACACGCACGAAACTAACATTCCCTACAAGCTCTCGAAGGCGATGGTCGACGGCAAGATTCTGCCCGCGATCAACATGAAACCCTACATGTACAACGATCTGCTGGTGACGCTGCAGGACTTAGTCAATTACTTTTTCAATAATGTTCCTGTGCAAAACTGCCAGCAAGTCATCAATGTGCTTGGTATTGAAGTTTACAAAAGTAACACGTAAGCAAACACAACTAAATAATGTAAAATTTTGTATTAATGTGTTTTTTTGGTTGCCTAGGGCACAAATGCACGTCCTGGTGGAAAATGGCAAGTGCCAAAGCATTAACGAAACGGTGCTGCTGGTGCAGGTGCGCCATGTGATTGACTACATGCCGCAGTTGAAGTATATGCTCGTCGGCAACATGACGGCGATGCCGAAGCGCAGCTAGGAGTGGCCATCCACGGCGTGGGGCCATCCCTTTTACTAGCGCGCGATCACCGGTTTCATGTTCCTACCAATGCCGCCAACGCGAGTGCTAATGTGTTGTGTGTTACCCGGACGGCCATTTTGAATTTTATGCGTTTAACTCGCGGCCTAAATCCTAGTTAGTGACAAATGGTGTGACACCGCGCGTTTATAAACACTACAATCTCTGTACATACTGAAGTAAAACAGTAACAGTCTTAGTTAAATAACTCATTTTTATATCCCAAAATGTAGAAAAACTACTTTGTACAGTGTAATTATGTTTACGTCGAGTTTTGATTGGAAGTTAATTGCTACTTTACATAATTAAGTGTGTGCCACAGGGTGGAGGACGACACTAGGACTGAATTTTTACATTATTTTACATTAGAGATGGAAATGAACAAAATGTCAGGCGCGTAGATCTGACCAAATGTAAATAGGATGTTATTTATTAACTATCAGCAGAGACACGAATACAAAAACACACTTTACACCTAAAAACACACAGATCATGATCAATGGACAACATAAACAAGGATTGCGCAGTCGTTTTCTGTTGTTTTATCTGACTTGGGGTATAATTGAATAATATAAATGAATTCTTTTTCACTGGGTTATTATTTTCCGCCTGTGATAACGACCATTACTCCGGCGTGAAAGTATTGAGGATGTTGCGCGCGCCGATATACACGATTATATTTTTTTAACATTTGAACATTCGAACATTGAAGCTATATTATAAGTTTGCCGATATTTTTTTACATGTAGCTGTTATTTATTTTCTTTTTTCCAAGAGATTTGTTGAGAGAGCTGATTGGTGGAACTCTGTATGTCTTGTAACTCTTTTTTGTTTTGCGTTTTGTTTTTTTCTGAGAAAATTGAGCGAAAATTGTACGAAATATGCATTTTCATGTGTATGTGCATCTTTATATAGTTTATTGATTATAAAGAAACAAATATAAATATCACTATGATAATATAAATTATGTAAATATTTACTATTTGTGTTTTTCATTCGGTATTGATATGTGCTGGGTGAGTAGTGTTTGTTTTGTGGTAGGCAACCAACTATACACCAATGTTTCGCATGTTTGCGTTATTTTTTATTAAGACAAATTATACCAGACATGCATTTATACGCGTATAAGCATTTTTATTAAATTTATTGATTATAAATATCACTGAAATAATATAAATTGTGTAAATACTTATTATTTATTTTGAGGTAGGCAACCAACCATACACCAATGTTACGAATGTTATTTGCGTTATTTTTCTAAGAAACTTAAGAACAAATTCTACAAAACCAGCATTTATGCGCGTATATACATTTTTATTTCATTTATTGATAATAAATATCACTAAGATAATATAAATTGTGTAAATACTCATTATTTGTTTTGTACAAGTATTGTTGGTTTTGTGGTAGGCAACCACACATACACGAATGTTTGAATGTTGTTCGTGTGTGCGAAGAGTGGAATGCGCGTGCACCGCCCGCGCGCGACTTGAATTTCGCACAACGTCGGCGGCGGGGTGGTATCGTGCGGCAGTGTGCGAAGGTGCAGCCACACCACCGCGGCCCGGCACGGCCATGGAGCGAGTGCTGAAACGCGTCGGGCTCTCGCGACGATCACTCGCACCATCCGCGGATGAGGAGCCCATCGCCCCGCCAAAGAATCAACGCCGTCGGCGGCGTAGTAAATCGCGACGACGTAGTATCGCCGCGGCTGGTACTAGCACAACCACCAATCGACCTGGTGCTGCTGGTAGTGGTGCCTCTGAATCCACAGCTACCGGCACCTCCACCACAATTACACTGGCAGCGAAGAAACCAGCGAAAACGCGTGGTTTGTTTTCGTTCGACTGGGACGCGGTACGCGATTGCAGGTCATGCAAATCACGCGCGTTGCTATCGAAAAGATTCTGCAGTCGAAAGTGCGACAACGAGCTGTACAGATCAAACAGCTTCAAGTTCGAGCGATTCGTGCGAGGCGACGGCGACACCGACGGCGTATCGACCCTTGGAAAAAAGGTCAGTCAACCCATTTACTGACTCATCTCGACATACTTTTATATCATGTGTTTTTATTTACATGCATTTACAATCATTTTCGTGTTTATCTTGCTAGTGTAGTTTAGTAGGTCATTTATCAAATAATATGCAACCCGTAATGCACCCACCTACGAAACGAAAACAAAACAAAACGACTCACTTAACTACAGCTAGTTATTTAAGAGTCCGTCGTAAACACAATAAACGCGTCGAGCACGCAACGTTCATTGTCCTAGATATTCTACTTGCTGCGTAATACAGGTGGTTGTGTTGTCAAAAACAAACCTCACCTTTATACAACCCAGCATTAGTTCATCATTAGTTACATATAGTTGCAGATGGCGCTGGTGGTTGTAAATTCAAATTGACGTATACATTGACGCGTGATGGAAAGTATTAGATTATGAAACGATTTTCATAGTTTATAACTTCAATTAGTAAACGGTTCGGGAGTTGAATTGAACAAGTGAAATAGATCAGGGTGCAGCGTGTAATCGAATTGTCCTCTAGACTGGAAACATTACGCATCGCGGATTTCCCTGCTGGTCATAACCGACCGATAATCATCCACAATTAGTAAGTTTTTAAGCTCAATTTATTGCAATTTTTTCCGCCAGAGGGAGTTACTAGTAATAGCAAATCACTCATTGTTGTTTTTGTTTGTTTTTCTTGTGTTTCGGAACTTGGTGGATTCGAATAATATCAGTTTAGTCCTGTTATTTCTTTGTGCGTGTGAGCCTAGGGTATTTTTTTTGCTGTTATTCATTAAGAATCGCCCAACACCCGGGTGTGTGTAGTCAGGCTCCATTGAAAACATCCCCGTCGACCCGATGCGATATTAGCACGTCCGGACAATGACCGATCACCTGCTCCGCGCGTTTCTTTCATCCGCTCGTCGCGCCATTTGCTTTCGGTTAAATTACATTGAGAATTGTGAATTTTCCGGGGCGGCCATCATTAAATACATTTTTTCTACACGAAAACACACAAAAACATTATTTTTTGTGTCAGAAGAGTATTTTTAATTAACACCTCGTTAATCACTGTATAAAAGCATTTAACCGAATAATTTCTTGATATTATTTGCGGATTAGCACAATGGGCACATGTTTCCGGTTTTTATCTTTTGTTACGTCAGCGTGTAATAAATTTACGAGTGTGAGGCATTAAAACTTTTCGCATTACACCGCTACCCGCAGCCATTTTCAATTGTTGGTTAGTCGTATGTTATTCTGGTTGCCTATGTCATAAAAATGTCAGAATTCAAAATAGTAAGGTTATGAAGTTGTGTGTTTATCAAAAGCAAATCGTTTTCATTCATGATCTGGGAATACCAATGCCTCTCGAGTATCTTGCGTTCAGAGTCCTTGCTCTTTTTGAGCGTTTTGCAACGTTTCTCTTCTTGTTCTTCTCGCACGTTTACCGGCGAGGGTTGTGATGCTGCGGCGGCAGTGCTTGTGCGCGGCTCGCATCGATTTCCAACGCCACAGGGTGGCGGTGGCGGTAGCGGAGGCAGCGCGCGCGCGCTTGGGAAAACCTCCGCCGTGTGCTTGTGTACGTCTATAAATAGCGGATGACTCATTCGGCTCGACAGTGTTTCCCGTGCGCGCCGTCGGGGAAAACACGCTTTTCTCATCCTCTCACGCTGATCCGTTCCAACGCAGCCAGCCACACACGTAATATACAGTTTTTGAAAGGATTCCTATTATTTTACATCGAATAAACCCAAGAAAAACATTCTACAAGCGGAATTATTACTCTAAACATGTAAGTAACCTTAAATTTTACTAGAATAACATATTTAACTTTTACTTTCGGTTATATACGCGTATTGTTAGTTTTTATCATTGACATTCCCGGCGCGTTGGATTTTTATGTGAAACGCACGCGTGTGGAAAATACACGGTGCAGGGGAAGTACATGAATCACCCGCAACCATTCCGCATGCAAATGCTGAGATCTCCGCGTGGACCAGCGCGAGAAGGGTGCCGTGAGTTTCGACGCGCCAAACTTTTCACCCTCTTTGACAAAGACGCACTTTAAGCATGCTTTTAAAAGTATTGTCGCTGGATTTTTATATGTGCGCGCCACCTGATGTAATCCTAACCTCAAAATTACATTTTTAGTGATTTTTATATTCTACTTATTGATTATGCATAAGTAGTAATAAAAAACACATTCAGCGTGTAATGCTATGCATTATAATGCAATTTCTAATCATATTTGCATATTATATACAGGAAAATGGCGATAAAATCAAACATAACCTAAATATAACCCTATGCAGCAACCGGTGACCCTTTGTATGTTTAATTTAAGATTATCCCCGTTTGATATGGATTTGTATGCTTGATCAGATAGCATGCAATATTAATTACAATTCAAACCCATTTCAAACACTCCCTGAGAGTGGAGGTTCTTCGGGACGTGCGCTTAATTCGTATATTGGAAAAACCGACGATTACCATAATAATAACACGCGATAAGGAAACGGAAAAGGCGCAAAAGTTCCAAGCTGAAAAAGAAGTCCTGAATGGCTCTGGTCGGGAAAAAGAAAATCTAGACTCGCACTAGCATTGGATTAGGTTCGGCTTGAACTGCAGCTGGTTTTAAGCGAGAGAAAGGAACTCAATCGTATATTCAACCGAACAGGTGACGTGGGTTGCGGTGGAAGCACTCTTTTTTCCTTTTTAATTCTCTTTCAGCTGCAAATGGCAAATGGTTAAATTCACCCGTGTGGAAAACGTGGAAAACGTATTTTTCTCGAGTTTTTTTTTTCGCAATATAAAATATGCATAACCTTATTTCATGCCTATTAATCATAGAAAGTATTGTGTTAGTTGATCGATTTATAAACTCGGTGTCGGGTGTCGTGTGTCGTCGTTTAATGAAAGCTCTGCCGCCCCCACACAAGCCACGTTTCGGTTATTACGGAAGGCGATTTGTAACGCGCTCGTGACTTGTGATTAATTACGTTTATTATGTGTGCTGCGCGTACGGTAAGATAAAGCAACAACTAGGGTAGCGTAGGAAGTCGTCGTGTATTGTTGGTTGCAAACTTTGAATTTACATCCGTTTAAACTTCAAGTACCTCAAGCACTTGGCTAGAAATCTTCATTATGATACAATATCTGATATTACTCGGTCTAAAACAGGCATCGATGTTCAATGTGTGGTCGATTACCTCGATTTATATCCGCATCACGTACGCGTACAAACATGGCGACCGATGTCAAACACCCGGTGCACAACGCACCCCAATGTCCAGTTATATATGCAACCAAGCCAACTTGAAAACCAGTGGCGTAGTGGTTGTAATGGTTTTAATTTTCGACATTCGGTAGCGGTAGCACCCTTTGGTGTTTTGACGCATAGTGGATCACGTTACTCTTCATCGTAATTTACTCCCTCTCGACTTCCTGCTGGACACGCGCACGTGCACACGTATGGACCCCTCTAATTTTGAGACAGCTTCTGATTCCTCTCGCCCGCTTCTCTCATCTATCGCAATTTTGTCGAATGTCGAGTTAAAACCATGTTCCACCCATCTAACTTATCCCCGCGCACATAAAAACGTCGCAAAAACCTTTAACTTCAACGCAGATTGAATCTAACTGCGGTCGCAATGATGAAAAACTACTTGGAACTTTCGTCCTGCTTTTTTTTGAAGCTCCCGGGAAGGAATTTTGATTAAAATAGTATTTAACTAGATAAAAGTTAGAATTAAGCTATATAATAGTAGATTCAAGATATTACACGAACAATAGATGATTCCTCGAGTATCCTGACTCCTTGAAATTGCTTCTTGCTTCCCCTAAGACACCCCCATTTAATAATGTCCACTAATGTCCTTACACATCCTGTGGACAATAAATCTCCGGCAGTCTTTGATTAAATTACCTAAATCAATACATTCTGAGGTTAAGAATCAAACACTTCAAGGTCATGGCGTATGCGAGGTGTTTTGCGTGTTATCACTGTTCAAGTGATGTTTTTTTCGCCATTTTTATCCCCCTGGCGTACTGTTGCCGCATTACGTTTACGAATGGCCGTCATAAATCTCTTTCGCCGCTAGCTTTTATTTGCAAGTCTACACTTCTACTTCTGCTTCCTTTTTTTCACCAGGGGTGCTTAATATCATTCTCATCTTGTGCCATCCCTTATGCTGGTAACACCCCAAGGTGAAAGATATTTGTATTCGTAATTAATTTCATGTCTACGCAATTCTAACCTATAAAGTAGCTTTCTATCAATCAAATGTAACGCGATAAGTTGATACATCAGTGGAAGGGTTGTCTTTGTTGTGCCAATCGGATGTGTCACATTGTTTTGAACGAGTGTAATCAATTTGTGTCTTTGGTTGGCTTTGTGTCTGTGTGAGTAGCGCACAACTTCTTTACGTAGATGATGAACGGGTTGCCTAATGAAGGTGTCAACACCAGAACTGGTCTCGCGCGCGCGAGCTCACGAATCGCCGCCTCTTCATTTCCCCACGCATAAAATATATAAGGCGAGGAAAATAGACCCTCATTGTGTGTGCCGGCCGTGAACCGTTGAACCGCCAACATCGTCCTGTGGGATATGATTAAAGCGGATGAGTTTCTTTCTCTTCTTCTTCTTCCATCTTGGTTTATCTATAGACTATGAAATATAGAGGGTGGAATTTTTTGTTTTGTGATTTTTAAACATTTAAAATTTAACTTTGGACATTCTTTAAGTTTTGTTGTGCTTTGTAGCATAAAGAGGCACTACAACCCCGCGCTGTAAACGTTTTCCTCTTCATCCCCCCAGGGGGCAGCGCAAAATGAACGCCATAGATCATTTCGAGCACAAAGCATCACCCTCCAACCCCCACCGTGACTTGTTATAGGGCGAGTTGGGGCTTAAAGCGTTGAAAGCTTCAACATTCCAGAGCCACGCAAAATAAATACGTAAATACGCGCACCAGAAGCGCAAAAAATAAAAGTCGATATCAATAGGGTCTATAAAGTAGGCAACCAATCGAGCGTGAGAACAATAGCCGGGTAAATTACTTCATTTGCTCGGGATATATGACGTGCTGCCGAAAAAAAAAGATTAAATGCGCCACCATCGATTCATTTCGCTTATCGCGTTATCTCTAGATTCTTTATGGCACAGGGTTAATATCATAAATCGTTTATTTCTAGTGGAGATTAAGTGGGTATGTTTGAATTCATTTCTCATTTATAAAGAAGACAAAAATGTTCAATGTTTTAGTACATATTGTATAGAATTAAGTTTTGTTTTGCGTTGATTGTGGAAGCTTTCATTTACTAATCCAATTCGACACACACATACACACATAGAGCGAGTTTCGTCTCTAATTGGTAGACTTATTAAATTTCACCCTCGTCATGAGTTTCAGCATTCAGCACTACAAATTAGAATTAAAGATACACTTGCGTGCCTAAAAGGGTACATTTTAATCATTCTTATGATTAATTACCATAACAAATAACAAACCATTGCCTGTCGCAAGTAATTTTCTTAAATTTTGTCTGTTTTTAGTTAATACTAAGTAAAATATCAACATTTGAAGCACCATTTGAAATTTGAGAGCTATTAATGCATATTTGGTTGCATAACTTCAGCTAATGGAATGTCGAGAACAATAACACTCGTACCCTCCAATTGATTATGAATTATACCTCTATTTTCCTTTGTGCGTAAATTTCCACCGCCCACGCCGTAAATTTGCACTGGCGTGCTAAAATGCGATATTATTTACGAGCCGTCCGGAGTGCGTCTAGATTACGTGTTTGCATTAGGTGCGTGGTACATGGGGGCGGCTGGGCACGCAGGAATTAAGCCGTCGCTCGAACTCCAGCTCGACGTTTCGCCAAGCCGCACACCTGATCTCCTTAATGCCCCTAGTAGCCCTCGAGCATTTTGTTGCTACACAAGCAAAATGTGTAACACGCGAAGAATTTCCTTCACTTTCCAAGCACGTAGACGTTTACTTACTTTATTTAGACCTTTCCGAAAGTGAACTACAAGTATCCCACTTTTATTTCGACTTTCTCATGTATTTCGTATCACTCGATGAATTAAATGTTATACGCTTGATTAATGCGTATTTTTATGTTTTTTCGTGAGTTGTTGAGTGGTTGTGTTAGGAAAACAATAAATTTGAGCGCTCCCGAGTGGAAATGCCTTCGAATCAAGGATTCGGCGAGTCAGAGTGGCGTCTAATTTATTAAACCACACCTACTTAAATTTATAGCCGTTCTTCTTTCTCTTTGCGCTTGTAGATCTCCCTGTGCGACGACTACAGCCTCCCTTTGGATGACGTGAACAGACGCCGGCCGAATAGCATTGCCGCGCCGAGCGCTTCCGACTGGAACGTCTCCAGTCCTAATGAGGACAAGGTATTGCTGTGACCTCCTCTCTTGATTTCCAACAATTTTATTTCATCTCTTGCCTTTTATTTTATTTCACAGGTCGAAGTTTTAGAGACTTATTCGACACCGCGAGACTTCAAACAACGCCTCAGTCAGCACGAGGAAGAGGAGTGGGAGAGGGAATACGCAGCTGCTGCCGCCGCCGCCGCTGCAGCCGCCTCCGTTGATCATCGGTCTGCATCTGTGGACGATGCCGAACAAAAATGCTTCACGAGTCCAGACAGGGAATACTCGCAGCCCTACACGACAGGTAAGCTTTAAAGCTCTATCTCGTCAACATGAAACCACCCCATTATTCATCCCTCGAAAATGTCGCGAGTTTATAGCGTATAGCCGCCGGCAGATGATGTTTAGGGTAGAGTACAGCGGGATGAAGGGGTGTGGACACTGCGGTGACTGGTAGAGGGATGAAATTTGATCGCTGATGCGTCGCTTGCGTTAAGTGCGTGTGGGGCGGAGGGAGTGAGGTCCTATCATTACGTCGTAATTGAATTTGTCACACGGTTTGATCTAGCTTCCGGCTGGCGGAGAAGTAATTACCAAATTTGGGATTATTTTAATATATTTAACTAGCTGGACACCCTTTAGAGACTCTAGAGAGCTGCGACTAGACACCTGGAGAGGGTCGAGCGCGAAGCGCACTGCGTGCTGCCCTTTTATGCCTGTGTTTTTTGCGTACGACCCGCAAAAAGTGGTGGGGGTAGACTTGGCACTACGTAATTGGCCTACGCTCGCGGCAGGTTGCGGAGGAAGCTAAGAAAGCTACACGCATACACTACCCCCACCACTTTTTGCGGGTCGTGGGCAAAAACGCAGGTATAAAAGGGCAGCGCGCAGTCGCAGCTTTCAAGGTCTCTTTTCCTCTCCCCCCCTCTCTCCTTTATTACGTTTGTGTCGATTTTCACCAATGCTTCATCAAATAAATGTCGCTTTGACATGACGGATGAAATATTTAAATAGATACGTCGATAGACATGCTTCCGCCGTGTCTGAATAAACGTCTCTAAACGTTGCGTTGCGAATTCCGCTCCATCAATATTGATTCGCTGATGTGCGTGCTGTGACGCGGAATCCATATGATATGATATTACGCGTTTCACTTTGCAGATTGAAAATTCCGCTCGAAACTCGCGCATTGCAATAAATAACAAACTTTTCTTATTTCTGTGTCTGCTGGCGAGCACATTCACGATTTCATGCTCTATTGAGGCTTCATATTCAGTACAGCGAGTTAATTTCAAGCGTTTTGCATGCATTTCAATGCAGGATAAACAATAAAGAGGATAATTTATGGTTTTAATTAAAAACACAATAAACATTTACGTGGTTTTTTACTAGCACCTGATTTCGTATTGTTATTGGTCATAAAATGTTTGTGTTTGCGAAATTACCATTTTGGACAACTTCCAAAAGTCTCAAGGATGAAACTCAACTCTAAAGTGACCCAACTTTGATCCTTAACCAAAATGATAATATTTATTTATTAAGTTTGTTTACCAGATTATTGGCAGGATGCCAATGGAATATTTTTTTGTGTAGAGATAGGATATGTTGCACACGTTTATGAAACATTTAGTGCATGTTTTGGAGGATCTCGTTAAGTGCGCTGCAGGACATTCACAGAGGGTGCAATCTCATCAACGCGTATTGCATCCCAGTGCAATTTCTGGACGTGGGTCGGATAGGATAGGGTAGATTCACGTTGAAAATGTCATTTTCTGTAACAAGGGGAGTCCGATTCAACCCCAGGCACAAAACAAATCGATTTTTAAATTTAAAACTTTTATTTTCTACATCAACAGACGCATCCTCTGCACCTTCTTCAGATGAAGAGTTCTTTGGTCATCGTGTTGCACTAAGTCAACGCATAGATCCACCTCAGATTGAACTAAATTCTCCGGATAGTATCACAGAACCAGGTTCTGTTGCTCAGGACCAGTTTGTAGAGAAACAAGTCGAAGTAAAACGTCATCCGTCACCATATTATTACTCAGATCTTTTGAAGCCACGTGTTGTAGAACCTGAACAAAACACTACAACTTCACGTCTGCAAGCTCAGCAACAGCAACAACAATTATTACATTCTGAGACTATCTTTTCGACAAAATCCGAATGCCATCCACGCAATCGTTACGAGTTTGAACGCCAGCTTCTCTTCCAGACCACTGGTGGTCAACACCATAAAAAGAACCAAAAGTCATGGGCTGGTTATCACAAAAAATACCGTAAAACCTCCGAGAATTCGAAACACTCGCAACGTGCGCAGCAGTTAGCTATAGCGTTGCTCAACGATGTGCACGAAGCGGTGGGTACCTCCACCAGCAGCGGTGCTGATAGATTATCCTATGACGTAGACGCCGAGATGACCCGCCAGCGGCACGTCTACGAGACGGCGTTCGACAGCCGCGTCGCCAAATCGGACGACGATCTTGACGAGATCGACAAGGTCACCAATCATTCCGTCTTGTCGCATATTGATCCAGAACGTAGGCAGTCTACGTTCGGTGCTAGTCGGAGTACAAGTCGATGTAGAAGCGCATTCCAGACTGATCAGTCTACAATCAGTGAGAAACCAACTAGTATTTCGGGGTTGTCTACCCAGTTGGAAAAGATGCATCTACCGGAATGTTCCAGGAGTATGTTGAGAGGGTATACACCCTCACCTCCGTCCACCGCACCACTACCCACGAAGTTCCATGGAAAGGAACTGATTATGAATAGTATCCGCAGTGCGCCCAATTTACCCTCACATTCGAAAGCACGCTTAAAACATCTCCACTTACCGATTAAACCCAATGAGGTGAGACCCGAGAAGGACCAACGTGTTTTGGAGATTAAGGATCGGCCACGCAAGGATCTCTTGCTGTTTAAACGATCCAAAGACGGTAAAAATACTATTCTAGAGTTTAAGAGCAGGCGCAGGCGACACAAGTATTCCAGTACTGAGAGTATGACTACCAGTAGTTCAGGGAGCATGGAAAGTATCAAAAGTAGTACTTCCGAAGGTAATAGAAGTACCACGAGTACAGACAGTCGAAATTCTTCCTCGCTAAGCTCACATGACTCCGATTCTGGAGCTGCGAGTAATTATCTTGCCGCGCAGAGCTTTCAGAGTAACAAACTGCATATTCTAAGTCCCATATCGGATAAATCGTCACAGGAACCCGTCTCGGAGATATCCGATAATAATCGCAACAATAACTCGCAGAAATGCTCACCGGAGGAGATCAATGATACGAAATCACGCCGACGCCTTCCACAGAATAAGAATTTGTTGAATCTTGGATTGGAGATTCAAGGATCCGATAGTGGGATATCCATACAGTCGAGAGGGGAAGGTGTAAAGTCACGGTTTGTTCTGGGAGAACTCTGTGGTTCTGGAGGACAGAATAATGACTTTGCTGATTTGCCGTTTGACATGCCGAAGTTACGAAGGAGGCGGTTGGATGTCCAGGAAGCGGCTTGTACTTCCAGTAGTGCTACCTCTATAGATTTCGGGGATTTACCGTTTGATATGCCTAAGTTACGAAGGAGGCTGCGGGTGCAACAAACGCCCAAAGAGTTGAGTGTGTCGCAGGCTTCCTCTAGTCAGAGTGTTGTAGATCCGGAAAGTCAAGGTAATTAATTTTTCTGGAGAATGTGGAATAAACTAATTTGTTGTATTTTCTTAGGATTGAGCTTCAGGCCCAAATTATCACTTAATTTGGATGCTACCAGTGGTAAAGCTAAACCTAAACCAGGTTTAGGGTTGTCTTTGACTGGGATTGGGTTTAATTCTGTGAAAAGTCCGACGAGAGCGCAGGATTTTGATATTAATCTACCACTGGAGAGACAAGGGTTTGTTTTATTAGTTTCTGGTGTTAAACAATTTATTTTTATTGTAAATGATGTTACAGATGGTATCACGGCGCCATTACAAGAGTAGAAGCTGAAAATATTCTAAGAGTGTTACGAGATGGAAGTTTTCTTGTTCGTAACAGTGAATCAACCAAACAAGACTATTCATTGTCTTTAAAGTATATAAAAATGATTAATTCAAGTGTAAAATCACATATTTTATGATTTTGTTGTTGTTTTAGGAGTGCAAGAGGATTTATGCACATGAGAATCCAACGAGAAGAAACAAACGGCACGCGGACATTTATCCTCGGCCAGTTCAGCAAACCATTCACGTCGATCCCAGAAATGATCAAACACTTCTCTTTGAATGGGTTACCAATCCGTGGGGCAGAGCACATGTGCTTGGTGCAGCCAGTCATTGTGCAATTGTTGTGATAAACTTTTCGCCAATTTGATTCAATCAATCAAAAACGAGCTGAAGAAACGAAATGGTCGGATGAGTGCAATATATTTGAAAGGATCATTGCGATGTGCAATAATTACTTATTCCAATACAATTTCTTGCTGATTTGATGAATTATGCATATGTAATAAGGCTTCCAACTACGAGTATTATTTGTTATTGTTATTTTTTACTTATACATGCATTTGTAATCAAAGCAAATTCGTTTAACATCTAAACTCCACATTTTGGAGGAACAATTGCCAAAGAGAGATGACTGTGAATATTTATACCATACCATTTAATATTGTGAGGAACGTTGAGTAGGAATTCTGTTCGATTTAATGATCTACATCATGTGTAGAAGAGAAAAAATGTGAACAAAATGCAAGAAACATGCAACAAAAAGAAAAACAACCAGATTTAGACCTTAGATCAATGTCTTAGGTTTAGTTCGACTAAGAAACAACTAAAGAACGTGAAATATTATAATATATTTATCGATTTTATTGATTAATCAGTATATTATAAAAATTATAAACATAAAAGCTCAATATTATAACAGAAGGGATGAGATGCAAAACTATTACTACAAAATTAAAATTTCTTAATTGTATATAGGTACTATACAATAAAAACGACTAATATTAAATTAATTCTTTATGTTGTAGTGAGCAACACTGAAATGCCAATTGCAGTTCGAAAAGTAGCACATACGTGGCGCTAGTTGGTCTACACGAAAATAAATTCGTGTTTACCAGTGCGACTTGTGTAGTATTCCTCGTTGCGTGTAAGTATTGATATCGCCGGCCGTGAACAGTGATAAAATACACAAATATTTATTGTGTTTGTGAGTGAAACTAGTGTAGTAAAACTATTTTCTTTTAGTTAAACATATTTCGCTCGTTAATCACACCCCATGTGCGCGATTAAATTAATTTAATAATAAAATTAAAAGGCTATGAAGCCAATATTCATATTAAAACGAAGATTGCAATGCGCCGCGTGTTTGCAAGGTAAGTCTTGTTTTGATTTGCATTTTTTTTTATAACGTTACTTGTTTTCGTCCATGTTTTATCACACAAATACATACAAAACAGAACTGTGCTGTTATACATTTATTTGTTCTTTGCTTCTTACACAAATAGAATCATATAAAAGTAAGAAATGTAAGAAATACAATCTAAAAATACTTCAACATGAATCTAAACTACTGAAACTCAAATACTATTTTGTTTGAAACAAAAGTAGGTAAATCTGTACAAAATATTCTTCTCTAACAAATATAACAATTTACATTTTGCACTCTCAGGTTTACAATGTAATTGTTTACAATAAACAAGCACAAACAATCAACCTAAAACTAGTTGTATATATGTACAAAATATTTCAATTATAAAATTCTCAAAAAGCGTGTTTAAAATGTAAAACCTTATAATTTACGATGAACGGTGATTGGTGAACACATTTTTAAGTTGTCATATGGCCAACAATTCAGTTTTAAACAAATTAATCACACATCAGTCTGTGGTATACCTTGCACTAGTTGTGTACGACTTCTTGAGGTCTTCCGCGTGCCCATTACGGGCGTACCTCGTCTCGGAGGTAGTTCTGCTTCCCCATTTGGGCTGCTGGTGTAATCCGGCAGCTCCTTTAAAGATATCGCGCTGTTACTTCGGAATGTCGCAGCGCTATTGGACCTTACCGAACCCACACCACCACTGCTTGCATAAACCGTACGAATTGGTTTGTCGGTGAATTCGTTTTCGATACCCATGTCAGCGTCTGCATCGGGGATCATAAAAGTCTCACCCGTATAGAAACGATTTCTAAAAATCACAAAATTGAAATTTAGTATTTTTTAAAGACTTTTTAATGAGTTTTATGTGGAGTGACTTAAACTTACTCCAAAAGTCCTTTACGATGGTTAGATTGTCTTATAAATATAAATATTAGTGGTTTTCATGGTAGATTATCAATGATTAGTAAAATATGAATGAATTTTATCATTTTACCTTTGCTTACCTCTTTGCATTACGCCATAACATGCAGCAAATCACCAGCAGGACAACCAAAAAGAGACAAACAGTCGACATGCTCCAAAAGGCCACTTGTAGGGGAGTGCTAGGTTCATACCAGAACTCTGTAGTGGGTTTTAAGGTTGGTACCAGTACCCCCACCACAGTTGGGAGGTACTGCGTCCAAAAGGCTGACTCTGTTTGTCTATAATTCCACATAATTGAAGAATTATAAGTTGTATTCAAGTTTAGGTACTTTAATTGGCCATTTATTGCTTGCTCATAGTGCAAACCCAAAATTTGCGTGAAAGATGGCGTTCTAATTCACAAAAACAACAAAAATTAATTAAATCATTCATTTTATAAAATAAAATACTTACCCGTATCGTGCAAAATCAGTATATGATTTCATAAAGAAATGACTCATATTTCGATCGTTGTTCGTCCACTGTGTCCTTTCAAATCGCTCCCTTTTGGGGAAAAACTCAACATCCATGAAAGGTGCACCCGTGAGTAAATAATGTTCTATGTCATGCGGAGTCCTTCGCCAAAACTCCGGTTTAAATGATTCTATAGTCGTGTTGAGTACATACATGTAAACAGGCACTTTACGCTCGACTAACATTTTGATCATTTTATCATTCGGTGCTACGTAAAGGAAATCAGAGAGCAATTCTATGTACTTTTCACGTATATGTGTAACATTGTGCGGGTCAGGCCAGTATGTATACATGTATTTTATAGCTTCAAAAGTCCCGTTTGGATTTAGAGTGTAATTGTATCTCAGGACTAATTCGCGGACTTTCTGGTCGAAAAACTGCTCGTCTACTATGTAGGTAGATGCCAGGGACTCGTTTTTATCTGTAGGGAGAATATAGGTTAGAAATTTTTTCAAAAAGACGGTAAAAATTGTAATTTTCTGAGACTTACAAATAAAATCAGCTGCTTCTTGCATTGTTAACGTTGCCATATAGCTTAATCCTTGATTAAACTCCCCGCGCTTTATTAAATCTTCTGGTTTTTCTTTTAAAAAGTGCCAATCACGTTCATTCCACCCCTCGTAAAACGGCATAGTTAAATTCCAGTCGATTACAGGTGACCAAGGGAATAGTCCAACATGAGGAGGAAATTCTGTATTTCCTAAATCATTTGCGCTTCGACCATGTTTTAAACAGTTGACTAACTTCCAACTGGACTCTATACTGCATCCTATTAATTGTCCAAACACTCTGGACGTGTTTTGTGCTCTGTATAAGTCACTGATGAGGGCCCAGTCAGCTAATGCTGATCCACTCTAGTAGAAAGATAATTTAGACCAATTAAAAGCTTTAACTAAATGAATATTAATTAAAACTTACTTGTGCTATTACTTTGGTGACGATGTGCCGCGTTTCTGGTGCTACCATTAAGAGACCAGCAGACGCTCCACCTGCTCCTGGACCAAAGAGTGTTATAGAATATCTGTCACCGTTGAAATATTCAATGTTTTCGTAAACCCACTTTAGGGCCATTGCCTGGTCAAGAATTCCATAGTTTCCTGGTGAATTTATGTCACCAGTACTTAGAAAACCTAAAATTTAAAAAGTTACCCAAAATTTATTTAGATTTTGATGGTTTTTATTTACCTAACACTCCGAGACGATAATTTATAGTCACCACAGTAACATTATAAAAAGTTGCCATAATATGTGCTGGAAATAAATTGGAAGCACCCTTAACAAAGTCCCCACCATGAATATAAACCATCACGGGGAATTTTTGCGATACCCCACTCACAGTGGGTGTATAAACATTCAAATATAAACAATCTTCATTAACATCGCGTATTCCTTTGGTTGCACCGGTGTGTTGGACAGGTTGTGGGCACGCAGGACCATAGTCTACTGCTTGTAGAAGTTGCCATCCTTTATGCCAACGCGGTGGTTTGAAACGACCTTCTTGTGTTGGTGGCTGTGCGTATGGTATACCCAGAAATACATCGGTGGTACCAAATTCACGTTCAATGAATTCTGAACCGTAGCGGTAAAGGGAATCGGGATCAGGGTTGTCGTATAAATAGACTTTGAAACCTTGCACGGGACCATGTTTTGTTTTTACTGTAATGTCCCGCGGTCGGTTGATGTTCATACTATCCGCGCGTAGTTTACCCTGGATATCTTCACGCCATCCTCCAAGGATGCCAGGGAGCATTGGGGCGACATTTCCATGCTGTTAAATACATTAGTTAATGTAATAACATTTTTAAACTGTTTTAAAAATTGTTGCTAATGCAATACCATGTGTAGTTATATATTTTGAACAGAGATGACGCTGCAATGCAGTTTGTAAACGCTGGGAGCTCAGACGAAATATTTAAGCAAACAATATGAAAAACAGAACTTAATTTATAAAATCAAACAAGATATTAAATTGTTGCATGGTTTATGAAGTAAAATTTTAAAATTAATACACTAATCAACTTGATTTCAAGCCTGCGGATTGATATATTTAATTTTGATCAGTGGCGTAGCGTGCCTTGTCGGGGCCCCGTATAAAATTTTTTTTGGGGGCCCTTATATGGAGGTAAAGGTTTTTCCTTACACACTTTGGGGGCCCCCGTGGCCCGGGGGCCCCGTATAATTGATACGGCAAATACGGCGGTAGCTACGCCCCTGATTTTGATGTATATTAAGCATATTTAATGCTTTTAAAGCATTTATTTGTTAATTAACCTCAGAAAAACTCGCGCCTGTGTTAGTTCAGCTGTTGTTTATATCTTACTTAAATATATTATCTCTATTGAGCATAGATGGCACTCATTATTTGCCTTAAATTCGAATACAATTCGCGACTTCACTCGCGTCAATTTAATACTTTCTTTCGCTACATTAATAAACACAGCTGTATGCAACTACATTCAAGAACAACCAGTTAATTAATTGTATCTCATTGACTCAATCATGTGTCATATCACTAACTCGAATGAATCAGCGTCAGGGAGTTGCCCAATCGAACACGCTGCATTGTTATTATGACATATACTCTGAATGAAAACATACCTGATCATAGAGGAATCGTTCATCCTGCCCAACTCGATTGGGATCCCCGGGATATTCCCGATTATTGGAAGACGTCGCCTGCTGGCCATACCTGCGGCCGTTGTAGAAGAAGGTACGGTAGTCGCGATCGCCCGGATCGGGCCTATTGTATGGGTCGTGCGGGTACGCGTACGGATTGCGATTGTACGTCGGCGGGTTCGGTGGATAAGGGTACCTCTCCCGGCCATAGTCTTGAGCCACAGTTATCACAACACATAATAATAATAACAGCACCGCACTCGCGATTATTTGTTTATTAAAAGCTCGCAGGCGCGAGAACGCCATGTTCGCACTGCGGTCGAGAACGCGCCCGCGTTTGTGACGTCAGACACGCCAGGTAAAGGTAGAAATGGTAGCCACACAACTCACCTGTGTGTATTAATCGTCTGCTACGTTGCCGCACTAGCACTACACAAGGAAACTATAAGCACGAAACAATACACAATACACAACGGGTTTTCAGAATCAAATCAAATCGCAAACGGTAAAAGAACTATATGAGTACATAAATGATTTTTACTATACACCGTTGAGAGTTGATAAGATTTATCTTCACTATCAGTTTCATTGATAAGCATTAATGTTGATAAATGTATTTGTTTTGCGTGATGTTGCGCTGAAAGTCGGCGGAGTACTGAGAACAGATAAAACGGTGTTATTCTCTTTATTCCTGCTAAGAATCCGTTCTTTTTTTTACGTCCACGTGCGTGGGAGTGCATTGATGCGGTCATTTTATGATGAACTCCCGTTGCACACCAACCACAACCATGGAACGTGAGAAAGTGAGATGTTTTCTAATAAAGACGTTCATTATTAACGTTTAAATGTAGAGCAAACACGAGTGGGCGTTGAATGTTCAGTTTTATGAAAATGTTGACATTGCAAATTAATTTAAGCTTTGTTTTTGCTCACAGAGTGAGAAATTTAAAATGATTGTCATTTTAAAGTGAAAATTAAGTATTAAAATATATAATTTACTTTCTTTTTATTTTTAATCTTTCTACGCATGCAAAATAAACAGAAAAGAAAAAAAGCGGTGTTTGTTAATGATTTGCATCCGTTATTTCCCAGCTTTGAATGATCTGCACAAATTCTGTAAATCCCAAGTGAATTAACCATTTGTGAGATTCAGATCAGCTCACTTGTTAATCTAAACTAAAAAAAAATATATAAACGTTGCGAACAATATGCGCCAGATTAAAAAGGGAGCGCAACATTGCTTAGGGTCGAGTATATATCGTGATGATGAGCTCAATTTACCAACTCATATAAAATGTTAATACACGTGTGTGTGTGATCATGATGATAGCAATAGTGGGGGTAGTGCAGGCGGATGAACGGCATGTTTCGAACTTTGCGGCATTCGAAGCTTCGTGTGCTTCGATTCGAGGTCGAGGGAAGTTTCTTCAGTTGAGTGTTGTGTGCGTAAAAATCTCAAAATTTTGTGTTGTGCGGATTAAAATGGCCGATGAAAGCATTAATATACCACTTGAGAGCCAAAATTTAGACTATCACATTGTGACTTTGTTAGAAAAAATCGAAAATTTACGAATTGAAAGTTACAACGTGCGCGAACGAAGATTACCGTGTCAAGTTGAGATTCGCACGATTGAATTTTGGAAATCGGTGATTTGCGAGTGTTTGGCATCGTTTATATATGTTTTTATCGTTTGTGGGGCGGCTGCTGGTGCAGGGGCGGGTGCATCATTGTCTTCTGTTATGTTAGCCACCGCACTTTCGGCGGGATTCACTATGGCAACTTTAAATCAGTGTTTTGGACACATTTCTGGTAAGTTTTTTAAGAAAAAAAAAATTATAACAATTAAATAATTATTTTAAATTATTTAGGCGCACATGTAAATCCTGCTGTATCAATTGCAATGGGCATTACAAAGAATATAACAATGTTGAGGACCGGCATGTTTGTAATTGCACAATGCGGGGGCGGCATTGCCGGCGCAGCGTTTCTCTACGGGTAAGTGACAATAGTCTCAATCACAGACGCATAAACAATTTGTTTACAATAGGCATATTATATGCTAAGCGCAATGAACAAGCTTCTTCCGGTAGGAAGCGTGCCGTAACGCGTGTGTTACATATGTATAAACATATTGCAACTAAACTAAGTTTTATTTAACTTTGTACATTCGGTACCTTCTCAAGCATAATATAAAACATCTGTCAGGTAATGCAGGTATCACCTGCTTATTTTGTGTCATAATCTTGCCTTGGACCACGCGCTGCTGCTTACCGCTCGCCTTATTTATCGAGTTTACTTTACGCACACGTTTTTCATTCCTTTAACGAGGTGAAACCGTTGGTACAGCACGAAATACTCCAGTTTTCAGAAGCAGACGTTACAGTTTAGCTTATAGAAACCGTTCAGGTAATAATTTCAATTTCTATTGCTTCGAAAACTCGTCGTTTGGTATTGGAATTTATAGCGGGCCACTTTATTTCTACCTGGATTTTGTTGTTTGGATTTTCCATAGTTTTACCTGGTAGGACCCTTCGGGTATTGAATTTACATTGCTACAAGAAGCAGCTGTTTAAGATGCACACGCACCGTTTATACAATAGGGCAGCGTGTGTTATTCGTGTGCCAAGAATCGAAAAAAATATTTTTTCTTTCAAAAAATTATGCTATGTAAAGTAAAAGTTTGGAATCGAAAAATAATGCCATATGCACTTGTTCAAATCACACAATTCACTTACCCAACCCTTTGCGGAAAACAAAATATAAAATAATTGCAATTCTGCACTTGCTATAACTGCATAACCCTATTACTTGTATTGTATCACCCACCATGCTTCATCAACAATAACAAAATCTTCGCCCTCCTGGGAGGGATGTGCGCTTGTATAAAAAAGGGGGTTGAAGTGTGACAATATATGTTAATTCGGCATACAACGGCGTGATCATTGCGGTGAGCACATGTGAGAATATCACCGTCACAAAAAATTACCCCGCATTCACTTGTTTTCGCGACACCCCTATTTTATTTACTAGTATTTTTCGAGCCATAAATTGCGGATAGTTAGCTATCTAGTCTAGTCAAGTCTTCACATGTGGTTACCATACAGACCAGAATGAAAAATGGGTGCATCTGGTGACCACATGTGTAAAATATAAAAAGGCAAAATCTAAGTTATGTGTTTCAGATTTTGGTTTTGCTATGATTATGATTTCCTAGGGTGATTGTTTTTTGAGTTCCGCATCATCCGATAGAAACAAAAAAATGACACGCACGTGTTTTCAATAATCGCACACCTGGCCCTTTTTTGTCTTCGGCTTCTTCTTTTACCACTTGCTCGACTCTAGACGTTGTTTCCTGCCTGCCGGCACTATAATACCTTTCTTTACCCTCGCAAACACAAGCCTCGCACACGCACACATGTCTAAAATGATTGTGTGTTGTGATTCCACAAAGGGCCCTAAGATTTTTGTGCTTTTACACAAAGCAGCTGCAGGATGCGTTCCGCACTACCATTTTAAAACGCTTCAAACCCAAGCAATATCAAATTCCACCACCAGATCACCCTACACACACACGAAAATCTTACCTAATTGCAAGGTGCGCTTGCAAGCTGTTGTTGAAATTATATTTTAAAGCTAGGAGATATAATTTTGCAAGTGTTGCACTCTCCCAGAATTCCCACCGCCGGGATGTGAACCACTTCACTTTGTGGTCCCCGCGTATGATATTAAACGTAATCAATTTGACGAGGACAAAAGTTTTGACCCCAAGTGTAAGTTACACCGCGTGCGTTTAAAATGTTTCTCAATGAAGTTATCACGGATTAGACTGAACAGCTTGGGCACTTGAACATTTGAGCACCCCAATCATTAAAATCCACTTGTTCGCTCGTCCACACCGCATACACGCCGCAATAAAAATTACCCTTATGTAATTCAATTTTAAATTCATGATTCAAGTCACCCGCCGTACACCCTCCACATGAACATGTACTATTTTTATAAATGTGGATCATAGGGTGAGTTGTAATGGAAAAAATGAATATTTTTTGTTTGTTTCTTAATTTTCTTCATCAACCAGCATGTGCGACGTGTGATGTTCGTGCGTGTGTTGACGCAAGATGTTTTTCAAACTCTCCATGTCTCCATGCAGGCAGATGTGTGCAATGTGGCTGGCTGTTTTGTTTCCAAGACGATTTTCACATATTTCTGGCAGCTGCCCATCGCCATTATAAATTAAACACAAAAACATTTAAACTTCTGGCATTTAACAAGCGTGCATGAGCTTTTTTTTAAACACTTTTTGTACTTTTTTTCGCACCCAGTGTGCGGGCGAACCAGTTTGACGAGTTTTTTTTCCGCTTGATACTTTTCTACTCTATATATTTCGGATCAGCGCTCGAATTCCAAACTTAATGAATCGCGCATGCAGGGTTTAGTTTTCAATATCATCGAAAATGTGTTTGCGCAACTTCTCAAGAGTGTTTTATACGTTTTCAGAGTGACTGTACCTGGATATCAAGGCAACTTGGCTGCGGCAGTGTCGCATACATCAAGTTTGCCAGCTTGGGAGCGTTTTGGGGTTGAATTCATCCTTACCTTCGTTGTCGTTCTCACTTACTTCGTTTCAATGGAGCGTACCAAAAGATGGTCATCAAATGCGGCGTTAAACATTGGGGCAGCTTACGCTGCGTGCACATTCGTCTCGGTACGTGTTGTAATTGAAAAAATAACCGAAATTTTATATTTATGGCCTTTGTTTATTCTTAGATGCCATATTTGAACCCAGCAAGATCTCTGGGACCTTCTTTCGTGTTAAATCGATGGGACAACCATTGGGTGTACTGGATGGGACCATCAATCGGCGCCATTGTTTCCGGTCTAGTCTATGGTCACATCATTAATCCCACTAAGCATAAGTTTAAAAAGGAGGCTTCTGATGAAGATAGCAGTAGTATTCACTCGGATGAAGATACCTATGATGATTTAGACAAACCTACTCCACCGAAATTCCATGGTTCAACTTATATCACCTACAGACCTACAAATCAAAATGGTGGATCTGGAAATTATGCTGCGAGTCTCTACGGTGCACCTTCATCAGCTGGTAATGGTAAATTAGAAAGAGTGGAATCTCTCTACGGTGGTACAAAGTCTTTGTATTGCAAATCTCCTCCTTTGACACGCGCTAACTTAAACCGATCACAATCGGTTTATAACAAATCAACGAGTGCTGTGAATAAAGACAGCAGTTTACCGAGACCTGGGCCTTTGGTACCGGCACAATCTCTGTATCCGATGCGGTTTAATCAGCCTACCACACATGTATTGAATCAGAACGTGCAGAACCAGATGCAACAGCGTTCCGAGAGCATCTACGGCATGAGAGGGGTGACTCCGGGGACATCTACAAGATCAGACAACTATGCTTCTACTAGAGAAACCGATCGGTATGCTTCCACAACACGGCAAGTCACTGGTGGTGCTGCAACTAATTCAGAAGAGAATCAAAAGCAACGCAGACCAGATTCAATGTATGGATCGCAGCCTCGTAGACAAGCTACGCCTCAATCGGAGGAGAATTACGGAGGATATTCGCGCAGTCAAAATCAGAACTCTAATTATCCACCACAAATACCTAATTACCAACAGCAGACAAATAAATGTAATAGACCATCACCGCCCTTACAGGCGAATGGTGCTTCATCTTCTGGGTATCACACAAATATTCCCAGTCAACATTCACCAAAAATACAGTATTAATTTTTATTAGGGCGCATATTGGATTTCAAAGACTGTAAAATACTGAATATTGTACATAATTTATTTAGGACTAGCGATTTGTAGATCTGTGTATTTATTTCTTAATTTTTGTTAATTATTCTGTTGTTGTATACCAAATAAATATAAATGTAAGTATCCATTCCTTCAATTTAAAAAATCCAATTACATATTACAACACTTGCATTTGCAAAAAAAAATTAACTTGAAAATTAATGGTTGTAATTTTTAAATTCTGATTTTGTTTGTTAAGATTCAATGTGTCCTTCAGGCTACGCGGCTGCAGTTGATAGATGCAGTTGTATCACATCGTCGCGAGATGGCGCGACCTGTACCGATTTCATACGTCGGGCTTAAGATAAGTAAGCAGGCAACGCAGGTAAGCAGTCGCGTCCGATACGTGCGTCCGGCCGCATGCGTTGCCGACTCGACAGGGTACCTATGGAATTTGTTTACTCGTGCGGTGCAGTAAAATTAAGTCGTGCGGCGAAGGATAATAATTCATTAAGTTTGTTAAGTGTTGATCGACGCAAGTGAGGCAATGAGTTGTGTGATGCACCATCGACTGGTAAGTTTATAATTAATTATTCTTATTTTAAGTTGTCATTTTTCCGTTCCGCAAAAATATTGGGCTGTTTGAAATTATTCGTTTTTATATAATGCTAACGAGAAATCATTTTTTAATTTCCCTAATATTTATTTTGTTTAATTTCTTGTTTCTTGTTTACATTACACCTCGGTTGTGGATGAGGTTTATTACATTCATGGATACGTCAAAATCAGAAGTCACTTCTTCGACCCTTGTTGTTGCCAGAATTGAACGGGCAACCTGCAAAAATATGCATAAAAGGGTAATTTTTTCACTCTTTCTCCTTTAATGTTAGTATTTTTTCGGGTTTGCACACGACCTTGGCGGCTCATTAACTTCATTAACTTCAGCGCGGCGTCAAAAGATGCGGAATTAAATTCTCCGTCGGGCTCTACTTATTTGTTGCAGAGATTCGACTTGCAACCCGTGAAAATTTGCATAAAAGGGTAATTTTTTCACCCTTTTTCTTTAAATTTTAGAATATTTTCGGGTTGGCACGTGACCTTGGCGGCTCATTAACTTCAGCGCGGCGTCAAAAATGCGGAATTTAAGTCTCCGTCAGGTTGCCTTTGTTTGTTGTAGGAATTCGACCTGCAATGCGCGAAAATTTGCATAAAAGGTTAATTTTTTCACCCTTTTTCTTTAAATTTTAGTATATTTTCGGGTTTGCACGCGACCCTGCCAGCTCATTAACTTCGGCGCGACATCAAAAGATGCGGAATTAAATTCTCAGTCAGGTTGCCTTTGTTTGTTGCGGGAATTCGACCTGCAACCCGCGAAAATTTTCCTAAAAATGTGATTTTTGCACCCTTTTTCTTTAAATGTTAGTATTTTTTCGGGTTTGCACTGGACCTTAGCAGCTCATTATCTTCAGCGCGGCGTCAAAAGATGCGGAATATAATTCCCCGTCAGGTTTTATTTATTTTTTGTAGGAATTCGACATGTAACCCGCGAAAATTTGCATAAAATAGTGAGTTTTTCACCCTTTTTCTTTCAATTCTATTATATGTTCGCGTTTGCACGCGACCTTGGCGGCTTATTAACTTCAGCGCGGCGTCAAAAGATGCGGAATTAAATTCTTCGTCAGGTTGCCTTTGTTTGTTGCGGGAATTCGACCTGCAACCCGCGAAAATTTGCATAAAAGGGTGATTTTTTCACCCTTTTCCTTTAAGTTTTAGTATATTTTCGGGTTTACACGCGACCCTGGCGGCTGATTAACTTCGGCGCGACATCAAAAGATGCGGAATTAAATTCTCAGTCAGGTTGCCTTTGTTTGTTGCGAAAACTCGACCTGCAACCCGCGAAAATTTGCATTAAAGGGTGATTTTTGCACCCTTTTTCTTTAAATGTTAGTATTTTTTCGGGTTTGCACTGGACCTTAGCAGCTCATTATCTTCAGCGCGGCGTCAAAAGATGCGGAATAAAATTCCCCGACAGGTTTTATTTATTTGTTGCAGGAATTCGGCATGTAACCCGCAAAAATTTGCATAAAATTGTGAGTTTTTCACCCTTTTTCTTTCAATTTTATTATATTTTCGCCTTTGCACGCGACCTTGGCGGCTTATTAACTTCAGCGCGGCGTCGAATGATGTGGAATTAAATTCTCCGTTAGGTTGCCTTTGTTTGTTGCGGGAATTCGACATGCAACCCGCGAGAATTTGCATAAAAGGGTGATTTTTTGCACCCTTTTTCTTTAAATGTTAGTATTTTTTCGGATCTGCATGCGATCTTAGCAGCTCATTAACTTCAGCGCGGCGTCAAAAGATGCGGAATTAAACTCTCCGTCAGGTTGCCTTTGTTTGTTGCAGAAATTAGCACGTCTGCCGCCCCCAAAATTTCTGCAGGAAATGCATCAAAAACGGCTTTAACGTTTGACATTTTTTCATTTTTTTTTTACATGCGCTGGAAAATTGTTTGTTTCTCCCGACCGGTTACACTTGTTTAACACAGGAGTTGTTCTTTATGTTAATTATTTTGTTTTTATTCGCTTCAGGTAACCGTGGCTATGGTTCTGGTTTGTCACATTTCACGAATTCGACAACAACTGTAGGCTCCCGTAAAAATACTGCCTAGTGTGCTAGTTGTGACAATATTAAACTGTTATCCAGGTATAGTTCAGATACACGAATATTTGTATGTAAACAGTTTTTTGTTGAGTCTATCGCAATAGCGACACCGCGTGACCGCGTGGTCGTTTCAGAGCGCACATTCAGTTGCATTCCGGTTGCCGAGCGAAACACGCGTGTTCATCGCGGCTAGTTTTGTTTCTCCCTATTATAAATTGATCGTAAATCGATTTATATTCAATAAGCAATCGACGGCATTTATTACAATTGCGCGTGATCGGAATTTCGCCAGATAATAAGCACGAGTGAACTACTGTCGGTCAACGGGAATATTTTTCGTGTGTGGATTATACTCGTACTGCACTCGTGTTGGCCGGCATGTGCACTGCGTGCGTGTCCGTCGGCTGTCGGTTATCGCCCAGAATAACTTGGATTTATGTTTAAATCCAATAAGTAGACAACGTCGCAGAAGAGTGCAAATGTGCGCATATTTTAAGGCAAGTCTTCCGCGGTATTTAATAGTTGTCGATATTTTTCTATATAAAAAATGTTTGTATTTGTAAATGTTGTCAATAAAATAAAATTAATATCAATTAATATCCCATTCATGTTTGTTTTTGGTATCCTCCTTGCCGTTTTCAGTATATGAGCGTTTCACACATTCAATATAGATATTATACGCGTGGAGCGAGTGCAACATGCCTGCGACTTGTGTTGTTGTTTTTAAAAAGTTGAATAAAGTAGAAACATAAATAAAAGAATCAAATATAAATGATAAAAACACTCGGTGGTCGAGTGGGTACGTGCACCTGCTGGCATGCTAGTAGGCACGGATCGAATCTCAGGTGTGGAGGGCATTTTTCTCAAATATAAAAATAACAGGTGTGATTTGGGTTGCATATGTAAACTCAAATGGAATATAAGAGAAATTGCAATACAAGTGAAGGCAATATGAGAAGTAAGAAGAAAGTAAGTGGAGAAACGGAGAACAGAGAAATAGGAGAAGTAGAGGAAGGAATAGCAGAGAAGAGTAGAAGACGGAAAGGAAGAGAAATAGAGTAGAGAAGAGAGGAGGAGGAGATGGAAGAAAAGTGAATAGGGGTGACAGAATTTTTCAATTTTTTGGCACGTGTCGTTATAAGACAGTCTACGGTCGATCTCCCAGAGCGCCTCCGGCGCTCTGGTCGATCGCCCACTGCTTCGATGCCTCCATTGCTCCCGGCCCATCCTACAGCTACGATGTCTCTGCGCTTCATCCCCGAAATTATCAGGCATATCAACAATTTTTATGGTGGGGGATCACCCCCGGAGAGAGGGATTTCCTTATATAGACATCCTTTTAAGGACTTGTAAAAATATTTCTAATTTTTAAGTCGCCTCAAGAGAGAGGACACTTTAAAATATTCTTACAAGTTGTGACCTGTAGCTGAAATGAAGGATGGAGTACACAAATCATACAGGATACCTTAACAATTTTTATAGTGGGGATCATCCCCTGAGAGAGGGAACTCTCTTAGAGACCTGTACCTGAAACGATAGAAGGGGTATATTCAAAGCATAAGACATAATATTTCTTAACACTTCTTTATTAATAAATACAATGTAAAATAATACAAGTTTAAATTTTACAAGTCAACAGAATTCATGCAGCCATATTGAAATAGGATTTCCGACCTGCTTGGCCGCGCAAGCAAGCGCGTACCTAGCGGGATAAAGCAATTAGCAAAGTCAATTTTCTTCGTGATTGAAAATGGAAACAAATATACAGGGTGTTACAAACAGAAAACTCAAACATTAAAGAGGAAAACATCTTAACACTACAAATATTGCTCGTTTTCACCCGATGCTCCGGGAAACTAATAAACAGGGTGTAACAAAAAAAACTTAAAGTGCAAAAAAAGCCCTGAAACCACAGCTGTAGAAAAGTTTTCACGGACACAAGGAAAACTAATACACAGGGTGTTACAAAAGGTTTAAAACAAAAGAACTTTAAAATTACAAATACGGTCACTATTCACATCATGACGAGAGAAATTTATACCGAAACAACAATATTTTAACATAAATTCAAAGACAGATTTTACCCGAAAATCATCTTAAAAGTTGAGTAAAAAGGTGCTACAAGAATAAAACACTTACATTTTAATACATTTATAATTTGATGATAGCATCAACTGCATAAGGTAACCGACGGGTGAAGCATCATCATAAATTGATAGAACATCAGGCGGAAAACATCTAAATCAGCAGGCGGCAAGCGACGGCGCGTGGTAATACGGTAGGTAAATACGATAAAAATAACTATTTACTAACTATTCAACATACAAGATTTTAGATCAACAAGAAACTTTTTAATTTAATGATGATAAGCTGTGTAATTCGATTAAAACGTTCAGCGGAAAGAGGAACTAGCCGATGGTCGACGGCAAAGTGAGCGTGGTCGATCACATGAATGAATATTGTCATTTAGTAATCCTCAGATACTTTTAACACAGTGTGTGTAATAATTAAATTATGCATGTTATTTTCGGAAACGGAACTAAGAATTCTGATAAAAATGCTACCAGGTGTTTCTAATCTGCAAAATTATTATCCTTCAAATGGAATAATTAATCTAAGTTAAACCGCCTTAACATTCCACAAAAAAAAATGGTTGTTTGTAAAGCAGGTTTACGATCGAGATGTTTACGTGATAACGTCTTATTGGTGATATAAGTTTTGTTTGTTGCAATTGTTGTAACACTTCACTTGCACTTCACATTTTGTTTTACTGTTAGGCACCCGCACACTACAAACTTTTATCGGCCGATAAAACATTCAACGAAAACTTAACCGCACGAGAAAATCTCCATTCGTTTATATGCCGCTAGAGTGAGAGAGACGGGAGATCGGTCAACTCACTCGAACGCTATGACTGGCACGGAATGACTGGCAGCGGTCGAGATGAGACGGGAGATCGGTCCGTCTCTCTGGTTATAACGAGAGGGGGGTCGGAATGACTGGCAGCGCTCGAGATGAGACGGGAGATCGGTCCGTCTCTCTCTCGTTATAACGAGAGGGGGGTATACCTGCGATCGACCTCGCTCGTGACACAGTTTCTGAACCGGTCACCCGTAAAACGATTTTAAAGACGTTATCACGTCAAAAGTGATCAAACACCTTCCAGTGCATTGATGAAGAAATTTTAGATCCAGGAATATATCTTATCAACTGAAAACTCGCGTAAAGATTAACGGATACTTATTTGGCACTTATATAAATCAAATACGCAAGAGAAAATGGGGTGGATTGGGCACATCTTGAGAAGAGACGCCGGAGATATCGCCAGAAATGCGCTAGAATGGAACCCACAGGGGAAGAGAAGGGTTGGTAGACCGGCCAATACCTGGCGAAGATCCACAATAGAGGAGCTCCGAAACCAAAATATGGGCTGGAACGAAGCAAAGGCGGTTGCCCGAAACAGAGTCCGTTGGAGGGCGCTTAGTGAGGCTCTATGCTCCACATAGGAGCCAAGAACATTATATATATATATATATATTTGGCACTTAAGAACACTCTAACCGCTACAACTCATCAAACAAAACAGGCACACATGCTCGTTACGAATATTTTTCTGATGACGAAAAGAATACACGATGATTAATTGAATAATTGAAGTCTGAAAACGCGTGGCGATTAGAGACACGCGCTCGCGGATCACGCGGTGAAACGACTGCCATGTGCGCTGCGCGAAACCAGGTACAAGGCAGGTACGTAGCGATAAGCGATAGCGTACGTAGCGTCAGTCGAACAAAAAAGTTGTTTATACACAAACGTAGTGGTAAACGCGTAGTTGCGAAGCAAAAGTAAAAATTCACAATATTGAAATAACACACATACACTAAATCTACTTTTACTTTCAATATTTCTCGGCATAAGAAAAGAATATACTGGTTTTTGGATGCAATAAGGATGAAGAAAAACAGGAATTTGTAATTTACTAATACAAATAAATAATTTATTGTTTAGTTATTGTCTTCGTATAAGTTTACTATATACCTTAGTTAATTAAATAATTGATGTTTACAACACCGCGACTAATTTAAATATTCTCTATAAAATAAAGTGTTAAAATCGGAAAAATAAGAAGTCAAAAAAAATTCATTACAAAAAAAAACATGAGGAGGTACGGCCTCTATTACCCAGTTTTCTTTTTCAATTCCGAATAGCACAAATTATATTTTATATTTTATGGATACGAGTAGTGACTCGGTAGAAGTGTCTACCGCTACCTTCGTAGGGTGGCCTGAACACGAGTCACTTCTACCTCTACCTTCGTACAATGCCCTGAACACGAGTCACTTCTTCCGCTAGCCTCGTACGGTGCCCAACGGCACTTGTCGGTGCAATGACAAGAACGGATTTCAAATTCTTAATATACGCAATAAAAATTTAAAACTATTTAATTTCATGGAGTCGAAAAATGCGACTAAAAGTGCCCAAAAGTGATATTTTGCACTATAAAAATTTTGTAAATCACTTTCTAATGCAAATTTTCGCAAGTTGCAGGTCGAATTACTGCAGCAAACAAATACCACCCGTCGGAGAATTTAATTCCGCATCTTTAGGCGCTACGCTGAAGTTTGTGTGACGCCCCCGACCGACACTAATAATTTTTAAAAATTAACGCGTGGGCGCAAAAAGCAGATAAAATATCTTTTTTTTTTTCAATAACTCACTTTGTAGACAAATTTCCTTCAATAAATTGTTATAGCCTTATAAAGAATTTAATTCTGCATCTCTAGACATCGCGTTCAAATTTGTGTGAGGCCCCGTTCGCCCACAATAATGAAAAACGCACCTAATTAACTCAAGGACGCAAAAACCGGATGAAATATCTTTTTTGCAATAACTCACGTAGCAGACAAATCTCCTTCAACAAATTAATATAGTCTTATAGAGAATTAAATTCTGCATCTCTGGACATCACGCATAAATTTGTGAAAGGCCTCGTTCGCTCACAATTATGAAAAAAAAAAATTTCAATTGCGAATATCTCGTAAACTTAAAGAGAACGAATCGCAGAGTCATAACCTACGGACAATTCTCTATAGAATAAGCTAGTTAAATTGGAAATCTAGAAAATGAAATTTTAATTCGTAAGAAAAAATGGGAATTTAGCAAAGTGCTAAAAATTGGACATTTTCAACTTTTCTTATTTTCATATCTGAAAGCGACAGAGGGGAACGGATTGAAAATTATTAATCTACTGAAAATTCTCTATATGACAAAGTATTAAAATAGTGCATGCTGTACCTCAGCGAAGCAAACACGGTCGCAACAGTTCATGATAAGACCACCTGCTGCCCTAACGCGCAAAGACGGCGCAAGGATGGCCGCGACGACTGCCCGCGCGCAAATTGCAATAGACCCGATACATTCAAACTAAACTAAACTAGAAAAGCAGAGCGAGACGCGAAAGGATGGCAACGACACTCCGCAATCTTGGTCGTTGCTATTCGCACGGCGATAAGAAAGTGTAAATCGTATTCAAAACAAACACAATTCTCGTGTCGAATGCCAACGTTGGCTGATAAATAAAAACTAAACAAAACAAGTCTAATTTATGATTTTTACTTCATGCTATTGCTACTAGTCTCATAATTTTAATTAAGTATTAAAATAATGATAAATTAAAATTCGATTTATGTAATTTTAAAATTCTTATGATGAAAGATTATCCGTTTTTACATTATATATTTAGGTGATATATAAATGTTATTAAGATGAGGCGTTGGGGAATATGTCTTATTGAATCTTCACCAAATTCATCAACATTGCAATACAATTAAACGTAGAACTAAACTGAAATCTATGTACACGGCAAACAGTTTCTATAAATAATGAAATTATTTTACTTACCGGTTATGGAAGACGGTATGTAGATCGACGGCAAGTTGGCGAATGCTGAAATAAATGAGAAACAAAACATTAGCTACAGCACTTCAACGGAAATGAATCTGCATTCCGTCGGAACTCAAACTTTGAATTAAAATCTTGTTATTCGCATAATAATCATAGGAATGACAATATTTACCTGGTAGCACATTGATTCATGCTCCTCTGTTGAAAACAAATATGTTTTCACAAGTCAATTAATTATTAGCGTTCATAGCGTTGATATTTTTATTGGCCATCGCGCGATGGCAACGGACTCACGAACATGTCAATAAATTAAACACGCAAAGTTTACAATTACGAAGAATACACACGCGATAAATAGCTGATAAAAGCTCAAAAAGTTTATTAACAATAATTATCACCGGCGATCAGGAGATATAACACGATTTACCGAACTTACATAAAAGAATAACACAAGTCGAAAGTGTGGAATGTGCGCTCGTCGTTATCGCACCGTTTGAACAAAACAAAATCCTCTCGCTGGAATATTTCCAGGTGAACCTACATCGTTACGCCATCTGAAAACACTTTACAGTACCTCACAAAACAACAAAGTGTTTCAAACAGTGTGGCGCGCATGTGTGTCAGTGCGAAATTGTCTATGAGGCAGTGAGTGGTCACGCACTTAAATAGCAGCGTACGTGTGAGACACGTACAAGAAAGTACGCATGCATCACCCTGTCTAAATGACTAGCAACAAACAAACGCAACCCGACGGAGAATTTAATTCCGCATCTTCTGACACGGCGCTTAAGTTAATGAGCCGCCAAGGTCGCGTGCAAACCCGAAAATATACTAACACCACGTTCGCGTATTATACTAAAAACTACAATTTCAATAGAGGAGATTCAATACTGGGCCGTCGAGAGCGAGCGCGGGCCCCGGGAATATCCGCGGGGTTTGCGTCCCCTCTCAACGGCCCAGCAGGTAGGTAGTACGTGATAAATAGAAAACTTGTATATAAACATCCAATGTAAATTTGACCGAAAAATATAATTGAATTATAAACTTACCAGTGTACAGCTTATTGGACTGCCAGGCACAACAAGTGCTGTAACTAAACGAAAACATTAATAAGTTATGTTATAATTAACAATCAACACAAAATAAACAATCTGGGCTGTACAGTTATTCCCAATTCCCTTCGATGTCATTATAAACGGACTCTACTGTACTTACACGAGCCTAATTGAACTTTCGTAATGGGGGCGATATATATCAATATGCCGAGTGAAGATTGTTATCAAATTGACTATCACGTGACTTGTAATATATATAACAAACGCGATCAAAAACTGGCATTTTCGAACATTAAACAAATTACTATAGTCGCAAAGTACAAATAAATAGTCGATTGATCTTCGAGTATTACACAAATTCAGTCTCTCAAAACACGACTGTATTAACCAGCGACCGGCACGCAACTGCGTGCAATCCACCGATAGTGCATGCCGAAACTGTGTAAAACGACGACGACGGGACAGTATATGGTAAGAAAGACGCGAAGACACGCGATTTTGTGCGCGAATTTGCAATAGGCACATTACCTATCAATTTTTGCCCATTTTATTCAATCGCGAATATCTCGTAAACTAAAAGAGATAAATAAGATCTGATCGCAGCGTCTTAATCTACGGACCAATCTCTATCAGATAGGATAGTTAAAACGGAAATCTGAGAGATGAAATTTTAAGTCTTAAGAAAAAATTGCCAAGGGTGGGTGCTTGATACTTTTTTTCGACTATTTTCAAAAATTCATATCTCTTAAACTAAAAGAGATAGCTACCAACGAATTGCTGATTATGAAAGATTGGAAGATTCTCTATCAGATAAAAATATAAAATAATTATATTTCCTACAGTAGAAGGTCGAAAAACGCGACTAAAAGTGCTAAAAAGTGACATTTTGCAATTTTTGCCCATTTTATTCAATCGCGAATATCTCGTAAACTAAAAGAGATAAATAAGATCTGATCGCAGCGTCTTAATCTACGGACCAATCTCTATCAGATAGGATAGTTAAAACGGAAATCTGAGAGATGAAATTTTAAGTCTTAAGAAAAAATTGCCAAGGGTGGGTGCTTGATACTTTTTTTCGACGATTTTCAAAAATTCATATCTCTTAAACTAAAAGAGATAGCTACCAACGAATTGCTGATTATGAAAGATTGGAAGATTCTCTATCAGATAAAAATATAAAATAATTATATTTCCTACAGTAAAAGGTCGAAAAACGCGACTAAAAGTGCTAAAAAGTGACAATTTGCAATTTTTGCCCATTTTATTCAATCGCGAATATCTCGTAAACTAAAAGAGATAAATAAGATCTGATCGCAGCGTCTTAATCTACGGACCTATCTCTATCAGATAGGATAGTTAAAACCGAAATCTGAGAGATGAAATTTTAAGTCTTAAGAAAAAATTGCCAAGGGGGGGTGCTTGATACTTTTTTCGACGATTTTCAAAAATTCATATCTCTTAAACTAAAAGCGATAGCTACCAACGAATTGTTGATTATAAATGATTGGAAAATTCTCTATCAGATAAAAGCATAAAATAATTATATTTCCTAGAGTAAAAGGTTGAAAAACGCGACTAAAAGTGCTAAAAGTGACACTTTGCAATTTTTGCCCATTTTATTCAATCGCGAATATCTCGTAAACTAAAAGAGATAAATAAGATCTGATCGCAGCGTCTTAATCTACGGACCTATCTCTATCAGATAGGATAGTTAAAACCGAAATCTGAGAGATGAAATTTTAAGTCTTAAGAAAAATTGCCAAGGGGGTGCTTGATACTTTTTTCGACGATTTTCAAAAATTCATATCTCTGAAACTAAAAGAGATAGCTACCAACAAATTGCGGATTATGAAAGATTGGAAGATTCTCTATCAGATAAAAAATAATTATATTTCCTATAGTTAAAGGTCGAAAAATGTGACTAAAAGTGGTCAAAAGCACACATAGGTAAAAATCACCTTTTATGCACATTTTCGCGGGTTGTAGGTCGAATTCCTGCACCAAACAAATACCACCTGACGCAGAATTAAATTCCGCATCTCTTGGCACCACGCTGAAGTTTGTGAGACGTCCCCAATCGGCAGTAATAATTTTTTAAACATCATCAAATTAACGCGAGGACGCAAAACCGGATGAAATATTATTTATTGCAATAACTCACGTTACCGACAAATCTTCAACAAATTACTATAGTCTTATAGAGAATTAAATTCTGCATCTCTGGACATCGCGCTTAAATTGGTGTGAGGCCCCGTTCGCCCACAATAATGAAACAGCACACGATATATCAAAAGAACACGATAAAAAAGTTGTTTATACAGAAATTTCGATAAGCACGTAAACATCAAATCGAGAATAATATTCAACTATGCACGATTTACGCGTATAATTTATTAATAAAAATATTTGAATTATGAACTTACCTGAAAGCATTTCGTTTTACGTCCTGTGACAAACGATTTTCCCATTTCCTATGTGCCAATCTCCCAAGGGTCGAAGAAGTAACTTCTGATTTTGACGTATCCATGAATGTAGGTAATAAACCTCATCCACAACCTAGGTGTAATGTAAACAAATGAAATTAAACAAAAGAAATATTGGTGAAATTAAAAACAATTTCTCGCGTGCATTATATAAAAACAATTATTTTTCCAATTCATTTTTTTGAGAAAAAATGCAAATTTCTAAGGCGTTTATCAGGCAGTTCCCGCAAAATTTTCGGGGGCGGTTAAATTGTATCATATAGAACAACTCTCGCGCTAACCGAATAAGAAAACAGCATCCATGCATCTATGTTATTATCAATCGAAAGTGTCGGCCCAATATTTTTGTGGAACGGGAAAATGACTTTCTATGGCTCGTAGCAGTTCCCGAAAGACATTAGAAACATTAAATAAAACAGTATATAAACTTAAAATCCTCAGTGATGTAAAAGACAATTTTATTCTTAAACTCATACTCTAACGCGCGCTGTGAACTCAACAAATTCACACGGCAGGAACAAGAGAACGCGATAAAAACAAGTTGTTTATCCACCTCACTGATAACACGTTAAGAAGGAAACAAGAACAAGCATGCTCTACACATATATTTTTATAAGAATAATTAATTATAAACTTACTAGTCGATGGTGCATCACACAACTCGTTGCCTCACTCACGTCCAGTAACACTTAGCAATTTTACTGAATTTACTGAATTATTTTACTGCACCGCACGACTTAGCAAATACCATAGCACGAGAACGCAACGCATGCGGCCGGACGCGCGTATCGGATGAGACTGCACACCTGTTTCTTACCTCAACCGCAACGTGAGAAACGGTGCAGGTCGCGCCATCTCGCGACGTTTCGCGGTAAAACTACTCTCGGCGAAATAACTCAAGGCCAAACAATGGCAGGAGTATTCTACTTGGATTTTGGGTTATGTTCGGACAGAATGTAAGCAGAATTAAGCAATTTTCAACTACAAAATGACTTCAATTCTATCATCTTTACCCATTGAAGTCATATCTCAAATCATATCTGGTAAAGCACACCGAAAAAAACTTTACACCTATTGTAAACCTTTGCAATTCTAGAATTCAACAAGCCAACACTCAATATCCCTGATGAAATCACAAACAAAACAGAATTCCAACAAGCAACACAAGAAATAAGTAAATTATACGAAATTGTACGCAATAATCCACCAGAGACAGCCACTCTGCTGCTCAAGGAGCACAACCTACCAGAAAGTATCATTGTGTTACTCCAGAAGGAAGCCACAAAAAGCAATAACAGCAACTACAGTTATGCCTGGAGGTTGGATCAGAGTGTGCCAAATGTACAAGCCATACTGTTAAATATAACAAATAAAAGCACAGGACATGTTAAAACAATAAGAATGGATCTGTGCACATTTCACAAACTGAGATATAATGTGTCATTATTGATCAAAGAACATGCAGTGCTGGAGAAAAGGATTAACAAATAATCCAGCCCAAAAAATGGTCAATTTAGCTCTATTCTACAATCTTAGTTCTGTCTTCACGAAATGAATAACAAAAAATGATCGACCTTAACGTCGCTGCCATAATATACTGCATGTATGTACAACGTAAATAAATATCTTCTCGCCCATATTCAATTAAGTGTTTATATATCAAAAGATATCTCCTATTAGTCCTATATTTACAATATACAATGTCAATCAAATCATATCTTGCTGCAGTTTGAAAAAAATGTACCTGCTTGAAATTAAATGCATCTCATTATCATTGTCGCGGGCGTGGCACCAGCCCACAAACCAATCAGCATGCCTAGCACATCATATGTTCAACATAATTTCAAGTCTTTTGTCGTGTGCTTCGATCGCGAGCATTATTAAAAATATCAGACAAATCCGTTCAAATGTTCTGCTTGTACACACAATCACCAAGATTACTGCTGTCTTCGGTTGTAATCGTGTCGATAGTCGCGATCGGCGCGTTCCATGCGCTCCGGTCTCCAGTCACGTGGGTATCCCGGTGGTTCCGAAGGAGGATAGGCACCAGGTTGCGCATAGGGTAAGGGATAGTGCGCGTACATTGTACTGCGATTGAGAGGCGCGACTGAGTCACGTCCACGGGCGTAGCGCCATTCATCACTGCCACTCATTCTGAAAATATACTACAATTGTTATAACTGTAGGATAAGTATAAATAGAAAGTTCAACCTGGCAACATCGCGTTCCCGTACGAATTGTGGTGGTCTATAGTCGGAGTACCTCTCTCGTCGATGATCCGGAGGGAAGCGCTCACCTCTATCCCTCGGGCTATCCCTCCATCTGCCATATTCAGGTGCCTCTGGAGGGTATGCCGGTCGAGGAAGTGGTTCCCTATCGCGCTCTCGCCATCTTGGATGTCTCTCGTCGTCTTCCACCCGAACCTTTTTTCTGTCTTTATCTTTCCGTCTAGGAAATAACAGTTAACAACCCTCAAAATAAGCAAAAATAACTAAAAACATACTTTTTAGGTTCCTTTTCTGGTTCACGATCACCGTCAGAGTCGTGTTTCCGTTTTGATGAGCTACCAGCACGCTCCTTGTCAGTTTTGGATGATGTACCGGGTTTATCGTTCTGAGACTGCTAAGGGTAATTCAAAAAAGGTTTAATTTGCAATAGAAATATAGTTGAGGTAAACATCCTACCTCATTCTTCTTTTCCTCCTTGGTGACAGCCTTTTTGTACAACTTAAAAAGCTTCTTAGCGTCAAACTCGGTGAATTTTGATACAAAATACCATAAATTACTGCAAAATAATACAAATTTTAACTAAAACTGTTATTAAAACTGTCTTAGTGCCGTACCTTCTCCACTCCTTTTGTTTTTCGGGGTCCGTATACTCCTCCAGGCAATGATTAATTTGTTCACCTATTTGCACCAGGCAAAGGCGCGTGTAACTCACTTGTTCAGCTTCCGTTAATGACTGGTCCGGATTGTCCAAAGCTTTAAGCGCTTTCTTCACCGGTCGCATTTTCTCCTTACACTAAACATTCAATGTGTTAGCCAGTTTAAACAATTCTATTTCAAAACAAATTACCTCATTGAAGATAGAAGGATCCAAATCTCCAAGAACGTCAAGTGCCCTCGGTTCATTATTCGCTGTAAAATGCATTGGGCCAGCTGCTTTCTTCTCCTTCTTGCCGGCCTTCTTCTTATCTTTATCAGGTTTACCCTCGCGCTCTTTACCTTTACAACTCTTGTCAGTGGAATCATCCGCATTCGAGTCTTCATCTTTTTTCTTGTTGATCTTTTTCGTAATCGTAACGGTAACAGTTGTGGTCTCTTCGTTGGAACTCCCATCGTCTTCAATGATTTCTTTGGTTAACATCTTCGCCTTGCGCTGGCGCTTTGGTTTCACTCCAACAGATCCACGCTTGATATCAAGTTGTTTCTTAAGTACTTTGAGGAGATACTCAGCTCGAGATTGTAGATGTTTCGCTTGGGGTTTCTTATCCTCGTTTGCAAGAATCTTGTCGCTAATACCAATGGAAGGATCCATCTTGATCTGCTCCCAGGAACCCATACCATACTGATAGATACCCTGCAGTAACCGCGAATCTTCAAACACTCCCCACTCAACGTCAAAGTGCGCGGGTTTCGTGTTGAAGTCCAACTTCCAACTGCGTCTTTCCGCGGGAATGGAAGGTAAGATTTCATCCAGTGGAGCAAGCTCTTCTTCACACTGCATCATCGTCTTAGCATTTACAGACACACCACCCAGTTTGAAACTGGGTCCACGATTGCGCCGTTTGCCCGCCTCAGCGCTGCCATTTTCGGTGTTTTCTTTGGTGTGTTCGCCCATGTAGGCCTTGCATCTCTCGCGCAACAACTCGCCCAGCTTTTTCAACTCTGGTAACGATTTCTCTTGCAACTCCGCATCGCATGCGACTGCTTCGAGACGCTTCAGTGGCGTGCTAAACTTCTTGAAGCTTTTAACAAACCGTCGAATTTCCGCATCGGTGAAATTCTTAATCTTTTCACGTCGTGAAGCACCGCCTTCTTTAAGCGGAGGTCGCCCACGTTTCTTAGGACGTTCCTCATCACTGCCACCTTCTTCATCACTGGACTCGCCAGATTCTTGTACCGCCCTACGTTTTTTCCTACCTTCACCATCGCTTTCAGACTGGTTAATTTGCTGCAGGGTTTTGCGGGAACGCGGGGGAAGGTACAAATCCTCAATTTCTTTATTTCGTTCTTCCTCTTCGACTTTCTTGCGCAATCGTTCGGGGATTATATCATCCCAATCTTTACTCTCACCGTCTTCCTCCTGCGTAATGCCTTCGGAAATGGGCGACTGCTCGTTTTCGTCCTCGTCAAATGCTTTAATTTTCGCCACTTTGAATGCGGAGAGGAGCTCGTCGCCGACTAGGGTGGGTGCTTCGTCGCGAGTTTCAGCACGACGAAGGATTTCATCAATATCACACTAAACATGCACAACAACATTAGATTCCGTCAAAATTGTCAAAAATAGCTGCCACAGTTTTTGAAATATCATTAAAAAAATATAGAATTAAATATATTTTTTTAGTAAAATAATTCAACATTGACTATGATTTTTCAAAAACTATTTAACTAGATACACAGCACAAACCATGTTCAAAGCATAGCGCCGTATAAGTAAGTACATTTTTTACACAATGTCATTACTGTCAAACATTCAAATACTTGGCATAATAAATAACTTACCACTGGATCATCATTTTCATCCTCTTCATCTTTAAACAATTCCTCTGCGCCAAACTTCAAAATAGCAGTCAGGTCTTCCTTATTGAATGGTGTATTATTCGACGAGCCCTTTTTGTCCAGCACCGTGCGACCCGTCGTGTCCATACGCTGAATCACCAAGTGATCCAACACCATCTTCTGCTTAGCGCGCTCGACAATCTCCTCCTCGACGGATCTCGCTGTTACCAGACGGTAAATATTCACCTGATTTTTCTGGCCAATGCGATGTGCACGCGCCTGCGCTTGCAGATCATTCTGCGGATTCCAATCAGAATCGAAGATAATCACAGTATCCGCGGTCGCTAGGTTAATACCCAAACCACCGGCTCGTGTACTCAGCAAAAAACAGAAGTCCTGTGAGCCTTCCGCATTAAAGTGATCCAAGGCCTGTCGTCTCAACTCCCCCTTAATGCTACCATCTAGTCGTTGAAATTGAAAATGCCGTCGTTGCAGATACTCCCCGAGCAAGTCTAGCATTCTCACCATTTGTGAGAAGATAAGTACACGATGGCCGGTTTCCTTCAATCGTATGAGTAGTTTATCAAGCAAGACTAGTTTGCCCGAACCCTTGAGCAACTGCTGGAGGTAGTCATTCTGGCCGATTTGCGAGTCTACTTCCATCGGCTTGGTGAGGTACGAGTGATTGCAGCACTTTTTTAATTCTATCACAATGTTCAGGAAGGTTGTGGTCGAACCCTTGACGCCCTTACGAAGTGCGTTGTAATTCTTCGTGAGAATCCACTTGTAGTACTGCTTCTGCACGGCAGTCATTTCAACACGCAGAATTTGTTCGACTTTCGCTGGCAGAGACTTTTCAACGTCCTTCTTTACTCGGCGAAGGATAAACGGCTCAAGCTGTTTGTGCAACTTACCGTAGCCTTTCGTCGAAGCATCTTCATGCTGTTGTTCAAATTCTGCCCATGATGCAAATCTAAAAACCCACAGAAGTCAAATAAAAACATAACTTTTTTGAAAGAAAATTACTTTTCAGGCATAATGAAGTGCAGCAACGCCCAAAGTTCCTTTAGACTGTTTTGCAGCGGCGTGCCAGTGATGAGAAGTCGATGGTTGGTGTCAAACTCCATCAGAGCCTTGTACAAGAGCGAGTCGTCGTTCTTGAGACGATGCGCCTCGTCAACGAGCAGATCTGCCCAGCTGAGGTTGCCCAGGAAAGCCTTGTCTTTCAGTACAATCTCGTAGGTTGTCAATATCGCATTGAATTTCAGTCTTTTCGATCCCTCGTAACTCCACTCATATTGTCGCAGCTATATAAATATTCACAAAAATATAACATAAACCGCATTGCTTTCTTTTTTCAGACTTACAATATTACGAGAGTTCACATCTCCCAAATAGGTAACCACGTTCATCTCCGGCGCCCACTGCGCAAATTCGCGCTGCCACGACGTCATAGTTGACAATGGCACAACACACAAAAATGGCCCGTGCACTTGATGCGTATTAAATAAGTTATACAAGAAACAAATCGTCTGGAAATCCACAAAATTAAATTTAATACACAAAATAAATCTTTGAGTGATATAATTATTACCTGGATAGTTTTACCTAGACCCATCTCATCCGCCAGTATCACAGAATTATCCTTGCTCCATGAATGAATGAGCCAATTCAGCCCATCCAGTTGGTAATCCCTGAGCACCAAGTTACCATCCGCGCCTTTCATATAATCAGGCTGCTCCTTCGCCTCATGAAATTTGGGTCTACTACGCAGTGCCTTACAATGTTTAGATGGCGTACGCTTTGACTCCTCACGATCAACAAACTCGCGAATCTTTTGTGGCCATTTCCGTTGAATGAGCGCAGAGTCCTCCCAAGTCGCCTCCGAATACGGCAAACACTCCCACTTGACGAAAAAATCCTTACCACCATCGGGGCGATTGTATTTTGCAATAATGCGCTCCACCATGTTGTAACTGTTGAGCAAACCCTGTGCCAACTCCAGCTGACACTCGTGATACTCGATATCCTCTGGTGATGCATGCCGCCGCCATTGTGCAATCTCAACCTCGCGCTTTTTAAAATTCTCTAACTTCTTAATACCCTTAACTGTCTGGTCCTTGAGAGAAGTTTCCGACTCCCACGTGTTGTGGATGTGAGACCAGTCCTTCCACTTGATCAGGTACTGTGTTTCCGTGGGAGTGTCCTTATCAATGATGTTGAGATCACCATTATCTTCGACTGCGTATACGGTAGTGACATTACCGGTGATGCCTTTCTTACCAATTCGTCGAGATAACACCCGCTCAATTGTTTCCGACTTGTCTTCGGGTACAGGTTCAACTGGCGCCGAGTTGTCGACTTCGAGAAGGTCCTCAGAGTCTGTGTTGTCTTCACTTTCTTCTTTATAACTAACAGTTGCCGCTGTGCGACGAGTTGCTTTACGCCGACTGTCATCTTCTTCGTCCTCGGAAGACTCCGATGTGTATTTGGAACGTTTCGGTGGTGGTTTCTTTTTGGGTGGTTGTCGTTTACCCACTGGTTTGCTTGGTGGTGGACGCTCCTGATAACTTTCGGAATTACTATCCGACGAGCTGGCATCGTTGTATTTGAAATCTTCGGACTTTTCCGATGATTTGCGACGCGTCGAACGGGTTTGTGGGATTTTAGGCGATTCCTGAACGTCGTCCTCGGGCTGCCACTTAATATTTGTATTAATTTACAATATACCTTACATAAACCTTGTTTAATTAATTAAAATCACAAAGTACCTCATCGTTTTTCGATTTCTCCAAAGCTGAAGAACTGGTCGTGCTGGCATCGTGTTTATTCTCCGTCTCGGAGTCAGAAGAACTCGACGAACCCGACTCACTCTCCGATGCAGAATTAGACGAAGAACTACTCTCCTTTGCGGCCTGCCCTACCTCTACCTCATTCTCAGAATTATCGGATTCAGATGCACTGCTCTGAAAACAATAACCGAACTAATAACAACAAATGGCCAGGAAAATAGCAAAAATACCGCACATAAATGACTCGAAAACACCACATTTTCAGTCGGACACATCCAATCGCAGAAATAATCAGGTTTAACACATCGAGGTTATGTTGCAAGAATGTAAACAATTATTTGTATCAAAAAGTTATCAATGAAAAGTTTTTCAGTTCAAAAAATTGGCAAGCATGTGATGAACTCAATAAATGTAGCAACATTCCCATGAAGAAACGACATCGATTAGTTTATTATTAACGCTGAAATACACATTTCATCCCTCATAAATATTTCGAATCATTTAAAGGTAAATTTTCAATAAATTTGGGAGAAATATTCAATTGCATGAAGACTCGGCAAGATATTTCGCGTTTTTTGTTATTTATATGCACTAAACAACATCAATTTTAATAATCTTTATGGGTAATCATCCCTTAATGAATTGTATAAGTTCTTTTAATGAAAACTTCCACGAAAATCTTCTAGAAACTTCCAAGTGCGTTGTCAATTAAACCGCTGCTTGTTACGTAACGCTGTACCAAAAACTAAATAAAAACAAGGTGGTTACATCCCCTGAAACATGCAGGATACTGTTAGGACATATTGTAGGTAAAGCAACACAAACTTTGATCAAAATTTGCAAAAAAGGGTACATCACAATTTCGCGATTTTTTTACATGGGCGGTTGCAGAATTTTCTGAAAAACACGCAGAAAGCAAAATTGGGTTGGAACACGTCCTCGAAGTGCCCCAAATCGAGGGTTTCCTCCAGACAAACACTATTTTGTACACTTGGAGAAAGTTGAAGGTTTTTAGTTAATTCTCGGCAAATGGCGGCACGCCCATGCTTGGAAATTAATTAATATTAACCGGAGACTACTGAAGAATAAATTTAGAGCTGCAGGTTGTTAAAAAGTACGGATTTTAAGAGTTTTTCTAAGATGCTTACCTCCGACATGATGAGCAAGTTCAACGAGGCTCTAGATGCGTGCAATTATGTAACGGTGGCGAAATTCCGTGCGGACGTCGACCGGCCGCGTGCATACCGCCGGTGGGCGCCTTCCAAAGGGCGAAAACACCGCAGATTGGGGCGAAAATCGCAAGTGAAGATGCGGCGCGCTCGGCTGGCGGTGGCACTCTACTCACGCCATTTTGTGTGCGACCCGCCGTGTGGTACGCGCGTGCACTGAATTTGGCCGCTCGAAGACAGTGCGTTCTCTGCTCGCAGACTCGGGTTTGCCACAATACTTGCACCACACACCCCGTTGTTATTGTTGTTCACGTTTAGGGTTAGATCGCGGGTGACGACGGACGGGATGCGTTGGTTATCGATTGCTGATCACGCAAACTGTGCCATCTTTGCTTTCCGGAGCGGGGTGCTGTTCGCAGTAGTGTGCGCTGCGCTGCGATTTGCGGCGTATGCGAGGCAGCGTAGGTATGAGCAAACAGCTGCGCCTGCGCATTACAGATTACTACACGAAGAAGGGGCAGAAATGAGCGCGACGTCAGCAAGCGAAGCACAAAGTCCGCCCGAAGCACCACGAAGTTATTCGAATAACGCGAAACTAGCGACATAGTGACATTCCTCTGCACTATCACAATCAATCATTACGTATTGTATGACTTAAGTTCAAAACTTGAAATCAAAAAACGAGCTTTAAATAAGTATTTTTTCTTCTAAACATTTGAAAATATCGCATATATAGATATACTATAACGTATAAAAAGCATTTATCTCTTACGTACACAAAATATATACCGTATTTTCTTTTCGCTGTGTCCACCATCACGTAATCATCTTAATTTAAAAGGCAGTTGTAGTATAAATGCATTCAAGAGCGCAGCACGGGTGTCCTCAGAACCAATACGCTTTCCGCTGATATAATCGGCAGGGAATTCGTGCAATGATAACTTATAAGATGTATAACAGACTGAAACATTCTGTCTTTCGTCCTTACCTAAATAAATAAAAAATAAAATTAACAAAGGTTTAAAAACGTAAACAAAATAACTTACAACACCCTCTGGATCAATAAGTAGTAGATGTTTTCTCGTTCGATCCTGCATACCAGAGAGAACATATTGTCCTTCTGTGTTTGGCGATTCCCGAACAAGAAAATCGCCGTCTTTGACTAATCTTTTCTCAGCCTCCGCACGTGAGATTTGCCCATGGAACCAAACTTCGTTCTTTAACTCATCAATGTGTCTTTGTTCCATTTTCCGGAAAGTTCCGGTGCTTGCTGCTGCAGGGGCAGGAAGTGGTTGACTTTCAAATGGTTCTAGAAACCAAAATAAAAGGTTAAAAACGTTGAAATACAAAAAATAAACATTTTGTAAACTCACGCATATCAAACACGTCCCTGGTACCGACAATATCATTAACGTAATCATTTGCGCGCATTTCCGGAAGCGGCGGTTGTGTAAGTTGGGTGGGAGAGTTCAAATCAATTAAATTTGGACTGGACACATTTGGTAAGGTCGGTAGGGTTGTTCTAGGTGGAACTGTTACAGGAAGCGGTGGTACAGGAGGTGGACCTACGTCTGGTGGTACTTTTCCTGGCAAATCGTTATAGTAATCTTTATCTGCATCGCCACCGTTTGATGTACTTGGTTGGCCAAGTGCCAAACTAAAAATCAAATAAAACAAGTTATTTTATTGTATATTTCTCAGGATAAGTTCAGCTTACCCAGGTTTCATGTTGTATTGTTTATATCTCAACTCAAACGCCTGCCCAATGGTAGAAATGACGTCCTTTGCTTGCCCTCCTCCACATTCCAGCACATAACATGCTCTTAGATTGTACTCATCCTTGGCAATGTAGGCAACAAAATCTAATGTTTCTGTGTCACCTCCAGACGCGAAAGAAATAAGGGGCATGTCATGACTAGCAATAACCATTGCAGAGTCCAAAGCAGTAAGCTTAAGATTAGTACTGCTAATGTTTAAGCTGACATTTGTGCCAGCATTCAACATTATTGGCTCATCAGCAATTGATTTCAACACCTTCTTGTCTATTCTCCTCTTTTTGTCTGCACTTTTCAGCCCAGCTGCTTCACACACTCGTGAGATGCACTCTCTAAACAGAAAACAATTGACAATCTATTGCATCCAATTAAAACAAATTAAGTGACATGACTTTATGAGAATCTGTTGATTACTCACTTTGCAACACTGGATCTTGTCTTGAAATCCAATTGTTTCATGGAGACTTTAACTTCTAGACAGCCAATATACTACAAATACACAAAGCAAAAGTTGTTATTAATAAAAACAACACTGTTTTTCGTTTGTTTATTTTGTGACTTACTCGAACCGTGTATGTGGCACCCTGCATAGATATCACCTTATCAGAGTGGATCCACCCTCCAGATGGCTCACTAATAAACCCTGACATTTTACGTAGATTTTAATGAAACCGCCCAACGCGAGACGCACCGCATGAATAATCGTCGGCCTTCAGCTGCGCGGCTTGCCAATAATGTGGAACACATCCAGGAAACGATGACTGGTAGACTGGCTAGTGGCTTTCACCACTTTCCGCGATAAACACTGTGGATTAACTGCCGTGCAGTGGTTTCAAACAAACAAATGTTCTTCTTTCACACTGTACAAACACGGCAATGTTTTAAACTTTAAATTTAACTCTGTAGTACTCCCTTCAGCGTTGTTTTCGCATCTGATCACATATGAAGCAGACGTTGCGCACTTGTTGGTCGTTGACGAATGAATGTCATGCCTATAAGTGCGGAACAAACAATCTCATATAGAGAGAGAAGCTAATCGCGTGGAAGCATTAGAGTACCAAATGAATTTTTGTTAGTTGCTAGTGTTGTCCGGTAGATGGTGTCTTGCGTGCAATGCGCATGCCTGTGCAAAATTCAAACTTATGTCACTTCGCACAAACTTTACATGCAATGCAGGCATATATTTAAATTTCGCGCCAATTCCTATACGAATATCTCTAGCATTTGATATCAACTCGAGATCATCCCCCTCGCGGCGTATTCACAAATCAATGAAATTTCCTAAGCGATTCAAAATATAAATTTAAGATAAAAATAAATGCTTTCAGGGCCTACAATTACTTACGGTGTTAAAACAAAATCAAATCAATTCATACAATTCTCTTCTCATATAATATTTGTTTGAACTGATAAGTTTTGTATATGAAATCGCATACAAATTTGTATAAAACATACAATTATCATCATATCATTTTCTGTTATCATCCGTTTTACACATGTCACAATAAACTACGATATGAAAAATATATATTACTATAAACAGACGAAAGAGTTTGCAAAAAGAGAGTAACATAACAAAACTAAGATAACAATGATGTAGAGAATAGAGAACGTGTCGCCATAAAAAGAATATCTGTGGCATGTTGTAAAGTATGATAATAATTATTGTTTGCGCAAGTGTACAAAACGTGTTTGACTAAATTGTGTATACCATATTGCTGCATTTCCACTGATAGTTTATAAATATATACTTTATAATATAATCCTGTATATTTACATCCTTTTGCGTCTTGTTTCCGCTGCGCTGGCAAACTTCACCCAAATGCGGAAGCTCAGTAGCCAGCACGTTTTTATACTACCACTTTATATATTTACTTTCATATATAATATTAATATGAGTAACAATTAATTAGTTTCGCTTCGTTTGCCGTTTCGTCGTGCGTCAAACGTGAATTGAATAAATAAGTGTTAAAAACCTGGCACAAAAATGAAATCAAGTCGATTCGTGGACGTATCGCAATAAATATTAAGCTCATCATTAGTTTCGGAATGTGTTTTTCCTTTCTCTCTCTATTCTAAGTGCGCAAATCGAGTGCTAAATGCGTAGTAATCGTGTTGGTCAGCATCAGCACGAAATCAAATCACAATTTTAAATAATGCTGCCATGTGTGAGAAACAATTCGTTAATAGAGACTACACCACTTGTCATTTTTCACTTATGCAGAAGTTAGTAATGTGTGCGAATAAATAACAAAATATATGGCACGCAGTTGGCCAGAGTTTAAGTACTGGTGTTGCTTACAGTATGTCATCATTGTAGATTTAACGCCGGCGCAAGGAACTAATTACGTTGACTTTCCCTCCCAAACCTGCCAGTGATATCTTGATGATTTCTCGAATGACATGCATGCATCCAATAATGACTTAAACCTAGATTGGGATTGACTATGTTATAGTTCTTAACATCGTAGTGATATTGACTGTTATCAAACAAATAAAAGGGCCGAGTGGAAGATTCGAAATCGAAAACAACACGACAATGTCTGGGCGGTCTTAGGTATAAAATATTTACAAATGCTAATATCACTACAACTTCGCTGCGGAAGTGTCCGACGCCCCACGCATGTGATATGTATCACTACACTAGATTTAGTATTCTTTATATAAAAGCAAAATGTCTTTAGTATTGACTATTATTTGTTGTTCAGTTAGCTGCCGACTAGCTCAATTTGCCGGTATTTCTTACGCAAATTCGAAACTGGGTCTTTGAAAAGCACCGGATCTAGTCGCAAATTGCTGCGCACCAGTGGCATGTAGCCGAAAACCGCAGCAAAGGTATTGAGACACGTCTGCCGCTGAATGAAGTGGTCCGGATCATTCCATGGTGACCAGCCGCCCGCCGCTGGTTGCTCCTTGTACTGCTTGCGTTGTGTAACTTTGATTGGCGGACGGCGTGTTACATGGCTGACCAGGAAGTTCATCAAGATGTCCTCGCAGTTTTGACTCTGCTCAACTGTCTTATGCAACAGCGGACTGAGCCACTCGGTGTACAACACGTTGTAGTAGCGATGATAGAATGCAGCGCCTGTGAGCACGATTGAATAATCGTTCGTCCACTTCGATGTATAGCCCCAGGAGGCTTTGGCATCATCCCAGTAATGCGAGCGCGCAGGGTAACCAACGATGCGGTCCGGAAATTGTCTCCATACCTGAAATGCAAAGTTGACTTCGTCTGTGGTGAGAACCGAGTCTTCATCCAGGGAAAGCACGCCGGCAGTTTGAATGAGCGCATGCGGGAAGAAACGCTGTGATATGCTGGTTTTTGTGGGTTCGGTCATGGGTAGAACGTGGAGGGTCACGTCGGGTGGTAATGGCGGCCAGCGGTTTTTCAGAGAAGGATGTTCGTTTGCCCACACAATTAAAATCTACAAAATTACAAATCATGTAAATTTACAGCAAAAGTTTCAAAGGATATTAAGTTACTTTTGTTAGAAATTTACTCCTGGAAATGTTATTGATAAGTCTGTAGATTGGTGATGATGGTGTAACAGGCGACGATAGCTGGCAGTAGACGACGGCGGTGAAACGATCGTGGCTCGATTCGTCGCCGAAAGGAAATTCGAGCGATGTGTCGGAGTATGTGGGCAGTGTGGCAAGTGCACCGGGTGCGTTATTCCACACCAAACCTTCGCGCATCGGTTGCTGCGGTAAGCGTTCACGGATGATCTAAAAGCACAACATAATGTATAAAAAACTGTTACCTGCGCACCATTCCCCCACCACTTTTTGCGGGTCGAGCGCAAAAAAACGCAGGTCTTGCAGGATATTTATCCATGCTTCATCAAATAAATAGCTTGACTTACCTCCAAAGTGGTAAAGACAATCTTCTCGATCGACGAAAAATACCGCTCCCATAAAATCTGCGACTGTTGACGCATTTCCAATATCTTCGTCTGCGAGATCGAGCGCACCGTATTGGGCACCTACAATAAACAAACAAAAAACAATAACATTAAACCATTAACTTAATTGAAACGTCTCCTGATATTTTTCTGTCCCTCTTTCTCGCTCTGCAACTGACCTGAAGCAATAATCGCTCGTCGGCCCACACGACCGCCTTGCTCCAATCGATCACCTGCGAAAAGGGCAGCGCCCATCCGTTGGACAGCAACACCGGAATACATCCGGCCTGCAGCACCTCGAGGAACCGAAACGAGCCCAAGCGTCGCCCACGCGGCACCAAACAGAACGTTGAGTTCTGCAGCAGCACCTCGTAATCGTACCTGCGCACAAAAATACACAAATTAATCATCTTAATACAATAGACAAGCAGGCGAACAGATTAGTTAAGATGCTAATGAGGCAATTATTCTAATTAGATGAATCAACGACTGTGCAGCGACACAGCAGCCGTGAAGGCATTGCGTGTAGATCTTGAAAAGTAAAAAGAATGTAACGCGACATTAAAAACGTGCTATTTGCGCGAGTAACGAGTAAGACACACACGGCATATTACGGTAGCGCACATCAATTACTTCCTTTGTTTGGTTCCCGCGCGCGTTTCATCTTCTCGAAAATGTGCGCGCCGCAATTAACAAGCAATCATCATTGCAGCGCGCGCGCGCGTGTTCTCGACGCTGTAAAGTCATAATGACAACAAAGAAAACACCAATCATCAAACATGCAATTTGCAACTGAAATCACTTCAAACACACAATCAAACAGCAGTGGAAGATGATAAAATGTACGATCGGATAAAAAGTGGCAATTTATGTTCATTAGGGCCCGGTGCGCCCGTGTGGCGTGCCCGCAAAGTCAATAACTTCGTTATTATGCAAGAATAGCAAGTGGCGGAGGCGGCATTGGGTGTATTATCTGCAAAATATATCCACCAAGATAATGCTAAACTCAAAACGGATAAAACTAAAGTATCTTAATGTTCATATTCTGAATTCTGTATTTTTTTTTAATAAATTTGAATTTTTTTGTAGTTTACTGAGCTGTGTTTTAATTTAAATTCGCATTTTGATAAGAAATGATGCTGAAAACTCTGTTATCGTAACAGAATGTAAAACACAGATGAATTCACATTTATTCCCAGTATGCAAATTAATTTTATTCCCTTTTCCTTTCTCTTGCATAACGACAAAAAAATTACACCATTCGGGGGAAAAAATGTTGACCAAAAAGGCGCAAAGTTTTGCATTCAACGGATATAAACGAATTTAAAGTTTGCCTCAAAGCTGGAAACGTTTCAGAAGAAGAGCAAAAGGCGTCGACGCTGTTTCGTAATGAATGAAAAGCGCGCGCGCGCACGCTGGACTTCAAAAGAAATTTTCAAAGCGTTTTTAACTCAAACCTTGAAATGCGCAGAATTTTAAACAAAGCTCACATAAACAACCAGCGTGTTTCTCCGCGATTGCAAACGTCGAAAGCTCAAAATAACGCGCATTTCATTACAACATTGATTTAACAGTAAATAAAAAGCGTTTGTGTTATTAAAGTATATCTTTTGTCCGCAGACTCCTGAGGAATGTCGCAATTGTCCGAAACTCCACTGCAACCGCAAGAATTTGGGAAAAGCCAATAAATTTCTTTGACACGCAGTGTTTGCGCAATAAAACTGAACGCCACTAAAGAGCGTAAATAAACATTGATAAACCAATGCAAACAATTCGTAGAAATGTTGAAAACCGTAATAATTCCGTGTTTAATCTGGTACAAATAGAATGTAAACAATGGCCCAGCGATAATACATGACTGTGATGATGTCTGTAACTGCACAGTGGAACAATTTATGCACTTGTCATCTCAATTTCATTGCTTGTATGCGCTGACAGGCCACACAATACGCCCAGAAGATCAGAACTGACGCATTTATAACGTGCAGATGTGATTTTTGCATGTTGCATTAGATAAGAACAACTAGTTAAATAAATAATTTTATTTGACTCAGAAATTCAATTAATCAAGTTGAAATGCAGGTGAACATTGACGTTAATTGATTTTGTCGAAAAAACGTGCTTAAGTTATCTAAATTTGCGTGAAACGCGACATGTGTAAATAAAAATGATATCAACACATGCGTAATATTTCAGTTTAAAGGTGATTATTGTGCAATGCGTGTATGATGTGTGCTTGTCCAAACAAGAAGGTGATAAACCGATTTCACACACATCAAATAAATGAAATAAAGCGGTCGGGGCGTTGAATACGTTGAGTGCGCGTACTTATTTCATCCCATCACATTTCCCTCATGGCGCGTGGTAAATGCGCCGGAATTTGTCGATCAACGTGACGGCGCCGGCGTCCCAATTGGCAGATTCGATTTGCTAAATTCGATTTAAGCCCTTCTAAATTCACCCACGAATTCTATACGCATCAACAGGGTGTCATATGCAACTATCCATCCATCAAACTTACAAAGCTACATACAAACACTCGGTTTACTATGTATTTTTATTAAATATTTGACTGCTTGTGTTTGTATGATAAAACATTGCCCGATAGAAGTATTTTTAGATGAATTTACTTTAAATATTCCGGTGAGGATCGATATTTTCGGAATCGAATTATCACCTCGTGAATAATTCACTTATCGCGACTTAGTTTGTGATCGTAGACGACCGTCCGTGTCTTTGCTTTTCCGGAATCGAATATTTCGATAAAATCAGCGCGCGCTCGGGCGATAACGTTAATTACGCTAGCTTTGCGTTGGCCACGTCGCGTTCATTAACGCGCTTCCATCCCTTTACTTTATCATTCTTGCAATTAGCGATTGAATTACTAATTTATTTATTAACATAACGAGATATTTAATAAATAACCCACTAATAATAACGCTAGAAATACTATTGATACGAGCTTTAGGGGTCAAAGTTCAACAGCGAGAAGAGAAATAATTTACATCAGAATGTCGACGTACGTGACCACGCACACTGCATTGAATGTACCGGCAGTAAAAGTTTGTCGTACAAAGGTAATGCCTGTGTAATTTAAACTTTCCGGCTTACAACTACCCTAATAGGACGGCGTGCAAGTCGCACTAGTTTTTCCACCGGCTGGAAACTGATACCGCCCTTTCTGTTTTCGGAGAAACGCCAACTTTGCAACATGCCATATCTTTCCACCTATTTTCGACTCGAATGAATGACCGCCGCCCGAAATGAAACTTACTGCGAGCCAAGTTTCCCCGCCACGAACACGGCCGGAAAAGTTCGCATGGAAAGCGTACAAACTCGCTCAAAGGAGGAAAACTTGCGGCGGCGACTTGTTGTGGGGAAATGCGAAACTGCGGAAATCGCGCGTGTGTCGTACACGTGCGCAAAAACATATTTAACAAGTTTCACAAGTACTGCTCGCATAAAAACTGCAGAATTTACAAATAAAACGATAAATTGCAAAAATCAGTCATTATCGAAAGCGTCTAGGTCACGTAAACAATTTAATTTTAGCCATACGCACTAGAAACATTTGAGTTTAGAAAACAAACATAATTTCTGTGAAACTTGATATAAATTGCTAATAAGCTGGGCCATGTTATTAAATATTTAGACGCGCGCCGAATTCTATTCTCTGTTAATAGCCAGACAATAAAAGTTAATCGACCGCGATGACGTGCACACAAAAAATGTCTATCTATTCAATAATTACGTTATCTCTACACGCCGCATGCTAAACCACCAGCGTGGCGGTTAAATATTATCTCCAACATTGGTTTGCTACACAAACAATCAAGTATTCATTTCGTTCACTTACCGATCGTATTCCTTGTTATCTTCATCGCAGCGCTCGTCCTTCATATCCTTCCAGCTTTTTCCATGCTTGCAGGTCGTCACCAGGATCACATCCTGCTCGTTGTGTAGATGATACAGGGAGTTTCGCGTCTCAGAACCAATGCCATGCACATATCTCTTGCCTTTGAAGCCGAGGAGATAGTTTTTATTCAGTGGGAAGTTGTTACTCACGACAAAACCAGGCGCGCCACCTTTCTCAGGATGTGTCTTATGAAATAAAGGAATGCTCACATCGAACCCATGCCTGAAATGTTCCTCTGACATGCTTGCTTTGGCCAGAATCGCCTGCCCATAGTCAAAATCAAGCCCTACTTCAGTGTAATTCGGCCATGTGCCTGAATACAAGTTGAAAATAACATGATTCAGGCCGTTGTTCCAGGTGGGTAGCCGGTTTATACGTGACTGCAGGTTGCGCACATAATCAGCGCTCAAATTGTCTCTGTCCAATGTATCCAAGCCCAGTACAAATAAGCAGGCATCGTCTGTGGATGCTGTGTAATACTTGGACTCGCGGAGGACATTGAGCAGTTTCTGGTACGACTGGCTGGGCTCCAGGTTGGCTTCGGACGGATAGACGTGCACCTTGAAATCGTGCCGGCAACGCTTGAAGTCGAAGCATGTTTCCATGCGGCAGTCACGCGCGGGGCTGAGTGGAGCTCGTTCACGGCGTCGTGGTGCACCTCCTGTACGAATAGAAGCTTTCGTGTTGTATGCTGGTAGTGTGAGCAGCTCCTGGTCGTGTTCTTCGTCGATGGCTTTCAAGCGATAGCCGCCAAAGTACATGAACACCAGGAAGGCGCAGCACATGAGCAGCAAGTAACGCTTCTTCGCCTGCATGCTGCCGCGTGCGCTTACATTCCTGGCTTCCAGTGAATCTCCCACATTGTGTCAGGCCCTGCTGGTCCTAGGCCTGCGTGCGAGTCCGATAAGTGAGTGGTGAAGACCTTTGCACGCACATCGTTGACAACCGTGTTTTGTTTTCGTCGCGATGCTCGATTGTTTCTTGGCGGCTGGCTGGCGCACGACGCAGTGACTTACGAGAAAACAGAAACAACGCGATCAACTCCAGCAGCAGATTGAGAGCACCGTGTATTCTAACCCAACCGACCCGAACGCCGAGCGCTGCGTTTAACCACCCACTGCCAGCCAGCGGCACCAGCGAAGTCGGCAGGGCATTATGCGCCGAGGCGAACTGCTGGTGCTGCTGTCGGAATTGAAATCGGATTACGGCCGTACTAACGATGCAACCGCTGCAACACGTCCGAACCTGTCGAGGCGATCGAAGTGCGGGTGGCGCAGTGGCATAGGCAACCACTAGTACACTATAAAAGCGCGGCAAACTGCATCGAAAATATTTACAACTTCCATAAAATGCCGCGAGGTGGCGCTAGCAGTATCAAATGGCGCCAAAATTCAATACGCAACGTAAATTTAAAAACAATTTATTAAATTCGCACCTATCTGCTGCTATTTTTTTAATGTACGTTGTTTTTCGGCGTGCACCACCACCTGATCATCAATTTTTAACCCTTTTCGTTTTCTAATCTCTTTTCGTAGTGAAGCAGCGCGTTTTGATGCATCTGCATTCGAATCTTCTTCTTCATCATCATCCTCGACTTCTTCGAAGTTGTAGAAAGGATCGCCATCAATTATCTGCACATAATAAACACATTCATACAAAAAACAAACAATTTATCGTTGATTACTTCAAAATGACTAAATCGCAAGTTGGGATTTGCTTGTCCACTGGTTGTTTTGCGAATTTCATTGGCAAAACCGTGACTTTCAGCGACAGGAATCTGCGCCTTGACGAGGAAGGTCTTCTCCGCGTCGTCCATGCCCACGGCGTCCAGCACTTTACCATGACGCCGATTCACGACCGAATAAACTTTCCCTGCAAACCAAAGAGAAACAATTTTCATTTACATAGTTAATTGCAAAGCAACTAATTCGCAAATTTCCATGTATAGTAATAAAACGGCGTTTCACTTTAAACGGTGTGAAATTTTAACCAATTTATTAGCTAAAATTGCTTTGTACCAAACAGCGGGTCGGCACCTTAAGTGAAAATCCCAGCAATTGCTGATTAGGCTAATAGCAGGACGCAATTATTCCGCCTCTCCAACAAAACGACACCAATATCACTCACAATCGGCGCGCAATCACACAACCCAAATTCGAAATTAAGTGCTTAATTTGATGCGCTTGTGTGATCGAAAAGTGCACGCAGCAAGTAAATGAATTCGCCAGTAATGATCGTCTCTCTGCATTTGCTTGTGCCAGAAAACCAACATCTTTTTTTGCGCGCGTGTGCTGGGTTTTTGTTGCCGTTTGATTGTCTTGCAAAGTGTCAGAGGATGATTACGGTCGAGCATATGCGATGGCGACGTCGATGAAGACGAACAGGAAGGCTATCATGTTGCCTGACACACATCCATGTCGCATTGAACGGTTATTAACGTTTTCTGCCACATTCTCTCGCTTAATCGAGCCATCAGACAAAAGCACTGCCGGGGATTACTGATACATTACACGCCATCACAATAATAATCATAATAATAATAGTGATGAATTCGTTGAAAGTAAAAAAATAATCAATTGCAAAAGTTTGCACTTTTTTTTGCTCCAATTCTGATCGCTGCATAATCGATTCGCGATGCAAACCGCGAGGAATTTCCTTCCGTTATTATTTCATCTCGCATGCAAAAACGAGTGAGTCGACAATCGCAATTACGCTTATCGCCGCTGTTGTAATAAACAGCGCGCAACTCTGCGCATAAAATATATGATATGCAAAACCCGAGCGCGGAAAATGCGCGCGCTGAGAGAAGAAGCAGAAGAAGAAGCAGCGAAAGAAGAAGAAATAAAGTGATCGATACATCGAAGCGCACAAACTGTATCGGTCGATGAATCCTAGGCTCTCGCGCCACCACAACAATCGACAATATAATCGAGCATTTCTTCATTCGAGAAGATGCGCGCTGACGTGACGCTGGATTTTTTGTCTGCGGGTTTATTATTAGGACGCGCTGGAGCGTGCACTAAACACAACCCCGTGAAGACGACCGCGGAGTTTCTTGCTTTCGATGGCGCGACGCCGTTTTGCACTTCGCACTTCATTTGCTCGCCGAGTGCATTGTCATCGTCGCCGTACGTACCACACAATATATCATAGCGGAGCGAAAAGAACAGGACTTCACTTACAGTTTCTTTTCAACGGTTCGGAGTCACATAGACGCCGCGACAATCGGTTTTTCATTTTCTATCGAGTGCCACTAGAGAAAACTCCAAGGTAAAAACACGAAACTGTAGTAATTGCGCGTTGGCATTACGTAATTATTATTTAAATCAACGTAGGTTTGAAGAGTTGAAAGCTCTCATTGTGTGGATTTTAGGCCGCCCCCGAATCAGGCACGTGGGAATCGCATTTCGTCGATTACTAACGTTTAGCGTTAGATTAACAGTATTCCGAAAAAGTGAACCGAAAATCAGCACAATTACGGCCTGCCAACTTGGTCTGTCTATATGTAAATGTTGCAAATTGTTATTATTAAATTTCTATTTATCATGTTCATGTTGACGCATGTGCGAACCGTTTAAAACAATAGAACATTCCAAATTTTTCACCCAAATAAATCGCAACGTAACAATTTGAATTTTACGAGACTCATTTAGATCCGACTCGTTTGTCTGCGCAGATTAGGTACAAAGCAATTGTTTGTTTGTTTTTTCCTAATATTTTTACGCTGGCGTGTGATCAAGATGCGAAAATCGACAAATGTGAGAAACTAATCCAAGCTGGAAAACGTTTTGTTGGCGTAAAAATCCGCTATCAATAATGGTAGCAATATATAATCAATTTTATCGCGATGCAATCATCTCGGGAGGAGATGAACGCGCCGAGAAACGCCGAAGAGATGAGATCGCCACACACGTGCAGCGCGCAAAAAACAAAAAATACCAAAATGGAAAACGTACAAACCAAGTGCTAATAACGAGGATATTACATCACCGACAGCAACAACAACAACTATTTCAGGGTCGTACTAAACCAACTGCACCTAAAAATCTAATCAAATCATGTAAAGAATACGAATTAACCTCCGGTGAGGGTGAGGTTGAGATGAAAAACAATTGCCGACGCGAGCGAGTCGTGCGCGCCGACGCTGAGCGCGATTTTTGCGCAAACACGAGCTTAATATTTCATCGACGTCTGCTCGTCTGTGGCCTACCTAGGCTACGATCACGACGAACAACCATCATAAGCGCACAAGCATGTACATTACCGTGTACCGAGCGCAAGATATGCGTGTACGTGCCGCTTATTTACGATGTACATCGAGTAAATCGCGCTCGCATTCGAATGCAAATTTCGCGCGGCAATAACACAAACAAAAACGGCGCATCATGTTTAAAACTTCGCAACAACAAACGCCGGGAATGCGAGAGTTGTGAGAACAAAGTGTGCTCAAGTCAAGTAGCATCCAACTAGTCACATCAAATCACTCAGGATCATCAGAAAATTCTATACGCAGTGTTGGTCTATCGATGAATTTGTAGCGTGCAGTACATACAGCGCATAAAAACAAGTTCAGTTTTAGTTTTGTTTTGTTTTATTTGCCGAGCGCCGCGAGACCGGTTAAGAAAAGTTTATGCTTGTTACTTTTCTGCGCGGTGTTAGAAGAAGCGCAGTTTTAGCTTAGGGCGGTGCTCGCGAGCGTGCTTTGTGCGCAAAGTGTACAATATTAATAATAATATGCACGCACACCAACGGTGAGAGTGCATGTTCGCACATTTTTTACATTTCGCAATAATAACTTGCTATTTGCACGCTGTCAAAACACAAACAATACGAAAAATCATCATTTTCTTTTGAATTATTTGAAAAAAAGCCCCGGAAACTACCCTAGCGCCCCCTGTATCATAAATTAACATCATTCCGAACGTAATATATATAATTTTTTGCGTTTTGCGTCTTTGGGGCTCGAGGGTGTTGGAACACAGCCATGCGAGCGTTAAAAGAATGTAGCAATACGCTCGCAGGTATTCCTCCTGCATGGACCACAATTAACTGCAATTGCCGGCGCGAGCTGCGCCGCTCTGCTGCCGATCAAAGAGCAAAAGCAAGAGTAAAAGTAATGAGGCGAGTCGCAACCGCGCGCAAATTCTCGAGAATTTTTCGAGAATAAAAAAAACACAACCAACGTACACACAGATAAACTACGCTTAGTTTTCGTTTTCATTACGACTCAAGCGGATGTATAATTTTATCCCGGCGCGCATAAACCATTTTCCTCATTGTCATCTTGTCATATTTATGTTATTATGCAAGGCGTATGGATACCTCCCAAGTATCCCGAGTAACGATAAACAACGCAGGCTTTAATTGAGTTGTGCGGGTATGTCACGGAAATAGTTTCAAAACGCCGCAAACGATGAAAAATCGCATAGAACTCGGCTTATTACAACAGCGCAACAATTTGAATTTGTATTATGCGCAAAAAATTGTACGGAAAATGATTAAAAGCAAGATTAGAGTCTGGTGGAGAGAAAAAATGAGTTTCGCTGGTACATAACGCGTTAAACAAGCCATTATCTTGTGAGGTAATGGATTTTACAAGCACTTCATTCAGCGGAGCAATGTTTTCTTTGTATTTTTTAGTAGCGATGTTGATACGATCGCATCTACTGCAACTTTTTCCGCGTAGCACACACTACAATTACCTACCGTTGCATCGGACAATATGTGTGCAGCCAATGAAGCGAGAAATAATTATTGAATCAACAAAAAACACTATTTACAGAGATGGATTTTAAGATGTTTTAGGCTTTTTTCCGGGGCAAGAATAATCGCGGCGAATTATTTTCGCAATGAATGCACTAAGAAGCGTGGTTTGAATTTGTTTGCGCAAATCACAAAAGAAGACGCATTAGGCAGTCGCAACGCGGAATAGAACGACACGCGAGTCATTTATCTTCATCTTAATACGCCGATTGTAATTATTGTTTGCTTCCATGTACAAATTCGTACAAACTAAGTTATATACAATATGTTTCACTAGATAATCTATTCTATCAATCTATATAAAAATGAATTGTTGTTCGTTAGTTTCGCTAAAACTCGAGAACGGCTGAACGGATTTATCTTATCTTGGCCTTGAATTATTCGTGGAGGTCTAGGGAAGGTTTAAAAGGTGAGAAAAATTCGAATAATTGCCGGGAAAATCCTCAAAACTGCTCTTTTCTATAGAATAAAATTTGACATTGAGATTCAATCATAGTTATAGTTAAATAGTTGAATTCAAGATGGCGCGCTGAAGTGCATTATTGACAAAACTTTATATGCATAATTTCTTTAAATTAAAATTGCTAATCTTATTGATAGAATTGACTCTTACTACGAGTATGTCTAGAACAAGAGAGTAAAAACGAATTACATTAGGCACATAGGCACACTGTAGATGTGTTTTGTTTTAATCCGCATCACGCTTAATTAAATATCGTAAAATTCGCCAAATACACAAAACATCAATTGCGCGAGCGCGTATGGCAGTGGCTTTTTTCCGCTTCCTTCGAAGACACAATGCGACAAAGCAGAACGTGCTCCTCTTCAATGTCAATGCGCACCAACTCAATGTCAAAGTCGGTTTTGAGTAGCTCAACTCGTTCCAATTTGGTTCTGAAACGGTGCAACCGCCTAATTCCAAAAAGACGCAATCATACCATTCATAACGAAGAATGACATCTCAAAAGCATCGAGATTAATTAATGTCAAATATAAATTGCTCAAATAATTCCGTGCTCGTTTAAGAAATAAAACAGCGCGCAATGAAAAAATTTATCGTATGCACAACAGAGTAACGAGTAACGGATACAATTGCCCAAAATAAAACCAAATAAAAATGCGTGTGAAATGAATAGATGTGATTGTTTCGGTTGAGTATAGGTGTGAGATGTTGATGCATTAAATTGTGAAGGTTGTGCACTCAATGTTTCTCCGGCCAGCATAAAAGTTTTTTGTTTTCAGCAAGCATGACAATATCTTTCTTCCCAGAGCAAATATTGACTCCCGCAGCAACGGCAAAAACGCTCTCCGTTCGCGAGCTCAGCAGGCGCGCTTTGGAGTACGGTACCCATTGGCGAGGAAGTAGGTTAGCCTTAGAAGATCATCGCCGTCACACCACCGCGGCTCGCTTCTTCGGCGCGACGCGGCGCGAGCATACCTTCGCTGGCCACCGGCGGCTCAAGTCCAAAGCCACCAGAGGAAGCCGAGTGTTTTGCATTCGAGTTTATCCCGCAGAAACTAAGGGTGAAAAAAGTGTCGCGCGTGTTTTTAAAATGCAAGTGCTAACATTGACTCTGTTTATCCTGGCGGTGGCGTCAACTACCGATGCGCAATTCTGGAAGTACTCGCAGCAGCTTTTTAATCCTTTCGCGTGGATCCGTCAGGGGAAGACCGGAGACGTCACGAATGTGAGTTTACAACCGCAGCAAAGCAAGAGTACATTACCGGCAACCACTTTGAATACAAATCCACCCGCAACAAAAACACCTATTCCTTTACCACTAAGTTATCCTCAACCTTCACCATCACCTTCACCTTCACCCTCATCACCTGTAGTAATCATCTCCACATCATCAACTGAACAACCCAAACCCACATCAGAAGAAATTATAAAAAGTGAAAAACTAGAATCAAAAATGGACGAAATTGACTTGGGACCTAATCCTAACCCTGGTCTTGTGAAGGTAACCGCACCACCGATAACAACTACAAATGCAAAATCCCCTCGAACAACCCTATCCGAACGCAGTTCTGCTGGTATCACAGCCAGCACAACAAAACGCGCGCTGAAAATCAAATCGACAACTTCGTCCTTGTACTCACACTCGCCGTACGTTTCGAATTCACTACCAACTCGTCATCAAAGCTATCAAAGCTCGAGTCCGGTGTGGACCACGGTTCCAATTACCACGCACAATCAGAAAGGTGCAACGCTGCAGCAACAAGGACAGCAAGGACATCATTCCGTTGTAATGTCGAGTGGCACGACCGCCGCGTTGAGGCCGTCGTCGACGGCCACCGTGACGGAAGCTGCGACGCCGACGACATTCTACGACACCACCACCCAGGAGGCGACCGGCACCACCGAGGAGCCGCGCGACAATCATCGCCAGCACGACTTCTACCTCAGCAAGCGTGAGAAGCCGCAGGTCAAGATCGCTACCAACATCAGCCAGGTGAGTTACGCTCACACGACACGACAACGCGATTTACATACCAATTGAAGCACCGATTTAATTTGTCACCGTGGATTTACACACTAACTAGACTCGTAAATTACAAGTAGTTGATTTTTATTCTTTGTAAAATTCGCAAAACATTTTCATCGTATTTTTTCGTTGCATAAACTTGAAAACTATTTTTCACGCATTTCAAGTTAATTTTTTGCCACAAAAAGTAGTCTATGTTATTCTCCGAAGTCTAAAATATCTTTATTTTAAATTTTATCAAAATTCGTTGATTGGTTTTTGCGTAGTGGCGTTACAAACAAACACACAATGTAATTCTGCACTCATATTTCTAATATTAACGAGAATTCGAATCTTTACAAGCCAATACAGACACAAAGAGATGAGAAAGTGCTGATTCTAGCTAGTATCTTCTCCGCGCTGCGGGAAAATTATATTTACCGATGGAAAATGTGCGAAATACTGTACAATCATACGGTACACTTACACATCGCGCCCGTGTAAGGAAGCCTAACGCAAGTGTCGACGCAATGTAAACATTTATCCAAACTCCGCAAATGTTTAACGATTTACACTCTTCGAAATTCCGCAAAAAAACCGAAAATCCACGCTGTTCACTTTCAGGTCAAGAGTGAACTAATCTGTAATTTTTCTACACCGCGCAAAAAATAAAAACTAGTTGCTCTGGTCTTGTGCTCTCGCGAATGCAAATTTGTTTCATGCGCGCGCGCGCACAGAGATTAATTAAATGCGCTCACGATCGGTGCATCGTGCGCGTTCAACGCTGACACAGATCGTCGATATTAAACTCATAACATAACGTGTGTTGCTGCATTACACATTGAAGAAAAACCTTCACTCATCCGGCCTACGCGCGAGCAAACGCTTTCAGTAAATATTTGACCCCGGTAAACTTGACCCATGGAAATTAAGCAACAATTTCCATTCAAGTGCAGATGACGGAAGAAAAAAACCGAACAGAATCATCTAGGTTAGTTGGGAGTATTTGGGTTTGGCTGAAATTTGCAGGTCACCTTTTCTAAATATTGATTAATATCAATTCGCTACACTCGTACAAGTATTATCGGAAAGTTAAACATTTAATTTCGATTAGAATTAAATCTTTTCATTCCTCCGGAGATTACTTTAAATCTTTTAGCATGCGGAGCATTCCTAATTCGGCATTTGGAATTCGAAATTCTTCACGGCATAGTTATTGGCTCGTGTCAAAAACATTCCCGGAAACAAACATAACCTAATCTATTTGCTATTCTAACTACTCCCCCAAAGATAAAGCTCTATAATTGTGCAAATATCAGCAAATATTTCTTAATTTTGTTGTTAAATTCATTGAATTTCCTTAGGAATTTAATTTAAAAAACTATTATTTAGGCTAATTCCTCAATTCGCAATGCTTTACGACGAATTCTTCACGGTTTAAGTTTTGTGTTTTTACAAAAATATTTCAATTTAAAAAATCGGCGATTTAATCCACAACAAAGACGCTTTTTCACACATTCGCACAATGTAAACAGGCATCTAAACACGCTCAATCGATCAATTTATATGTCATCCGTTTGTCTTTCACTCGCAGCACATGTGGCATCTCAGGAATTGATCGCGATTAGCGCGCTATTACTCACATTTTATTATGCTGTGCGGTAGCAGTTTGTCGTTACGCTTGTTACGCATCGATAGGCAAATAGATTTAGACCCGTTCGCAGCGAGACGGTTATATATTTATGCAGCCGCATCGCATTTTCAACAGTTCCAACCGTTTTCAACAACAACGGGACGCCGAAATCGAATTTGATTTTCAATTCAACTCGAGGCGAATTACAAGATTAAAAGATTAGTAATAATTCCAAACACTGGATGCTCTTTTTTTCCTAAACATCTTTAGAAGATGGATCGAAGATATTTTCTAGTGATGCCGACCTGCATCCGGCTGGTGCGGCTGCACGAACGTCGCCGCGTCAATTACATAAATTATTTTAGCATGTTTTAACATTCCCCGCTCATTACCGCAGCTTGTGAAACGCCCCGAGTTGGCGGCTGCAAACACAATAAAACTGGAAGTCGTCGAAGCGCAATTAAATCATTTACAAGTAAATCCACTGCTCACGTGTGTATGCATAATGTGCGAATCAAGTTTCTACGGTTTTTTCAATGAACGGAAAACAAAAGTGCGTTGCACTCAAAAGTTTTAAATTTTTAAAAATCCTCCTCTCTGTTTTTTCTTCTGCTCTAGTTTGTACTGTCAACAATTCTTTTTTTGTTTATCTACACACCCGAGTAAACAATTCAATTACTTTTCACACGCTGGCCACTTAAATAAGTTGTTCAAATCCGCACGTCGCGAGTGTTAAAAATCAGAGCGCATAAATTGAACAGAAGACCGAAAAAAAAAACTAATACCGACATGGTAATTACCTGCATTGTGTACACGGCACAAGACGTCCGACACGTACGTGCCCGACAATTCCGCGTAATTGTCGTCACACACACACATAGAAAACAACAAGACAACTTGTTTAAACAACTTCGCGGAAAAAGTTGTGACTCAATTCGTGGATGAAAGTTTAAATGAAATATTTGTTAAAAAATGGATTAGAATTAAATCCATTACGCTTATTATTCATTAGACGTGCATGACAGACGCCGTTGGCTTCCACACACACCCAGCTGCAAACGATCGAAAGAAAAGAAAGTGTCTCATCAGGATTTAATTTGATGTTTGTTTTTGCCCCAAGTGTTTCATGTTTTTCTCCTTCTGCGCTCGGTGTGTGTCGGCTGGGCGTTGATGATGATACCTTTCGGGCGAGCGCTACCTCCACGACTTTCAATGATTAATGTGACGGTAAATTAATTATCGCACGCCCCGCACAACAAAAACTATCACAGAAAGGCGTCCGGAGACAAATAGAAAACAAGCGCGGCTGGAATTAAATCGATTTCAATGGTGGGAATAAACTAGAAGATAATAAAATAAATATTCCGATTGCCTTGAGGGACAATCATGCATCACGCGACATTTATGCCGCTCTCATAATGGCAAATAAGTGAAATTTTCAATTGCTGGCAGAGAGACTGGCTGGTCTGCCGCAAATTGCAATCGCAGCCGGGCATAATTTTTCAAAGCCGGGAAGCCGTGCGAGCACGAAGATGACGCGGACGTGATTAGACCACACCGACCAGCGCGCGGAGCTTTAAAGCTCGCTCTCGGATCGTTGAGACTTGCACTTGCGAGAGTTGTGATTTTTTCGCGTCCTGCGGGCACCACCAAGCCGCCACACACGTACAAATGTGCGCCCATAACTAACGTTATTTAACATAATTAGAGGATAAATTGCAAACCTTTACTTTCAACCAAACACTTGTCAATTATAAGCGAAACCGGGCAGCGAGAGCATTGCGCTTCCGACTCGACGTCGTCGAGACACCGACTCTTGGCGTTTCAAAGAGCCAACGAACCGCGTACGTCCAACCGCAACATCTGCCATCGATCGATAACTAACTACGAGCAAAGTGCACACAAAGAAAAAAAACTAGAGACGAAAAATCTCCGCCCACCGGCGCGCGAGAAAGAAAAATTCGATTATTTTAATTTGAAAATCAATTGATTGTTGTGTCAATGCAGGAATGCAAGAGGCGTAGCTAAACACTAAATCTGAAACCATAGGTGGTTGTATTTTTCGTCCGGTACCCGGAAATTTGTCCGCTTTTGTCTAGCTGGTCAGAGTCGTGATGAAGCAACATGCGCGAAACAAAGTAAAACTTGTCCGGCGGATACATAATGCATGTGCAATGAATGCTGCAGTGTGCTGCGCGATGCGCAATGTGGAAAATGCGAATCGTCTTTTGTTGGGTGGGTAAAAGTTTTCAGACGTTGATAGCGCGCACAAGCACGACGAATCCAAGGATTCCCAAACATGCGGATGCATTACACACACCGCCGAGATTCTAAAAGCTTTTCAAGCAAACCGAACGCACTGGATGGCAAATAAAAAACGAAAAATGAGCGGCGAAATTAATTTCCCGCTTCCTGGATCACTCGGCGCTGAATTAGGATGTGTGGCGCGCGTTAAATTATACTTGCAAAATGTTCGATTACATCGATAAATAAAAATATGCACGCAAGAGAAAAACGAGTTTCCTGCGCGGAATTATTATCAAATAGAGATGTTGCTGCAAGCAGACACAAATCATTCGCAATGTAAATGCCCTGCGATTAAATGAAAAATAAGCAAAAAAATCTAAATGCGAATTGAATAAGTTGATGAAGAAAATAGCATAACTGGCAGTGTGTCTTTGACAAGCCGCGCGGCGATCTCGCAAAATCAATGATTGATCGCGCTCGCGGCCGCACGCCGTTTTCCATTACGTTAATTACGACCTATCGCCCCGATCGCCAATTTATCGAATTAGGACTGGCATTCATGACGTCGCGCCAGCAAATTGCTAACTTTAATTACATTCGCAGACGCACACGACCATTACGAAAATAAACACTCATTATTTAACCACTATTGTTGGCAAGCAAAATTGTAAACCCCAAGATTTAACAAGATTGTAATAATTATAAATCTTCTCGACTTGGAAAGATAAAAAATATGGAAATTTTTACGTTTTGCAAATGGCAATCGGCCAAACATGGCCGCATGATAATTATTCCTTCCTCGGATCGCATGATCTATCTCATCGACACTGATGATAGTGATGCTAGAAAACGCAGGGAAAAAAGCGCGCTGAAAGTGGTACTCAATGTCAGAAAGTCACAGGCTCGCAGACGCGGAAAGTGCCATTATCATTAATATTTCCGCACGTCTCGCTTCGCGCACATTGCGCATACATACTCAATCGGATCATAGATCATGCCAAATACAATATCGAAAATTTTCACTCATCATCATTGCGCGCGCAATGCGCCTCGGCACGAAATTATTTTATTGCTCTCTGCGCGTGCATATTGCCAGGCGTAATTCTAA